ACTACGCGTGCATGGCCCCGAGCGTGGCCTGCGTGAGCGCGCTCTTGACGGCGGCGGCGCACACGCTGGCGCGCAACGAAGGCGGGAGCTCCCCGCTGCACGTAGCGTGCTACGCGGGCAGCACCGAGTGCATGGAGCTGCTCCTCACCGCGTCCGCGACGCTCGACAGCGATGGCAAGTACAACTTTCACGGCGTCGACGACCGCGACAAGAGCGGGCGCACGCCGCTCCACGTGGCGTGCTTGCATGGCCACGCCGACTGCGCCTTGTACCTCATGGCGGCTCAAGCCCAGGTCAATTTGGCCGACGCAAGCGGGTTCACGCCGCTGCACTATGTGTGCGATCGGCTCGAGAGGCAACCCGAGATGCTGCATGTCATTGAGCAGCTCCTCGCGTACGGCGCCGACATGGGCGACCGGACAACGAGCGCCGCCCAGCAGTCGCTCGTGCTGGACCGCATCTCGGACCGCCGGCTTCGGCGCGAAGTGGAAGTGCTCTACCTTCGGCGGCAAGTGAGTCTCCAGGAAAAAACGACGACGGCGCTGCGCAGCGACCTGCGCTTGCAAGCCGAGAGCTACAACGCGCAACTGGCGACGGTCCAAGCGACGGCGACGGCCACGGCGGCGGCGTGTCATGCGCAGCTCGCACAGCAGGCGCGGCAGCTCGACCACGTACTGCGGCAACTGGCCTCGGTCCTGCAAGTGCTCCAAACGACAGCGTCGCCGTCCGTCGGCGGCACGCCGCAAGTGGTCGCGTTGCCCGTCCATGACAAGGATGACAGCTTGGACGAGACCGAGAAGGCGCAGGAAGCCGGCTTGGCGCGGGATCTGGGGAAAAAGTACCTCCGCCTCAAGCAGTACGCCACGGCCGTCGCGTACCTCGAGTCCTCCATGGCGCTCTACAAGCTGCCAGGCGTTGCCCGCCTGCTGCAGCACGCGAGAGCGCTGCGGGACGCGAGCAGCGGCGGTGCGACCTCGTCCAGCATGCCGCCCTCCACAACGCAGCTTGTGGCGCTGTATCGGGAGCGCTTTGCAGCGCTGGGCGCGCCCGACCACGCGCTGCAGGCACTGGAGAGCGAAGTGGTTGCCCTTGCGTCCATGGCGCCGGGCTCGACCGAGTACGAAGCCACGAAAAACTGGCTCGACTGGCTTTTGTTGCTACCGTGGACCGAGGTACGTGCTTTGCTTTTGCCGCTGGAGGGGCCTCAAGCCGAACGTAGGCGTCGATGCCGCAGAGCAAGGCTGTCTTTGCCCATGTGTCGACGCTCCAAGCCGACGATGCACGGCGCCACGCGGCGTGCGTCATTCAACGCGCCTTCCGCGATCGCTGGGCCGTGGTGTTCTGGCGCCGTGACGCAGCGGCCGTCACGCTCCAAGCACACGTGCGCGGGTTCCTCGTGCGCCGGGCGCTCACCGAGTCCGACACGGAGAGTTCGCGCAGCGAGTCGGAGAAGAGCGAGCTCGTAGGTGACAACAATCCGGTCGAGATGGACGTGCCAAAACCCAAAACGGAGGCCGCCAAGGTCGATGATGTCGTTGATGTCACCTCGATCGTCGATCCCCAACTGCACCGCGGACGCGTCAAGCACGGACGAGTCGTCCGTGGCGTGCGCCTGCGCCATGCGTCCAAAGACAACCACGCCTGCGTCCTCCAGTGGCTCACGACGGACGCCTCCAACCAGGCACAGCACTACATTTGGTGTCGATGGGCGCCGCGGACCACGCTGAGAGCGCGTTGAAAGGCCCGTACGACGACGACGAGGACGCAGCCCGCGAGTTTGACCGGCACTTTCGCTCCAAGACCGGGCGCACGTGGGGTTCCGACAAGGTGGCAACACCCGAGCAGGCCGCATGGCTCGTCGAGTACTGAGAAGAATGAATGAGTCTTGTAGTCGAAGGTAGGGTAGTATTACTACTTGCATAACACGCACATATGAAAGCGATGCTGTTCTACGACGACGAGTTGACATTGATGGTGGAGAATTCGCCTTCGTCGTCGTCGCCATAGCCCGGGCGCAGCATCTGCTTGGACGTGTCTTCGTCCGCATCGGCCGTCGCGTCGCTACAGGACGCATAAGCCCGATGGAAGAATGCGACGACGGACTCGAAGTCGGACGTGTCCGGGTGCAGGTGCGTCAAGAAGGGAACCCAGTACTTGGCGTCAAACTGCAGAATGGGCATGCGCGCCACGGGCTGCACCATTTGGTCCATCTCGATCTCTTCGGCGGGCGTGAGTTGCTTGATCTTGAGCCAGCGCAGCATCGGAACCGTGGACCCACCGCCAATAAAGAGCGTCGCCAGCACCACGACCATGGTGGTCGCAATGATTTCCTATCGTTTCCTTGGTACGCGGTCGATACATTGATACAAATGCGTACGCTGCGCTTCTCGTTGGGCCAGTCGAGTGCGAGCGCAAAGCAGAGCGCGCCTCGAAAGCCGCTGAACCAAATCATGACTTGCTGGTTCTGGGGCACGCGGCGCTCGGCGGGGCGGCGCTGGTTGATGAGGTATGAGAGCGGAAACACAAACATCGCACGTCCGACAAGACACGCGATGAGACTCCAAATGATAAACTTGAGGTGGTAGCCAACTTGAAGCGCAAAGACCGCGAGGCCCAAGTCTAGAGCGTCCTCTCATGAGCCATTTGCGCAGCCGTAGGATTTCGTGTTACTCAAAAAGACGGTCGTCTCGGCCACGTACGAGATGGCGTTGAACATGTGGCCGCAGCTACAATAGTGCACCATGGCTCCTCGACCTTTCGTACTATCCAAGAGGCGCGTACACTTTTTTGCCTTCGTCGCTCAGGTTGTTGCTCGTGTAGTGCTTCATGGTGATGCCCGTGAAGAGGATCGCGACGACGCCCGACAAGTCGCAGATGCACGCGGCGAGAAACGGAAGGTACGAAAACATAATATAGACGCCCATCTAATATCGCCACATCCATGAGAGCTTGGAATCATTGTGGGTCGTCTACCTCGTGGTACAAGCAGCCTTTGAAGTCAAAGTGCTTGAAGAGCAGCGCCGAGAGGACGCCAAAGAGGATCCCAATGAGCGTCGAGCCGGCAAAGATCAGGATGAAGTCGAGCACAGCGATCGGGAGGTAGCTCGACTCGTACACGTTGCCGATAAATTTGGAAAACGTTCCAAAAAGCACGATGGCGACGGCGTCATTGAGCGAGCTCTCGCCAAACACCAAGTAGAAGAGTGACGGGTCCTGTACAAGAGATAGAATCACCCGCCTCAACGCAGTTTTGCAACGTACAACGCGGAGTTCTTGAAATATGGCCAAGACCGACACCGTGTCCTACAGAGTCGCGTTGATATCCCATCTCGGATGGCGAGGAAGTGGTACCGTCGCGCTAATGAGTGCGCCAAACGAAAGCGCTTCCGCGAGCGAGAGCTTGAGGCTCACATCGGCTTGGCCCATGCCGTACATGATGCTGCCGACCGTGATGCTCGAGATGGTTGTGCCCGCGACAGCGTACGCGACGATGGGCACAATGTTGTCGAAAAAGTACCGGCGCTTCATAATATAGCCTAATTGCGTATGGAGTCGCATGCTAGATATGGATAGGACACGTGGACGCACCTGAGTTAAAGATGATGGGCGGCAAGAGCGCAATGAAGAACGTGTTCGGGTCAAAGATCATGAGCTGCATTGGCCATGAGATGTCCAGCGACTAAGATGGAAGAGCGAACCGAGTGCGTAATTGAGTTTTGTAGACGTAGCAGAGGACGCCGCCGGCGACGCCGACGAGGATCGTGGCTACCATGCGGCCATAAGATCGTATAGTGTGTCACGTGGGTACGTACCGCCGGCTTCGGGCAGAAAATGCCAGTGCAAATGGTGGCCGACGTAGTTGCTCACGACGATCGAGGCCATGAGCAACATGAGGAAGATCGAGAAGAAGACCGAGAGCTGGTACTCGTTGCTCATGCCATAGTAGTGCTCGACCTCGGCGTTGCCGGCCGTGAGCTCGCTCATGCTTCCGACGTGGCCTTTGGAGATCTGGCAGTTGGAAAACTGCTCGTAGTCCGGATAAACGTATCGTCCGGTTACAAGGCGCCGTCGGTTTCACTGAAAAGCCGGAACCGACAGGGTCGTGGTTGCTCCTTCCGCTTCGCAATACAAGCAGCTTCGGTGTGTCTTCCACGCAGATGCAGTGCGATGCAGAGAGCGAGCTGGTGTCGTCATGGCGCGATCCCTGCCCACCACTCGACCTGCAGCGACGTGATGGCAGGATGTAGCGGGTACGAGGGAGGAGCACAACGCCACTAAGAACTGGGAGCCCATGGGTATATTATACGAGGACGACTGTTCCCTCGTCGCAGTCGTCGAGTCTATGGCGTAGTGTACAGAGTAGCAGAGAGGTGGTGCTCGTCAAAAATGGCGCGAGATCGTCGATTAGAGCAGTGACAAAAGCGTATCGGCGGTCAAGCGCTTTCTCGGATCCTTCTCCAAGAGCCCGCGCACGATGGCTTTGGTTTCTTTTGAGACAAGGTACCACTGCGCGACGGGAAAGTCGACGTCCTTGGAGAGAATCGCGGCCTGGATTTCGTCCTCCGAGAGCGAGCCCCGAGGGTCGAACGGATGCACGCCCGTGATCATGATGTACAGAATGCACCCCAGCGCCCACATGTCCATGGCGGCAACGACGGGCGCCGACTCGGCGGCGAGCATCTCGGGCGACCAGTACGACTTGGTGCCCGAGAGCGGCGCCGACGCCAAGCGCATGGCTCGCTGCAGCGGCATGGAGCTCGTGTGCGGGTCGGGAATTGTGGCCGAGCCAAAGTCGATGAGCTTGACGCGACCGTCGTCGTCGGTGAGCATGATGTTGTCGGGCTTCAGATCGCAGTGGACCATGCCGTGGGCGTGGATAAACGCCAAGGCCGACGCGATCTGCGAAAGCACGCGCTTGGCCTCCTACGGATCCAATGTTCGTCACTCAAAACGGCAGAGAAGAAGCTTGCAGCCAACCACTTCGTCGAGCCGTCGCCGGTGCTGCATGTAGTCGAAGAGCGTCGATCCGTGCACGTACTCGATGACGAGGTAGTGGAAGCCGTCGTGTGTGTAGTGGTTCTTCATGCGAACGATATGTTCGTGGCCGCCGGCCATCGCGACGCAGCCCAGAGCCGTCTTTTCGCGCACCGCCTCTTCGAGCGAGTCGGCGCTCATCTATGAGGTCCATACATTGCTGCCGAGGTGGATTTGCATGCATGGGCAAACCTTGACGGCCGCGATCGACTGGTTCTGCTTCTCGACGCACTGCAGCACCATGCCAAAGGCCCCAGCACCCAGCGTCGTGGTCATTGCAAGGTCATAGTCGTCTTCAAACACGCGGCCAAGTGTCACGGGCGCGTCGTTCCGGGCCTCGGTCGAAGTCAGCAGGAGCGAGGCCGAGCTCACGAGGAGGCCCATGGCCAGGACATGATGCCGACACAAGCTTGGGTGGATAGCGAATGGCCCACGCGGCGCTGGAAGGGCAGCTGATCGCAGCAAGGCGCGCGTCGCAGCAGAACGGACTGCCATCTTCAAAAATGCGCGTCAGTCCCTCGATGGGCGTTTTGCCAGGTGGTTGCCATGAGGATATGTACAGGAAACGCATCCGCATAACTTGGTTTATCCGCATAAATACTTCGAACTTCGATATGAACTCGGTATTTGTATGAATGGCCGTTGCGAAGGGAAGTTGCAGTTGGCCTTCGACTGGAAATTTGGCGCGACGAGACAAAATACAGGCGAGACAGTGTCCTGCTTCTGCAGGCCACCGCGTCGAGTGGCGGACCACAAACCTTGAACGACAAACAGTAGTGACAAGTGCGGCAGATGGCCTTGCGAAGCTCATCGGTCGCCAACGACACACAGCAATACCCTACTTTGCACTCGTTTTGTGGCATGTCTTGGACGCGCAAGTACATGTAACGTCGAGCATGCAAGGCAGCACACTCCAGAGATTGCGCGTTAGAAACGGGGACATGATTGCAAACGGTGCAAGGGGGCGCGGGTCCTATTCATGGCATTGTATTCATGGTTCCTATTGCTCATGCGTTGACCCCACAACGCAGAAGGCTTCTCTCGAAATTTCCGCACACTAGGCCACGTACGTCGTGTGTTCTATACAGCAAATCAGCTAGGATATACCGAAAGATCGGATTCGTATTACATTCATCACAGCAATCAATAGCGGCAAGTGTACGCTTACCGAAGACCAGCTTTCATTCTGGCTTTCATTAGCAATTTAGCACGCTGTTAGGTGCATTGTATGTCTTCGTCTCTGCACTTCTCGTTCCCTTGTCAATCCAAACAAATCATTTGGCTTCTACGACGTGTTTTATCCTCCAAACTTCGAAAGCAACACTCATCTGCAGCACAACTGCCGGTTACGATACCGGTAGTACGAGTTACTCTACATAGAATGTCATCGGCGAATATGTCGATCAAATTCCGCTTCCAAATGGCGGGTCGCTCGGTGAGTCAGCGCACTTGGTCATTTGTAGTAACCACATTCGAAATGAGTGTTTGATTTGGGGTTGTTTGAGCACTCGAACCGGAGTCCATAAGGGCGAAGGTGCCGTCGTTTGCTTGTTGGCGTATTAATTAACGTTATATATTGTATTATTAAATTAAGCATTTCTCTCGGCAAAGACATCTAACGGTGACGTAGATTAGCTTGCTCGACTCAACAAACTGTCCTCTATCGCTCTGCGAAATATGATGGAGGTCATTTTCAAACACAGTTCGGTCCTCCACGACGTGTGCAATCGCCTCGGTGGCGTTTAATGCTGCTTGTAATTGGTCAATTGTTTTTGGGATATAGCCAATCAGATCAGTAGAGTGTATTCATCACATTCAAATGGCAATAGACTGCAGTAGCTTTTCCAGTTGTTTTTGCTTGCGCCCAAGCACGTCGTCCGAGATCTCTAGTTGCGTATGTGCGTCCTGGCTCGCGGTGATGGCGTTGCGGACAACGCGCACCGCGCCATGCATGTCGTTTTTGGACCGCACCAGAAACTATCAAGCCTTCAAAATACCATTCTCTCAGTGTTCTGTACCTTGGAAAAGGCAAAGGTGGCTTCAAAGCTCAGACCGTCCTGGTCTAAGGCCTACGCAATTGCCGATACTCGTCATTCTCAGGACAACGTTCTCCTCGTAGACTCAATAATACAGGGCGTACATGTCGGTAGAAGGACTCTGCCTTGTCGTCGCAGCCGTCGACAACTTCGGCGTACATGCCTCGCGCCACCTATTGCATTGTCCATAGCACTCCAATGGGTTCGGCCAAGGGGTATACAAGGGCATTGACAGTGAGAGCGGGGTCAGTCGCTGCTGTTTCGTAGAGCACCGTCGGTGAGCAGTCGAGGACGCGGCCGATTGCGACGGCACAGCTCGTGACGACTTGTACATTCAAGGCCGAGAGGCGCAGTATGTGCTGAAAGAGCTAGTGAAAAAGTGTCAAATGCCATGGCGACAACTCAAAGTATGGTACGTTTTCAAGGACATTTTCGTCCACGCGACGGTGGTGCACGTCGTAGGAAGACCGTGTCATGTTGAGGCACTTGACGTGGCACAAGCGCTCGACGAGCGTCACGTTGTCCTTGTCGCTAGCATACGCTTTCTCCAGCATCACTTCGGCTTCGAGCGTGCGCTAGATAAGGCATGAGCTACGTCCAAAGGATCTTTATAACGCTACTCCGCGGCGTTGTAAAAAGTCGCCGTAGGCCGACAACGCGTCCGTCGCACCACCGTCCAACTCAATCGCGCGCTGGTACAACTATAAAAGTCAAGGAACACTGAACATCGATGCTGATCGACCTCGTCGGCCTGGACCGCGTCGTCGAGGTCCAAGTCGCTGACCCTCGCAGCGTCCAAGGCGGCGGCCAAGTGCGACTTGTCGAGCTGCAGCGCCATGCAAAAGCACTCGCGGGCCTGTAAAACTCGTGTGAGCGTGTGCTGCAGAGCAGTTTGTACTTCGTGGAAGAGGTGCAAGTCCCGCCAAAAGAGATGACCATACTACCAATATCAAACGTACTAGTACTCGAGAAGCGAGCAAGATGGACGTACGCGATGCCACGTATCGCTGTCGTTGGGGTTGGCCGCCAGCGATCGCTTGTAAAAGGCCTGAGCGCGCTCTGCGTCGTGGCGCACCAAGGCGAGAAAGGATGCGAATTGCGCGCAGTTGACTGCGTGCGTCGGCTGGAGGGCGACGGCGCGCTCGTACTGCACCTCGGCGGCCTAGACTGCGCTTGAGAGATGCCCATGTGTGGCGACATCGCACGTCATTGTCACGCTTGATAGAGTGCAGAAATGCCGCGTAGTTGCCAACACTATCGCAGACCTTGCGGAAGCCACGTTTTGGACCAAAGCACTGTACATATCGGGGCTCGTGGGCGAGGCGTCAACAGCTTCGAGGTACATTTGCTCGGCCAGCGCGAGCCGGCGCTGCTGAACGAGCCAGCTCGCGTACTTGCAGAGGACAGTACCATGACGCGGGTAGCGCTCGATCGCGGCTTCGTAGGCTCTACCCTCCACGTATATCAGCAGCAAATCTACGCGTATAGCGTCGTCGTCGTACTGGTCGATGCGAAGAGGAGATGCGGGACGACACTTGTGCAGGAGCATGGCGTAGTTGCCCATGGCGAGAGCCTGCGTTGGGTCGACGGCCAAGACACGTTCGTAGAGAGCACACGCCATCTCGTCGTCGCCTTCAAAGTGCTCGAGAAAAATGCGTACGCCGCTGCGGTCAAAAGCATTAGCGTTCACATCCTCGTCGTAATAATATTACCAAGCGTCCGTAGGCACGGCACAAGGTGGATCTGGAAGGTGTGGCCAAGATCTGCGTGACGATGGGCACAAGCTTCCATCGAAGCATGAAACATCTCGCGGGCATCGCCACGTTGCCAGCGACGAGGAGCAATTGTGCATACCTAGGCCAACAGACGTTGATCCTATGCCCGCCCTCGAAGCGACAAGAGACCGAGAGAGGTGGACGCACGACGGTCGTTTCTCAACACGCAGACGATACTTGTCGAGGATCGTGGCAGCAACGGCCGTCGCTGCCATCGGTGTGCGCGGTGGCGTCGCTGGCGGTCGACGCATGCGTGATGTAACCGGCGCGCCTTTTTGTGGCAATAGGGTTGGGGCTGCAATCCGATTCAGGTTGCGTACTGAACGCCCAGCTCGCCTGTGCATCCTGGTCTTCAGCATGTATGAGACGCATCCTTGGCATGCATGCATCGCGCTACCAAACGAGAAGCAGCGGGCAACAGAGCGAGAAGATGTCATTGGGGTTCCAGTCATAGTACGTTGGTATTTTGAGTTTCGCGCTCGATTTTCAGAGCACCGACGAGGCGGCAGCCGAGCGACATGGCACTTGGGCCATCTCTGCGATGGTGCAGCGCAGACAACTTGTACGTGCCAGAAGCCTGCCAGTGCACGGGACCGCGGGCATCCGGACGACGCGATCTTTCCGTGGTTTATCCGGTACCTCGGCGCCGGTTCGCCACAACCGTTTTCGCCATGGCAACGACGTACCAGGTACGCTTGCCGCCCATGCACCGCCGTGCTCACACCGCGGAGTAGACACCGGACTCGAAGAAGGAGGAGTTCCGCAAGTACCTCGAGAAGAGCGGGGTCATCGACTCGTTGACCAAGGTGCTCGTCGGGCTCTACGAAGAGTCGGAGAAGCCGCCGAATGCTGTCGATTACATCAAGCGCTTCATGGGCGCACCGACGGGCGTCGACGTCGAGGCCATGCGCCTCGAAAATGAAGAGCTCAAGAAGAAGAACGCCGAGCTGCAGAAGACGATCGAGGAGCTCAACAAGCGCCTCACCGCCGAGGAAGAGGAAGAAGAAGAGTAAGCACAAAAGATGTTTCATGATGATGAGGATGATGTTTACGCCGACGTCTTGCACTGCGCGAGGAGCTCGGCAATGTTGGTCTCGAGCGACGTCTTCTGCCGTTCCAGGTACTGCTTGCGAGCCTGCAGACGTTCGTGAGAGATTGCGACGAAGATGGCGAATATCCACCTCGAGGGCCGCGACTTGGTCGTCCATCTTGGCCGCGTTCGTCGTGAGGCGCGCGACGTTCTCTTCGGTCGTCATCTCCAAGAACATCTTGCCGATCGAGGCGTACGTGTGCGTGCCCGACGGAAGCGCGCTCAGCTCTTCCTTCGTCAGCTGGATGCGCTTCTTCTCGCGCGAGAACGCGCCGAGCTTGGCCTCGATCTACACGCTGCTCTGAGCACCTCGTTTGGAACGGACGAGGTCGCGTGCCGTCTCGAGCTCACGGTGCAGCGTCTGGAATTGCGGCTGGAGCTCCTGAAGCTCCTTCTGCACCGACGCAGGCAGCGGCGCGTTCTCTTGCTTCGGGCGCTTGGCGGGTGCCGCACCGCCGTTCGCCAACGCCATGGTCGCGACGGCATCATCGTTCTTGCCCAACTGCCGCTGGGCGTTGGCCAAGCGCAAAAGACCTATGGTGCGTTCATGAGCTGTCGTCGCCCATGCGCGAGAGTGGCGGACCCTTCTTAAAGCTCGGGTTCAAGCGCACGCACTCCTTGGCGTCCTGCTCGGCCTTTTCCCACTGGTTGATCGCGCCGTACGCAGCACTAGAAGAGGCGATACCGTGAGCCTGCTACGTTGGTTGTCATGCCGTGATAGCACCTGCGGTTCGAGTAGTAGATGTGGTTGCCCGGCGCGAGGCGAATGGCCTACGCACATCATGTCAGCCACGCGTGTGTGGCATGATGACGACGCACCTCCGAGTAGTGCACGATGGCCTGGTCATAGTTCTTAGCGTTGAACTCTTCGTTCCCCAAGCTACGCAGGTGCATGAGCCTCGGCGAACGTCCATCGACGCGCGTACTTCTTCTCCTGCTCCGCGACCTCCGACATTCTGCTTTTCACAACGAGTGGCATTCCATCGGTGGCCTGGTGTTCCGGATAATTGTGATGTATCCGTCGTCGATGCCGTGAACCCGTTCTCATAGCTGCCACTGGATATGGCAGATGCCACATTCAAGCTCTTGGAAGAGGCGCTGGAGCCTCAAGACGTGGCATGTGCCGTATTCGGACAGCATAAATATAGCGATGACGAAGAAGAAGGTCGTCGCCAACGACGTCCGCGAGACCATTTACGCCGACGTGCTCCACGGCATGAAGTTCTCCAAGAGTCCGTACGGCCTCTTCAAGCAGATAGCCGAGAGGTACGGGCTCGCGTCCAAGACGATTCGGCGCATCTGGCTGCGCGGCCAAGAGAGTGACGGCGTCGTCGCCCACCGTGTCCGAGGCAACAAGGGCCGCGGCCGTACGGACGCGCAGCTTCAAGATATCAACGCCAAGCTCAACGAGATCCCGCATATCGAAGACAAGGATTTGCGCTCGATCGCCAAGGCCGTGGAGATCCCGCTGAGCACGCTGCACAAGTACATGGTGCAGGGTGTTGTTAAACCCAAGGGTCACACGCACTCACGCCCAAAGCGCCCGCCCGCTGTGCCCTCCGAGCAAACGACGTCGATAGAGGCAATGGCACCCGAGCCGACGGCAATGCCATTCGAGCCCGTCGACTTGGACGAGCGGCTCCCATCGCTCATGGCGCCGCCGCCCGACTTTCACACCTCCGACATTGAGGTCCTCCAAGAAGAAAACGACCGCCTTCGGCGCGACAACTACGAGCTAGTCCATGCACAACGTGCGCTAATCGCACTCCAGGCTGAGAACGAGACGCTGAAGGCTCGAAATTTGCAGCTCACGCATGCGCTCCGCGACCTCTCGGCGCGCGTTCAGCTAGAAACTATTTAACTTACTCATTCCACTTCCTTCACTGGTGATACTAAGCGCGCACTACTACGTAGTATCCCGACGTGTAGCTGGATGTGCACTGCGTATGCGTTGCGCTGCTCCATTGCGCCAGAAGCAGTCTCAACTGGAAAGCAAGAAACTGGGGTGTATTTGGCTAGATACGTCTAAATCTGGTAGTTGCCACGATTAGTAGTTTGCTTCGTAGCTCAAGCCGTACGCCTCGAACGCTGGCTGGACGTAGCGTTTCGTGACCTCCTACAAGTGTTCTATCACTGTGCCAAGTTTGAGCGCTTTGATTTTGAAATGTATTTTGGGCTACCATGCATCCTCGATTTGGCACAGTGCCTTTAAAAATGGCTAAAAGTCATTATTTATGGCGCCTACCACAAAGAAACATTTTGCTCCTGCTGTACCCTTCGAACCACCTCAAACGCTCCGTTGGAGCCTTCAGCGATCTCCAGAGTGTAGTCCTATCGCGATGCCAAATGTGAGCGACTGCACGTTTGATCATTACTGAACTATTCTGTGCGTACCATCGGTGAGCCAAACTGTGGCGATGGGATTGATCTAAATGCCATATCGGTGCACGCGCCAAGCAAGACAGCAAGATTACAAAACGTTTCTCCAGTGCCTTGGGTGGGAGCTGGCTGTGCCTCAAGTGGAAAGCCGGTAGTTTATGGAACAGTGGGGAGATATTCGTTTGTCCGGCACAGAGAGCGCATCAAACGCGATAGTGAAATACTGGTACACTAGAAAGACCATGCAGTACACGTTGTTGCGTCGCTATCCATCATAAAGGGTCGAACGTTAGGAAGTCGAATTCTGTCATGAGCACAAGATACCATCAAGGCGTGCATCATGCACAGAAACGATTGTGGTGACATTATTCACAGACTTCACGACGCGAAGAGATGGATTCGGAAGAAAATGGCGGCGATGGCAAAGCCGAGAAAGCTCATGACCCCGCCGACCAAGATCGGGAGGGCGTAGCCCATGGACGACGTCACCAGGACGGACGCGAGTACAAAACTGAGGAATTGACCAGCGCACATGGCCGAGTTGATGGCGCCAGCGTAGATACCAACGTCTTCGTCGACACCAATGACGTGGCAAATGGTCGGAAGGTACAGAGCAAGAAGCGTGTTTTGCGTAAAGCTGCAGCCGACAACGATCGCGACATCGAGGAAAATAACCTTGGAGATCGATAACACGATGAGCAGCGACTGCGGAAAGAGTGATGCGACAAGAATGCGCTGCACACCATACGTGCGCACAAGCGCCGGCAGCGCGGCCAAATAGACAAGACTCACCACGTTGTATATGGTATCGGTGACGCCACCCGCGAGCGCGACGCCGTCGTTGAACGCGGTCTGTCCAGCGCTGCATGGAGGGTTTCCGTCGTGGCCGCACGTATCGGCACCAAACGCACTGCCATTCTTGACAACGAGGCCAAAAAACTGGCCCTTGGCGCCGTTATAGGCGAAGAAGCCGTACTGAACAAAGAGGAGGATGGCACAGTAGACACTGAGCACACGGGGGAGGCGCCGGATGCCGTCCCACACGGCAAAGAAAGCTGCCTTCGAGGTGCTTGTCGCCGACTCACTCCGCGGTGTCTCGTTGGCTGCAAACAAGACCAGGCCGATGGTCGCCGCCATGGCGGCAATGAGGACGCTTAAGAACGGCTTGACGCTCTCGTGCGCCGGGCCAAACGCGAGAATGTAGCCTGACACGAGAAACGAGCCCGCGATCGAGTACGCACTGCCAATTGCGGACGCCGTCACGAGGCGGTCGCCGGCGCAGTCGGCAATGAGCAACGTCAATGGCGTCTGCGTCAAGTTGAGCGCGACGTCCATCCAAATGTACGTAAGCACCACGACACGCGTGGTCCAGGCTCGCGATGGCTGTGCCGACGTGTCGAAGAGATGCGCTGGAGTATCGCCGAGGGCCTCGCCAATCTCGACGGCAAACATCATGACGAGCCAGCAGAGGCAGCTTAGGAGTGCTCCGAGGCAAAGGAATGGCCGCCGACGACCGAATGTCGAGGTGCAGTTGTCGCTCCAGACGCCGACAGTAGGCGCGAGAAGGAACCCAGAGATAGGCCCTACGAGCTGCACGAGTTGCACCGACGACGGCGAAAGAAGCACTTGGAGAAGCGGGCCAAGCGCCGCCCACTGGGCCGCCCACGCCGTGTTGAGCGCCAAGCGAGGGCTGCACACGGCCAAAAGGCGCAGCGTCGAGTACGTTGACAGAGGTGCGTCGGGCTTGGCGTCCACAAAGCTGTACGCCGGGGTCGTCATGCGCTCGGTCTCAATCATCGTGCACTGCGACGATGGCAAATGTTCGAGATACGGCGGATTTCTCTGCCCCAGTCTCCAGCCGTTTGGAACCCATGTGCCGCCTGGATCTCTCCAAACGCGCAAATGCTGCTGGCTCGAGCAGATGGAAGCTTATATGGTGCGCATACCAGCCCCACGTGAATGTTACCGCATTGCAAGGGAGGGAAGGAGGGTACGGTCCGCAACCGCGCAGGCTGTTCGCACACTTTAACTAACGAGGTGTTCCAGCTCTCTCTGCTACCTACAAGTGGTGCTACGGTTCTTGTGGCAGGCTGCGCTCTACTATCAATGGAAGCCACGTCACCTTCGTGTCGCAACGACGAGCAAGCAAAGGCGCAGCACGGACACGTCACGCCAGCACCAAACCCGCCGAAACACTGCCAAACCCCGAGCTACTATCCTATGAAGCATCTCGCTTGCAGCGCTCCTTGGGCCATTACTAATACCCCTGTCCAGCGTTTCTATTCTGTCGTATGTACAGAATTGTCTGCTATGGCGATGGCTCGCGAAGGCGTGACCATCAATCTCATACAAACGAAGAGAATGTCGGTCTTCTTTTGTTCAGGGGACTTCGTAAGGTCGTCCGTTCAATGTACGTCTCGTACGTTCAATGTACGGTCAAATCAAGCTGCGACGCAGGCGCGCGTGTACGGCGAACGTACGATTTCGACCTCGCGATGGCCACTCGCTAGTTTGCGTTTACCATGCTGGCCGTCTCGACGCGTCGGCTCCAGAAAGACCTGCAGAAGGCGCTGCGCAAGAATTGCGGCGAGCGCGAGCTCCACACGCTGCAACAGGTCCGACCTCGACGGCGTCGCCTTGATGGCTCATGCGCTGCGTAGCAAATCGGCTCGACGCTCCAGCGCGTCCAGCGCAACCAGAACGTGTGGAAGCATGCGACGCTCCGTGCGCACACGACCAACTCGACCGCCGCCGCGCGCCACCAGCTCAAGGACGCGCAGCCCATGTCCTTTGGCGCGTGGCTCGCCCAGCGTATTCCCAAGGGTACGACAAGATGCTGTGACGAGCGTGTGTGGTCATCGCCGCGCATGTAGGCTTCGAGCGCTTTTACCCCAAGGGTGCCAAGGGTCCGTCGGCCGGTGCGAAGCCGTCGTCTGGCGGCCCGAAGGAGGCACCAAAGGGCCCGTCGGGCAGCGGTGGTAGCGGCGGCGCGGGTGGCAAGAAGCCGCCGACTGGCGACAACAACGCGACCGACTCCCTCAAGTACACGATCCTGATCGCGCTCGCGCTCTTGCTCTTCCTCGAGGTCTCGTCGGGCGAACATCTCAAGGAGATGAACTGGCAAGAGTTCCGCAACCACTTTCTCGCGCAAGGCAAGGTCGACCACCTCGTGATTGTCAACAAGAGCTACGCCAAGGTCTTCTTGCGCCCGAACGCATCGAGCTCGTCCGCGCCGGCGAGCGGCATGCAGCAGTCATACGACCATTCGTCGACCGACGACCACCACGCCGGCGAGCTGCCATCGGGTGGCGCGTCCACGCCGCCGACCGCGCTGCCAGCGAGCTTCTACTTCAACATTGGCAGCATCGACAGCTTTGAGCGCCACATGGAACAGACGCAGGCATCGCTAGGCATTGCGCCGGAAGAGTACATCCCGATCCAGTACGCCAACGAGATGAACTGGAAGATGGAGTTGCTCAAGATGGCGCCGACGCTCCTCCTCATCGGTTTCCTCATGATGTCGATGCGCGGTATCGGCGGCGCTGGTGGCGGTGGCGGCATGGGTGGCATCTTCAAGGTCGGCAAGTCGCCCGCCAAGAAGATCACAAAGGAAGACATCAAGATCACGTTCAAGGACGTGGCCGGCGTCGACGAGGCGAAGAAGGAAATCATGGAATTTGTCGAATTCCTCAAAAACCAAAAAAGTTTACGGACCTTGGCGCCAAGATTCCCAAGGGCGCCTTGCTCGTCGGACCGCCGGGTACGGGTAAGACGATGCTGGCCAAGGCGACAGCCGGCGAGGCCTCGGTGCCGTTCTACTCGATCTCGGGTTCGGACTTTATCGAGATGTTTGTCGGTGTCGGCCCATCCCGCGTCCGCGATCTCTTCAAGGAAGCCCGGTATGTTTTTATCGTTTTCTGGATACGTATACGTGTGCTTATTCTCCAACTATTTCTAGTGCGAACGCGCCGTGCATTGTCTTTATCGATGAGATCGACGCCGTCGCCCGCGCCCGTAGCAACGGCAAGTTTGGCGGCGGCAACGACGAGCGTGAGAACACGCTCAACCAACTCCTCGTCGAGATGGACGGCTTCAACTCGAGCGAGGGCGTCGTGGTCCTCGCTGGCACGAACCGCGTCGACATTCTCGACAAGGCCATTCTGCGACCGGGTCGGTTCGATCGTCAAATCACGGTCGACAAGCCCGACATCAAGGTGCTTCGAACCATACATCACATCGTTTGAAGTGTGCTCATTTGATCTGCTGTGCATAGGGCCGCCGTGCGATCTTTAGCGTCCATCTGCAGTCGCTGCACCTCGACGGCACGGTCGAGGACTTTGCGCGGCGCATGGCGGCGCTCACGCCTGGCTTCTCCGGCGCCGACATTGCCAACATTTGCAATGAAGCGGCCATCGTCGCCGCCCGCCGCAACGGCGACTCGATCACTTTCAAGGACTTTGAGCAGGCGACGGACCGTGTCATCGGCGGCCTCGAGACGAACCGCCTCATGTCGCCCGAAGAGAAGAAGACGGTCGCGTACCACGAGGCGGGTCATGCGGTCACGGGCTGGTTCCTCGAGCACGCAGACCCGCTCCTCAAGGTGACGATCGTGCCTCGCGGCAAGGGCTCGCTCGGCTACGCGCAGTACCTCCCGAAGGAGGTGTCGCTCCACTCGAAGGAAGCGATTGAAGACATTATGTGCATGGCGCTGGGCGGTCGCGCGAGCGAGCACGTCAACTTTGACGGGCGCATTACGACGGGCGCGTCCGACGATCTTCGCCGCGTGACGCAGATGGCGTACTCGATGGTGCAGCTCTACGGTATGAACGACCGGATCGGGCAGCTCTCGTTCCCCAAGGACGACAATGGCGGGTACCCGGACCGCATGTACAGCGAGAAGACGGCCGAGGCGATGGACGAAGAGGCCAAGAAGATTGTCGACAAGATGTACGCGCGCACGATTTCGCTCTTGCAAGACAAGAAGGAGCTGCTGCACAAGCTCTCGGAAGAGCTCTTGGAGAACGAGACGATCAACCACGGCGACATTGTGCGCGTTCTGGGCCCGCGTCCGTTTGGCGGCAACAAGACGTACACGGAGTTTGTCGAAGAGTCGTGGGCCAACGCCGACTTGCACGAGAAGAACAAGCAGGCGGCCATTGACGCCGAGATCAAGGAAGTCATCGACGCGCTCGACGTCGAAGGCGATGACGCGCCGGCCAAGGACGCGTCGACGAAGGACGAGCCCAAGAAGACGGAATAGATTTGCAATGCCAAGTGACAGTGTAGGAGTAGAAGCGTATTCCAAACGATAGGAAGATGATGAGAAGCGCTTGGCTGGAGTTTACTACAAGACGTTGGTCCTATAGGTCGTGCACGTGGATGGTCTGGAAGAGAAACTCGGCCGTCGTCGCCTCCGAGTGCGCCAAGAGGTCGCAGACGTCGGCGTGGGATGCAGAGAGCACGCAGTGCCGGTCGACGCTGACGAGAATGCTACCCGGCAGCACTTCGCCGCTGAGCTCGATCACGCCGCTGCGTGGTCGCCCGTAGCTGTCGACGCCAATGGGTTCGAAGCCTGCGACGGTGGGCACGACAAACGACGACGGCGAATCCGGCTCGACGAGGACGAGGCCGCTCGGGCCCGGCGGCACGTGCAGGCGCACGAGTTGATACAAGTCGTCGTCGTGGCCCTCGTCGTCTTCGTCCGTGTCAAAGTACCCGGTCGTCGACTGGTACCGATAGAGGGTCCCGATGCGCCTGTCGATGCCTGGGTTGGACGGCCGCCGCACGACGACGGGCGACTCGGTCACGACAAGGTCCGACGGCTTTTGCCACGGAAAGCAGCGGGGCAGCCATTTGTTGGGGAAGGCGTCGTCGCACGGATCGGGCGGCGTCGAGAGCACGTGGCGCTGGTACTGCGAGTACGTGGGCGACGACCGCGACTGGGAGTGGCGGGTCCGGGGCGTGAGGCCATCGCGGTCGCTGCCTCGGCTTTGCAGGCAGCAGCGCAGGAACATTTCAAACAAATCACGGCCAAGCCAATCGCAGCGCGGCAAGCGACGGTTATTGGCCAATGAAACGCAGCAAAGTGACGATCTTGAACCGCCTTTGTGTTGAATTATTGAGCCCGTCGACGTATGGCGCAGAAAACACGATCGGTGGTGTAGCGTGGCTTTGGAGCGACCAGCTTGTAGAAAACATGGCGCGAGTGCCGGCATTTGCTGCCGCAGCGAGGACAGGCTGCCTCTGTCCCAATCCTAAACGGAGGGTACGTGGTGAATTTCGAGTTGCGTGAAGCATGATATGGTATATGAACTACATATACTGTTGTCTAATCCAACGCATCGTAATGACGGGCACTTTGTGGTGTGCGTGGAGCGGAGCATAATCAATTCTATAAACTTCAGTCTGTTGTGGTTACAGTCCCATCAAATACTTTCACCATTGCGCCGTGCATCGTAGCGCCCGACGAGGGTACTACTTGTAGCCGTTCCAGCTTGTACGGTATTGAATCTTGCACTCAATGCAACCGTTGCCACAGCACAGAGATACCGAATTTCTGCAGCACAAGTAGCCATCCGCCCATCCACCACATATCCGCATTGCCAGTCGTTGCCACAGCAAGCACAGACGCAAACAATCAGGTCGCTAGCCTTTAGCAAGTGTCCCGTCGGCTTGCCCGTGGGCTGGATACGCGCCGGAAACCCTAACCCTGCACGCGTTTTTCACCGCAAAACGCAAGCTTTTCGTTGTTGGTTGTAACGTTAGTAGATTAGGCATTATTAAAGAATAGTAAAGTGTACACAGAACGGCAAAGAGGGGGTGTTTACTGGTGCATGGTGACGTAGACGACAAGGAACGCGAGGAAGAGCATGTACCACAAATTGAACTCGGGGTACTCGTGCGGGTGGATCGACGGGCAGTGGATCTTGGGTGGCGCCGTGGCGGTCTCTTCATCAAAGCAGTCACGCTTGCCACCAATGTGCACCTTGGGTGTCACCTTGGGCAACTTGGTTTCCTTGCGCACCGGCTCCTCGACCTTGACGTCGTCTTTTACCTCATCGTCGTCATCCACCACCGTTGTCTTCTCGTCGACAACGACATGCGGTACAAATGGCATGCGCACGTGGGGCTTGGGCACATGGGCTTCCGGCGCCTCGGTGGCGTCAATGGTTTCGGGGAAGAGCATGCCCTTGAGTGAGTTGTGCAGCTCGTGGATCGCCTGCTGCGTCGCGGCGTGCTTGGCGCTGTGCTTGACGCGCGCCGGGCGCACATATGGCGCCGACGGCACAAACGGCGCAAAATGGCGCGGGCGGCTCGCGTGGTGCTTGGACATGTCGACGTGCGCAACCGGGTGCACCTCGTCGGCGAAATGAACGTGCTTCTTCTCGTCGTCGTCGGACGAAGACGACGATGACGACGTCTTCTTGGCCGCTGCCTTGGCTTCGGCTTCGACCTTGGCTTCGACCTTGGCTTCGACACTGGGCTCGACGGTCGTATGGTGGATGTGGTGGGTGTGGATGTGGTGGCGCTGCGGCAACGTCACACGGGCCATGGGCACCTTGGGCGTCACGACTTCGGGTGCTTCCTCGGGCTCAATCTTGGGGCTCGACGACGTGGATCGGCGCCGGCGCTTGGTCGTGCGGAGCGTCTCGAGGCGGTGGCGGAACGAGTCGAGTGCGAACGCCGCCTTGTCGCTGTCGTTCAAGTCAATGTCCTTGAGGTGCTGGAAAAGCGACCCGAGGGCTACGTCCTTGATCGTCTTGCAGTGCTTGGCGGGCGGCGACGACTTGGTGCTGCTGCTGCACTCGTCCACGTCGCTGTTGCCTTCGGACGACGTTGCGTCGGCGTCCATGGCCTTGAAGGTCACGGGGGCGTCCGTCGCATGCAGGGCGTCGTCGACGAAGATGAGCGGCCGGCTAATGGTAGACGAGCACATGTCGGCGCAAGATGGAAAATGATCCAACACCAACGATCGCCCACACGCGATCAAATGCGTTCTCCGGTCTTTGTCGTGCCCACAAAAACACGCTACGCGCTCGCGCGTCTCTTTACATTAGGTTGTGATCGGGACCGCTCCGGTTGCCACGTGGACCAGCTGGCTCGAACGGCCAAGTGCGTTCGAGGCGTATTGCGGTGCGTCGAGCAGATAAAGTCGGTCGCGAACGGCGGTCGACCGCCGAGCATCAATGCGTACTACGCTGCAGCAGCGAGGCATCGGCGCGGGCGTAAGCACGCGGATGACCGTCGTCGCGCGTGAGAAAGATACGCGCGCGTTCTCAGGCGTCGACACAGCGAAACCGGCTCTGGGGCACCAACTGGCGCCTCCGAACCATGGACCACAAAATATATGGCTCGGGTGATTCGGGCTTCAACCGGCCTCGAGGCCGTGCGTAATACCAGTGTTGTGGGGCCCGACGTCCAGAAAGCTAGCGCTTTGGACCGTAGCTTGGATGGCTCACACGTTCCAATCGAAGCTGGACATAGAGACACGCTGGAAACCAACACGTTGTTGAAAGGATGTGGTCGCAACAGTCGCGCGACGACACACCTTGCTGCATTTGGGTGCAGGTGATGACCGCCATCAGCTCCACCCCAATTGGTCCATTCCATGGCGCGTCATCGCCCACCACCAAGATCGGCGATCCTCATTCAATGGCCAGCGGTTGCTAGCAGGATCTATGCACGGCTCTCTTGCCGAATATGTGAGACGTGGGCGCAATGTTCCCGCGGCTTCTTCTCGTGTTCACGCAAGACGCCTGCGAGGCGCTGTGGCCGTGTCGGGATGTTGTCAGCTCGGTCTGGTCGTGTGGGCAAAAGGTGCGCACCACAAGCCAGCAACAAGGTGCTCGTCCCAGACCAAAACCTAAGCTCCACTTCATTTTAACAAGTTGGTTTCTTGCTGCTACGCACCACATTACAGTGCACTATAATGCAGTCGATCACTGTCGTACGGTATCGTGCAGGAGCTCTTTGTGGGCCCACATGTACACTAAAGTTCTTGGAGCCAATTGCGCCAAGTCTCGGAGGGACGTCCGAGAACCAATTCTATAAAGCAACTCCGTCGCAGCCAATCCAAATTTTGAAATCCAACACTTTTAGGCGGCAATCGGTGATGTCCCACCCTGTACCTCCGCCAACCAACGCAACCAACTTGGGTGCCATGTCGTACGACACGCAGTCCCACGACGACCAGCACAGACGGTCGGACAATAGGATGGCCGAAGCTGAAGGCCGATGCGACGCTGGAGGCGTAAAGATCAATAACGTTAGCATACTCTTGGATTATTCGTGTCAAAACTATATATAAATAAACAACGCGCGAGGATTTGTTTAGATCTCGGGCTTGCCAAAGACGACCGACCAAATGTCCACGTTGCGGTCATCCTGCTTAGCAGCAGCGGCGGCAGGAGCTTCGTCCTTGGGCGAAAGGTCGGCAAGGCCTTCGGGGAGTGGCACGAAGGGCTCCAGGACGACCAGCTTCTCCTCAGCGAGAGCAGCCGGGCGAGCGACGGCCTGGGACGCGTTCAGGCGCGAGAGAGCCGTGGGCGGGATGCGGGGAACGCAGCGGCGAAGCATCTTGTGTGAGTTTGGTGTTTGGCGGATATTGCAGAATGAAACGATCGACGGGGTCTCTAGTCGCAACATATGCTGCGTGCTGATTGGCTCGCCGCGTTTACATCGCTGCCTACGACGGTCGGTCATGCATATCTTAGTCCAATTCCACCAATCCCCACCAAGTTGAACTTAGGTGTAGGCCAATCAAATGAAAGTTCAATCGGCGACAGTCAAGCTCGCATAGACAAGGTGGGGCGTCGAGTCATCGCATGAAGCTTCGTTCACGCAACTGGTTGCTGCCGGAGCAGCCACGTGTGGCGAATATCGTCGTCTTACGGTACTGCTGTCCAGCAAGCGCGGAAAATGGTCCAAGATATACAGAGAACTTATTGGCGTCAAGCATAGCGCCACGATGCCAACACCACCCAACGTCAATCGTCGGGTGCAAAGTTGCGTGCGCACAGACAAGCTTGCCAAATGCAACTTCAAGCTGGCGCTAAAGACCACCCAAGTTCAAAGATACGCGTCCTTGTTTCTGCAACTTCAAGCGCCAAATTCTTCGTGTCAAAAGATCTTTTTCGAGCCATTCGTGGCCTTCTCGATGGCCGTTGCGAGGCGCTGCACTGCGTGGCTATGGCGCCAGTAACAACCAGTACCCGTAGATCGGCAAACAGTAGCAGCGCTCTGCCGCGTCAAGGCGTGGAGCGAGCCAAGATTCGAGTGGATTCGGATACGTCACAGCGCATGTGACGAGGCAAGAAGAGCTGCTCAAAAGGGCAAGCAAGGACGCCAATGGAGCTGGGAGCAGCTGGAGCGGCATGACGTCAGGCTTCCACGGTCGATCCCACTCCCACCCATAAAAGCTCCTCCAGTTCCTCCAGGGCCCGCCCGCAAAGCTCACGTCGAATCTCATCATGACGGTGGACACTCCTTCAAGAAAATAATGAGCTACGAGGCGCTTGCATTCGACGTGTGCAAGAGCGACTCGTGCTGTGTGTGGTGCTTGAGCTTGGGGTTGGCGTGCAAAATGGTAAAGCAGCGCAAGCACGTCGTGTCGCCGAGACAATCGTGGCACTGCACCGCGGCCGCGCTCGTCTTGCAGACCGCGCACTTGGCAGCCTGCACGACGACCTTGGCCCAGCCTTTCCTTGGGTCAATAGCTTCACCCTGGGCCTTGGCCTCTTGGCGCTCAATGTGAATGCGCTCGGCAAAGCACGAGACGCAGTAGCGGACGCCCGTCGCCACGTGGCGCTGCGTCACAAAGTTGAGTTTGCACTTGAAGCAGAGCACATAGCCGTCGGGGATCGTCCACGAAGTCTCGAGCGTCTCTTGGTTGAAGTAGAAGAGCTCGCCACGGTTGTTCATACGGCGGACCCAGTTGAGCGACTCCATTGGAAGCGTCGCGACGGCTGCGCCCATGAGTACAGGCGGCGACGGCGACGTGGTGCGGGACATGGTATTGTAGTAGACGACGGCGCCCGTCGTCGGATCGATGCGGCGCATCACGACAGCGCTAAAGCAGCGCATCATTCGCATCGCCAGCGCCAAGGACCAAGAAAGTGTACCGCATGAGGCCGCGCATGTGTTTTCGCGCTTGGCGACACCGAAAGAGGAGCTGGATTGTCTTGGCCGACCGGTTGCGCAGCACCTTGAGTCTCTCTTCGGCGCCGCGTATTGCAAGCTGCGCCATCGTTTCGTTCACGCGCGTTTGAATATACTGCTCGCGAGCGATCGCATCGCAATCCGCCAGCGTTAAATTGGCGCATAAGATCTTATTCAGATCTTCCGTGTGCATATAGTAGGCCTGTACGCAGAGATGCACGACAGTACACATGAAACGACCCGTGTACCTTGGGTGGCTGCGCCTTGGTGCGAAAGACCTCGAGGCGGCACACCCAGACGCAGTTTGGCACGTTGCCGTAGGCTGGATCCGCTTGAAGGCCCGCGGCGACCGTTGACGGGCCCGTCTCGTAAATGTACGTCGCCGACTCGAGAAGCTTTAATTTGCCTAGTACAAATGCATTGCAGCGCGAAGACGCAAGTATTGTCGCGCAACCTTCTGGCGTCGCGAGCCACTTTGTAGCAGCTTCGCGGGCCTTGGCCTTGGCCATGGCTTCGATCTCGGCCCACGCGGCGTCGTTGGTGGCGTCCAAGCGCCGCTGTCGCTCGAGTTTCTTGGCGGTCCGGTACTCGATGAGCTCGCGCTGTTTGCGCATCTTTTTGATTTGCTCGGTTTGGGCGCGGAACGCGGCCGCCCGCGCCCGCTCCATCTCTTGCTTGTCTCTTGCAATCACCTTGCACAGTGTGGTAAGGACTCGGACTCGTGTAGTTGGTGCCTAGTACCTCGCGTGCGATGGCGTCTTCGATCGTCATTTGCGCCACTTCGCGCTCGACGCGCGCGTACTCAATGTCGGCGGAAACCATCGCGTCTTGGTGCGCTGCCGCTTGCCGATCGCGCTTCTGAAGCACAACATAGTAGACCCACGCCGACACGATGGTCTGAAGCACTAGACGACCCTTATCCACGAGTCGAGGCCATTATGTACGTACGCTGGGCGCGCACGGCTCGGGCCTTGGCGACGCAAATCTCGTGGCGCTCGCGTCGGAGTTGAAATTGCAGCTACATACGCATGCATCGTCTGTATTCGCTGTGCTGGGAATCCAACCTGGGTGTACTGGATCCACGCCGTGTACGGTGGCCGCAAGAGACGTGGCGGTCGGAACCGCTCGGCGCGCACGACTGCCCACGCGTTGCTACATCGCAATGTCATCAGTATCGCGTTCGAGTTCATTTCGTACAGAGCTCGCCATGCAGCGTGAAAGAAGGTCCAGTCGAGAAAGACTCGCGCGAGAAGGGATTTGTGGTACTGAGTGCGGGCCATGGCCTCGCGTAGATGCATCCACCGACGTCGGTGGCAATGGTCTCGAAGGCCCATGAGACCGCGGGCGCACTGGACGGATTGGCGATGGCGCTCGCCTCGCTTCTTGAGACGCGAGAGGTAGGTCCACTAATCAACGTTGGTAAAAACAATAAGATATGATATTGGACCTCGCGCCAGCGATGCCAGTGGGCCCGCGACGAGGCCAGCGACCATGTCCGCGCGGCGAGCTGGAGGCGCACGGCGTATCGCTCCTGCTCGACACGGAGCACGGAGACGCCGTACTTGTCTCGGTGGTACTCGAGCCGAATGGCGTCGGGGAGGATGTGCCACACTTGACGGTCGAGCAGCTTGGGGAACCACGGGTGCGACTCTACGTCGTGCTCTGCACAATTCGTACTTCAATGTTTTGATATGTACCCATATACGCCAGCAACTCTGCGAGGGTATAGGCATGGCATCGCTTGGCACGCGTTTCGGTGAAGAATTCGTTGAGGCAGTGGTCGACTTCGGCCTCCTCCAGCGGACTCGACGACGCGAGCGTGCACATGGCACTCAGGTCGGAGCTCGTGTGGATCGCTTCGACGTTGTTCTTGGTGCTGGCGTAGATGTAGAACCAGCGCGAGAGGCGGTCGCGTGGCGCCAAAAGTGGCTGCTCGAGCGTGTCCCACATGGCTGCGACGCGTCGGTAGTCCACGACAAGGCCGTGCGCACTCGTCTCCGCGACGACATCCAAGACCGCGCGCACCAAGTGGATGGCGTGCTTGTCGCGCGGATCAAGGCCCAAGCACTTGACCAATATGCTTTCAAGGAGCGAGAGCGGCACGTGCGCCTGGACACACGCCTCAAAACAGGCCACGTGCAGAGCAGGCAAGAGTGGCGTCGGGCGCGACGCGTAGTACGCATGGAGACAGCGCATGTGGCGCCAGCGCGTATAGTACTTGTCTTGGCGCGCCTGCGCCTTGGCCTCGTCCCGAGCATCCACGTCCTGTGAGCACGTGGCGACGCGCGCAGCCTCGACGAGTTCTCGCAAGCGCCGCTTGGACGGCGATGGCGCTGGGCTTCCCAGCATCAATGACATCGAAAAAATCTTTCGACCGTTTCCGCCGCCCTGAGTTTCGAAGTTGAAGCCATGGCTGCGCCGTACGCCCGCGTCCTGAGCGCGACCGAGAAGGCCAAGGTCGACGCGCTCGCGACGCGCCTCATCGACCTCGACGACACGTATCACTTTTGGATCCGCGACGGCAACGATGCGCGAAGCGCCCGTCTGCGGTACGTTGCTGGAGCGGGCGAGCGAACGACAGCGCGATCGTACATACTACATGTAGAGATGGCTTTGCGATGCGTTGGCACTCGGCCCTACCGATTGCAGAAATCCGCGTGCGTCGCTAGCTGCCAAGTGTCCTGCGCTCATTGATGCGGGATGATAGGACCAAATCCAAGAGCGGTATGCGATGGCGGGCCACTACGACGATGCTGTGGACCCGCCGCTCCGACTCCTCCTCGGCGGCAAGGTTCTGGAAGACGGACGCAAGCTCGCCGAGTACCTTCCGCTCAAGACGCCGTACAACATGCAACACCTTCGCTGGGCCAAGCCGTACGCAGGTAGTATGCGTGCATCACCATTTGTTGATGCGAGCTTGGTGACGACCGACCGCGTAGGGGTCATTTGGGTGGCGCCGCTCGAGGTCGAGGCGCAATTTGAAAAGAAGTGGGGCCACTACGTCGCACCCAACGCGTGATGCTCTACTTGTACGAACTCATCCGGTAGGCACGTTAGTGATATTGCAGCCTCCCAGAGGATTAATTCGGCGTGTCGACCTGACTGTGAGTTAATACATGCAATTACGTATGTATAACGTTAGAGATGTGGTGGACTTCCTACCGGTAATGCGCTCGTGAGGCGTGGCCGGTGCGTCAAGCGAGGAGCTGGTCGTGATTCAGGACTGCGCGAGGACCAGGTAGCGTGCACACCAAGGGTCGTCTCGAAGAGCTATGAGCGACGCGTCCAGCGATGGCACCACAGCGCGACGAGCCAAGTGCCGGACATGCAGTCGTTCTATAGTAGCTGCCTGGATCGCGAGCGCGGTTGCGTCAGCGTCGTGCGGAAGCCACGGTTGTTGCGTTCGAGCCAAAGGCAATACCAGACGCAAGCGCGTAAGATCGGCCAGAGGGCACGAATGGAGGACTTGTGGGCCGATTGCGGCGCGGCGACAGTGTCGTTGAGAAAGCCAGCGACCGACGACGGGAGTTGCATCTGCAAAATGGCCCGGATCGGTGCAAAAGCGCGCCAGATTGCGCGGACGTATGGGCAGCGCATCAAAAGATAGCCGTACGTTTCGCGGGCTTGCGCATCGCAGCAAAGGCAGTAGCGAGCATCGTGGCCGAGAAAGTGCAAGCTGGATCGGACGGCCACGGCTTTCAGCGCGACCCGGTACACGAAGTCACCGTATCGCGGGATGGCTGCCGTAAAGGGACAAACGAGACCGCTCGACCCGGTTGCTCGTAGAAGGTCTCGGGGGCGCCAAGGTGTTGCACTGGAAGCACACGCCAGTCAAACTTCGGTCGCTGTCGGCAGCCGGTCAGTCGGACGTCCATAGTCGCCGCTAGAACGACTCGGAGTCCGAACTTGACGAGCCATGGCGGGGCACTAGCTGGGCGCACGGCATGATCGGCAGGCGAGATGAGCGGGAAGCGGCGAACGACCGCGCTGGAGCAGTGCGTATCCGGAGGCGCAAAGGCGGCAGGGCAGGGTATCCGGAAGATACGGGTCCAAATAAATACGTAGATTGCGGAAGCGGGTGGAGCCTCATAAACGGCTGAGCATTGCAGGGGCGCCCTTGAGCAGCATGGCGCCGCAAGGGAGGCAGGTGAAGCGCGAAAAGAAGTCCAGGGAAGAGCCCCTCTGCGCCCAAGAGGCAGAGAGGAAGCGCGAGAGCCGGATGATGGCGACGCAGCTGCAGTCGTCTTGCCTGCAGGCTCGGACCTTCCCCGCGACGAGGAAGGCGTGAAAGACGCTCCTGAAGAACTCGACGACCCCGTGGACGCCATCGATGACAACCAAGGTAAATGCGTCTCGATCTATCAAGACGCCAATGCACTCGCAGGCGACCCAGCGCAAAACTCGTCAAGTACAGGCGAGAACTGCATGAGCGCGAAAAAGGCCACTCTCAGTACGTTCTCGCACGCATTGCTGCTACGATCCTCAAACCTCTACGCAGCACGACCTGCCGTCTGGCGCGATCACGCCGTGGCCGTCGTGCAACGAAATACAAGAACCAGGCAACTCCGCGCCGGTTCTCGTCGCAGCTGCTGATCTACACGCGTCTACGAGAACACAGAGGAATCGCGTTGTTGCCGCTGACAAGGTCCGGGTTGAGGTTGTACCACGTGCCGTCGCACCACGCAACCGCTGCGGTGGCGGCGCGTGCTCAAGAAAGAGGTGCCGCTCGCGCACGTGCTCTACCAACCCGACGTCTGCCCCGAGCTCTTTACTTTGTGCTAGGTGCGCCGGGTCAAGTGCTTTGCAACGAGAACGCTAACGTCGCCCACGGCGTCGCCAACGGGACCATGTGTCGCTACGTCTCGGTCGCATGGCTACATCCAGAGCTTGAACGCTATGCGCCCGATGCCATCGCACGCGGCCCCTCCAACACTGAGAAGAAACCATTGACCCGCCACGCCACAACAAGCGCCCGCGCACCAACAAAAGGCCCGAAACACCAGTACAAGGCATGCGCAAGACCACAAAGTTGCCCGCCAAGCGGCCGCGGCCAGACCCCGACGCACCCGCGCCCAAGAAGAAGAAAAAGAAGAAGACCAAGCCCACCTCGCGCCACGTGTCCACCATCAGCTCCACGAACACGAATGGCGTCAACCCCTTCACGCGTTCTCTTTGAGAAAGAGTGAAACTACATGCCCAACCACGACGAGACGTCGGCGTTGCTCCAACCCGGCGCGCATGTCAACGACACCGCGATCCAGCTCCTTATCAAGTTGGGCATCCAAAAGCACAGCGACGACACGGTTGGTTACATCGTGCGGCATCACTTGAAAAGCTACTCGGACGACGCCACCGAATGGCTCACGCGGTTCACCTCCAACGGTCGCAGCATTTTGCGCTTCCAGCGCGGGACGGTAGACCTGCCCGAGCGCCGCAAGCTTCTACTTGATTTTGCCACCGCCTTTGCAACGCTCGTCTGGCAGGACACGGGATCCACGTCCACTTGGCACCTGTCGTCTCGCGGGTTCCGATGCAGCCCAACCTATCGACTGGAGTATTTTGGCCATCTTCAACTCCATCTACTGCGTCGCCGCCTTTGATGACCTCAGCGCTCTCACACCATCGAGCCCCTCGACTTTTCAGACGGTTACACCCCTGACCAAGGTGTCAGCATCGCAGAGAGTGTCGTCAACTCATGAACCACCTCCGAGCGGCTTTATCTAATCCATCTAATTAATGACTCCAAGTTTGCGTGCAATCCAATTCTCCACCAAAAGGATCCTACCAGCTCACCCCGCAAGGGACCTGTTGTTGCTCCTGTGTGGATGGACTGCCACGCGATGTACTCGAGTCGCACGTTCAACGATTGAAGTGCTTCGTGGCGCGGTATTTTTTTAGAATTTATTCGCACAGGGTCCTACTATACTGTCGCAATAAAAAGACGTTGCTGGGTAGACACGGTCGTATCCGGATATAAATCCGGATACAGCGACGGCTGCGAGGTTGCTTACATTATTTGAGGCAGTCATGCGAGGGGTACTGGCGGTCCTGGTCGCGCTCTGCTGCGCGGCCGCAGTCTCTGCGATCTACGAGGACCAAGTCGGCGAGTTCGACTGGCACCGCGCCGGCCTCGGCGAGGTCCACCACGTCGCGTTCCCGTCCAAGAACTCGAAGAACTTTCTCGTGACCAAGGCCATGTACGTGGCCACGGAGGCCAACGTGCTCGCCAAGGTGGACCTCAAGACGTCCGACGTCGCCTGGCGCCACGTCCTCCCCGAGGCCACGGCTGTGGAGGACCTCGTCTTTTGCGACACCCACGAAAGCGTCGTGTCTGTCTCGTCGTCGCGCGCGTCGGCGGCCTCGACCCGCGACGCGACCTTGGTGCGCCAATGGGACGCCGTGCACGGCCATCTTCTTTGGCAGGCGTATGTGCCCGTCGCTGCCCCCGCGGAGACGCCGTTTGCCGCAGCCTACGAGGTGCGCAGTGCGACGGACGAAACCATTTTGGCCGTTGTCCGCAACGCCGACGTGACGATCCTCGGCTTGCGCGCCGGCGACATCTTGCGCACGGCCGCCTTCCCGCACGCCTTTTCCCAAGTCCTCTCGACCAAGCTCTCGGTGGACGCGACGAAACTCTACATTCTGGGTCTCGACAGTGTCTCCAAGACCAAGGTGGTCGTGCAAGTCGTCTTGAAGTCGGCGTCGACGTCGGTCTTGTCGCTTGCCCACGCCAACGATGTCGTCGGTCTCTACCGCGACGACGACCAGGACCGTGTCGTGGCTGTCGCTGTGATCGAAGATGGGTCGTCGTTGCACTTGCAGGCGCTGTACGACCTCGCCGTCGTCAACACGATCGCGATCGCGTCGCTCGAGCTCTCGAACCCGACGCCGGCGACGCCGCTCACGTTTGTCGGTATCGACAAGTCGGTCGCCCACGCGTTCGTCCTCGTGCTCTCGAACGGCAAGCGCCTCTTTGCGCGCGTCTCGTCCAGCTTGGCGCTGACCGTGCTCGCGTCCTTGCCCAGCTCGGGCTTCCTCATCGCCTCGGCGCAGGCGCCCGGCATCCTCTTCCACGCGTCGCTCCACGCGGCGCAAAACCGCGTCGCGCTCGTCTCGTACCACGCCGACGCGTCGCCGTCCATGCACCTTGAAGCGTCCATTGACGTGGCGCTTTACGGCCGCGCGATTGCGCGTGGCTTTGCCGGCGTCTCGTTCAAGAAGACCGGTAAAACCATCTCGGTCGTCCGCGTCGGCCTCGTCATGGCCGATGCGAGCTTGATCCTCCTCTCGAACGAGAAGCCGTCCGACGCGATCAACCCGGGCCTTGTCTGGATCCGCGACGAAGCGCTTGCGTACGTCACCAAGGCGTACTGGGTCACGCCTGCCGGCGTCGAAGAGCAGGCGCTCAGCGTGATTCCGTCGTTCACGGAAGAACTCGCGCTCGAAGGCAAGAAGCTGCTGCACTTTTTCCAGACGCTCGGCGCATCGCCCGCCAAGACGGCGTCGGAAACGTCGCAGTTTTTTGGCTTCTCCAAGCTCTTGATCCTCTCGACATCGACGGGCAAGGTCTATGCGCTCGCCTCCGAGACAGGCGACATCGTTTGGTCCCGCTACGTCGGCCGCGACCACCGCCTCGTGGTGACACGGGACCACCCGGCGTTCGGCGCCGGGGCCGAACTCCTCCTCGTTGGCGCCGACTCGCGGCTCACGTGGATTGACGCCGAGGACGGGCGCGTGCTCGCCTCCGAGGCGCCGACGGACGCCGCCAACAAGGACACGTATGTTGTGCTCCTCCCCAAGCAAAAGCACCACGAGATGACCGAGGCCGTCGCGCGCCGCGTGGTTGGCGTCGTCGATGCGTCGCTGGACGTCGCCTTGTACCCGCCGAGCTCGGCCGTGCCGGATGCGTTCTACTTTTACCGCTACAACAAGGCGGCGCATGCGTTCGAGGGCTTCCACCTCGACGAGACCAAGACCGCGACGTTGGTATGGTCGGTCGTGCTCCCGACCGACGAAAGCATCGTCGCGCAGTCGGTGCAGGCCGAAGCCACCGCGATCGAGTCGAGTGTCACCATCACGGGCGACGACTCGCTCCTCGTCAAGTATTTGAACCCGCACCTCTTTGGCGTTGCAACGCTCGATGCGCACAATGTGCTTCAAGTGAGCTTGATCGACGCGGTCTCTGGGCGCATTGTCCACCGCGCCAAGCACGCCCAGGTCGCGCCGTCGGTGCAGATGGTTCAGGTACGACGAGATGGTTAATGTGTTGCCGTTTCTGACCTTTACACGTGTAGAGCGAAAACTGGCTCGTCTACACCTTCTGGAGCCTCAAGACCAAGCGCACGGAGCTCGTATCCGTTGCGCTTTTTGAGCGCGCGATCGGCGCCCGTGATCTGAACCCGTGGGTCCGCCCTGTCTGGGCCGACTCCAAGTCTTCCTTTGACGCCAAGGCGCCGTATGTGCTCCAGAAGAGCTTTATCTTCCCGAGCCCTGTCTCGGTGCGTCAACGCGCCTCTTCAATGGGTGGATCTCATCATCTGGATCGCTAGTCGCTCGGTGCAACGCTCACGGCACGCGGCATCACGCCGCAGTTTGTGCTCGTGGGCATGGCCAACGGCCAGATCTTCAAGCTCGCCCGCAACATCATCGACCCACGTGTGCCCGAGGGCCCGCCGACGCCGGAGCAGCAAGAGTGCGTGTTTTTCTTCTCTTTGAACGTGTCGGATTCACGATGCTCCTGTAGAGAGGGCCTCGTCCAGTACTCGCCGTACATCCAAGTGCTCGCGCAGCCCTTCTCGATGGTGTCGCACAACCAGACGCTGCAGAAGCTCGAGGCGATCGTGAGTGCGCCCGCCAACCTCGAGTCGACGTCGCTCACGTTTGCGTTTGGCTTGGACTTGTACTATGTCCGCCTCGCACCCGCCAACGCGTTTGATGTGCTGCCGTCCGACTTCAACTACGAGCTCCTTCTCTTGCTCATTGCGGGTTTTGTCGGCGGCGCGTACGGCACCAAGCTTCTCGCGGAGCGCAAGCTTCTGCATGAGCAGTGGAAGTAGATACTACCTCTTCTTCTCTTCTAGACAGGATATGGACTGTGTAATACTACGACATCGATGCCCCAAAATAATGTCTTGTTGAGAACATCCGTCGGGGCAAGTCCCTCCTTGCGCGACAGTTCCGACGTACGGTTTCACACCACTCGGGCAGTTGTTGGACCTAGCGGCTCGGAAGGGGCACGAGGCATGGAGGACGACCCGGGCGAGATGGAGGCGATCGCCATCCAGTCGCAGGTGCGTGGCGGCCAGAAGCTTCGTACCAAGCAGCGGCGTAGATCACGGAGCTCAACCGGCTCCTCTTTACGACATCCGACGAGCACAAGCGCAGGGCCCTCGAGCAGCAAATCGCCGCACTCGAAGAAGACCAAATCACGCTGCGCAAGGCGATCCAAGACGAGCGAGAAATACGCGCCGCCGCACGCTTCACGACTGTACGACCCGCGAGCGCGCGGCCTCGGCGCACGACGCTCAAGCCTGTCCAAGAGGTAATCCTTCGTGTGCACCTCGTGCCTCAATGCTGCTGTGTCAGGACAATGAAGTGCCGGCGTCGCAGCTCACGGCGGAGCTCGCGCGGCGTCACTTTATCAACGTCATCCACCTCAAGACGGAGCTCGTGCGCGATGTCGTGACGCCGTCCCAGAACCAAAAGTACCCGCCGAGCGCGATCTTGGAGGGCGGCACCAAGAGTTCTGGATGAGCTCGGGCATGTACCCGCAGCTGCTGCAGCTCACGATGCGCGAGACCGTGTACATTGCGTCCATTGAAGTCACGAGCGCGTTCGTCAAAGAAATGCGCGTCCACTGCACGCACAGCCGGTCCGTTGTCAACCCGGACCCAATCACGGTGACACTGCCGCCGCCGGCCGACGGTACGAGCAACATCGTCTTAAAGCGTCCTCGCATTCAAGTGCTGCGAGTAGGCGAAGTCGAGCGCGTGTCGCATAAATTCAAGTTTGAAGGCGACGCGATCGAAGCCATCGACATTCGAATACTCAGCGGATACGAGGCCTTTTGCTTTGTGCACGTCGTCAAGGTCAAGATCGACGACAACGTCGAGCGAAAAAACAGCTCGTAGTGCCCACCGTTTTAGTAGATTAGTCGATAGACCCGTGTCGTCCCATAGATACCGGTATACAACACACAAATTGGACGAGCACATGTGGTCGATTGTCTTGCGCGGTTCTGATTGGACCCCGCAATGGAAATAGTGACGCTGGATTGGTTCACTCTTTTGGCCAATCAAACGCGCATACGTGGCGAAAGGAGAGCGTGCGACGGTTGTTTCCTCGCAAACGGTCGCGTGAACAGACGCTTGTCGGTGGTGTCAAGATCACATTACTGCGGTGCCCTTGGGTAGTGTAATTTGCGTGGTACATCTTCGTGTGCTGACGCGAGCTGACGCAATTGAGAACGACGAGTCTCTCACCTCTATAATATCATGTTACACCCTATTCGATTTTAGAGGTACGTGTACATTCGCGATGCTGGGGTTCGTGGGACGCGTCGTCGCGCGTGGAGGCCTTCGGACGACTGGCCGTCGATGGAGCTCGACCCTCGACGAGACTGCGTACATTGAGCAGTTGCAGCTGAAGGATATCAAGAGGTATTGTCGCCCGATGCGCGCATCTGAGGTTCACACACCTGTCATTAGCAAGGCCTTTTACGACGAGCAGGCCGGGCGCCGCAACTACTTTTACTACGTCGACCTCCAGGTATAAGACTACGAGCCGATACAATAATACGTTATATGCGGAGCGCAGGGCCAGCTCTTTCTCGAGGACATGGTGCCCAAGAACATTGCGACGTCCCTGAAGAGCCCCAAGTTCCTCAAGTTCTTCTTCCACATGCTGCGGCCGCACGCGACGACGGACCTCCAGTACGTCACGGCGTTCCTCGAGTACCCGTACCGGTCGCCGTGCGGGCCCGAGATGAACTACATCAAGGCCGCCGACACACCGATCGTCGTCACCGAGCTCCAGAAGCAGCCGTCGCAATGGCTCTTGCGGACGAACGCCGACCCCGAGGCCGACGTGCCTTTTGCGCCAGAGTCGCTCGCGATTTCGGCCACGACCGGCCGACTCTACCACTGGACCGAAACCAAGTACGTGCAAGGCTACAGCCTTGTGCGGTCGCAAGTCGCTGTGGATATTGCCAACTCGATCTCGTTTGCAGAGTCGCCGAACGCGCCCCATGTGTTTGTGGCGCCGTCGGGCGATGCGACCCCGATCAAAATCCTGCCTTAAGCTCCATCCACTGGATCAGAAAACGAGTGCTTGCATCCAATTGATTACACTGGGAAAACGCTGCTTCGCGATATCTATACCGACGTGGTGCTACAAGACGGGAGGGGACACGGGTTGCTGCTCTTGTCGCTGCGAGAACGACAACGACTTGCGGATCTCGCGGTCGTTCGTAATACGGAAGGCCTCAAGGAAGGCATTGATGCTGATCTTGCCCGTGCCTTGCCTACGAAGCCTATATGGACCCATCCAAGAGAGAAAGCAAGCTCGCACAAATCGAGTTCTTGGAAGAGCGTCGCAATGTTGTGGAGCTGCGCATCTTCGTCGGCGACATGGGCGTTGAGGAGCGCGCAGCCTTGCTGGAACTCGTCGAGCGTGATGTAGCCCGAGTTGTCCTTGTCGAAGAAGCAAAAGATCACTTGCAGCTCCTTTCGGTACATGTAGAACGTGTCGAGATCCAGTTGCCCGCCCGTATCGCCGTTTTGCGCATGGTTGGTCTGGTACGACTCGAGAAAAATAGCGTACTCAACCTTGTCTTGGTTCTTGACAACGCTGCGGGGCGGAAGGAGCACTGGCGCGAGCCGCGACCAGTCGAGCTCGAGCTGCAAAACGTCTCCGAGAACTGCGACCCAGTCCTCGATGCTCACAACGCCTACACCACATTATTTACTCTCCACGACGAGTCAGGGCAATGCACCGAGGTGACGAGAATCTTTGGCCTCAAACGCCGCCAACAAGGCTTTCTGCATACAGCTTCAGGAAGAGACCACGAGGAGCTTGCGCACCTTGTGGTTGCCAATGAGCTGCATGAGGTTGTGTCGGTTGTGATCCTCGATCGACCGAAGCCTGGCATCGACGGGCTGATGCGATACTACACACATGCCTCTGTGAGCTCTACATTGTCATCGGGTCGCTTGCAACTGTGGTTGGGATTTGAAACGTATGGAGCTGAAATGCGAGCGACGACTGTAGCACCATGTACGCACCCTACGCACACAATATATGTCCGCTTGCACGTACAATGCTTCAGACCTTGTTGTTGGAGTAGCAGTAGTTGGAGCCCGAGAAAATCGTCACAAGCGTCGACGAAGAAACGGCGTTGTTTCCATTGTCCTCCAGGGGCACAGCCATGGTAGCCACGTTGCCGCTGCTGAGCTGTTCCTTGGTATACGGCCAGTCAAAGCCGTCTCGGACCGGTTCATGGGCACGCACAAGCAGCTACTCCATACAGTTCGTCAAAATCTGTGTTGGCATCACATCGCACCTTGAGGCCATTCCGACACAAAAACGTGCCGTGACGTCGGGTCCAAACACGACACCGGCGCCGCGACGGCTCGGCGAGCTGCCTTTAGTTGGCGACGGGTCAGACCACAGCAAGTCCTACGTGCCACCATGAAGCTCCCGTCATACCATAGAACGCACACCCGCATTGTGCTCAGCGGCTTGAGAAGCTCGGGCGACAACGTTTGGGGAAAGTGGAGTTGAAACTCGCGCCGAGGAATCGCGTCGATCTATAAAGTTTCAGGCGGGACTTTCCAGTGGCATGGATCATTGGGCATGGATCGACCTCGGCCAGCGTGATGTCGGCGGCTGGTAGCCCACCGTGCACGACAAACACAGCGTCGTTGATGACGTGCGCGAGCGGGAGTCGTTCAAAGAAGGCGTTAAAGGCACCATACACGTGCCGGTCGTACTTGGTCATCACCTACACCAACACCGAATCAACTCCACCGTCCGGATGGAAACGTGCGGTCAATAGTACCTCGCGCTGGAAGCTGTAGAGACGGTTGAGCTGCGGGTCCTCGTGGTTGCCCCGATTGATGTGCACCGCGGTCGGGTACAGCATGTGGTAGGCAAAAAGCAGCGCGCAGATTTCAATGCTGCAGTTGCCTCGGTCCACGACTACGTCGTTGGCGTCAAACACATGTGCGTGGTGCTGTCGTCGAGTCACGTACAGTCGCCGTTGAAGAGGTACCAGTTGGTCGGCGACGGCGGACCTTGCTCTTTGAAGATATGGAGCACGTCGTGGAGTTGCCCGTGCACGTCCCCACGATTGTGAGCGTTGTGTCGGACGGAATCTACCCTCCGATTATCAGCTTCAATGACCCCGATGGCTGCCGATGATGCGAGGCGCCAACCGTAAGGTGAATCACGTTCGGTAGCACCTCGTAGTGCTGTGCACATGCGCTCATGAGTCGGGTAAGCGTCTCTGCTGGCAGCGGAATGTGCATGCCGTCGGCAGCCTCCGCAAATGCCTACGTCAAGTGGCGTTGCCGTTCTAGCGAATGGCGGCACCAACCTGGCTCATGCTCGCGACTTGGTCGATCGACAAGGGAAATTGCAGGTGGATGAAATCGTGCAGCTGAATACCATCGATGGCGATCGCGTCGGACGAGGCCACGCTCTCTGTAGCATGACGGACGTTGGTGAGGCACGTACATACATGATGCGCAGCGTACCGAGGTCGGTGCCATCGTCTGCGGACCCGATCATGTCCAAGCACGTGTGCATAAAGGCGGCGAGCTGGACTTGCTTGGTCTCGTCAAGGCTACGTGGTGTGCGTGAGCCGACATGTCTCGTCCTCGCCAGCGTACAGGTCAAGCTGGCTCCAGATGTGCCAATGGTGCAGGTCGTCCTCCGAGATCTTGGGCGCCTGCGCGATCGTCTCACGCTCCACGACGATGCCATCGGTAAGGTCTTCCTTCGTGCAGAGCGCGCCCATGCTGCGCCGGTGCTGGTCGACTTGGATGTCGTTGAAACGTTCGACCTCTGCACTGCAAAAATACATTGAGGTTGAATCCATCAGTTTTAAACCACGTTTTAAACAGCCATGTTGAAGTCGGGGTGCGTCTGAGCTGCCCCGCATTCCTGCCGGTCACCCTGGCAGAGAAGACGGCCCATCTTTCTCAAGAGTACTCGCTCGACCTGCATACGGGACGAGGTCCAATGAATCACAAAGGCCATCGGGAGGCGCCGTCTGCACCCCGCCAACGAGCCAAGAAGAGAAGGCGATTCGATGTACAAGTACGACGAAAAAAGCAGAATCGCTTCGATCCTTAAAGCGCGTGGGCAAAGAGTTGGCCGCGTGCGTTGACGGCATACATGCGCGTGTCGGCGATGTGTACGCTCGCGGCGTTGCCCGGCACATGGGCGACAACGCGCCAGTTGGGCGACGAGCTGAGGTTCTCCGTGGCGCAAAAGATCTCGGTCTGGCGGGTCACGCCGCAGAGCGCGTGGCCGTTCGACGAGAGCTGCGTAAAGAGGCCAGGCACCTGCGCGACCTGTGGCACGTCCAGGAGGGCGCCGACGGACGGCTTGCCCGCGAAGAGCTCGTCGCGGTCCGTCACGGCGAAGAAAGCGTCGTCGCCGTGGAGCACAAACTGCTTGGGCGCGCCAACGTCGGCGTGGCCCGGCCACATGACGGCCCACGCGATCGGGCTGGCCATGTTGAGGCAGTACGCCGACGACGAGCGATCGACACCGCAGACGTAGCCGCCATTGGATGAGAGCTGCACGTTCTTGCCAAGCATCGCCGACCACGCACTCGGTTCCGTCGCGTGCGCGAACGAGAGCGAGTCGTCCGTCGCCGTGCGGAAGAGCATGCCGTTGGCGAGCTCAATGTGCTGCGTGCTGCCGACGAGCGGCGTCCAATGCGCAAGGTTCGACTCATCGGCGCACAAGACGTGGTTGGCCGTGGTCGTACCGCACACGCGGCCGTCAGCCGCCGACACTTGGCGGAACGCAACGTCATCGGGCGTCGCGACCTGCATCCAGTAGTCGGCGTTCAAGTTGGTCGGGCGGAGCGAGAGCTCGGTAGGCGGCGAAGACGTCTTTTGCTGGACGAGGACGACGAGGCCGAGGACGGCAGCCGCAGCCACGACGTGACCAGCGTGGCGGATGCCCGAGGCGCGCTCGGGCGTGGCGGTGTGAAGCATCGGGCTCTTCTCCATAGTCGGCAAATCGAAGTGTGACGCCAAGATCACCCTGCTCCGAACACGATGTGCATCTGGTTCAGATGATTCGAAGTTTGTATCGAGGCCGCCTCCTCGAAGTACCGTAGTAGTAGTACTGCAAGTACAAGAGTGATAGGGAGCTGCCATGACGATGCATCCCGAGCGCTTTGCCGTCACGAGAGCCCCCTTGCGCTCGAGAGAGAAAGAAGATCGATGCTTGCGGCAGCGTTGAGCGAACAAGCTCGGTGCAGCTCGGCCATCACCCACGGCTGCATGGCGTTTGGGCTCTAAGATACTCGAACTCGTTTGTCGCAAGCCCACGGCCACGCACGCAGCCATTGACATGGAGCTTCGTCAGGCAGAAGCGCACAGTCATGCGCTCCGTGCCACGGAGAGTCTACAGCTCGAGCCTACGTGGTTGTTGCACGCGTCTCGATGGCGGCTTGACACTCGCGTTGCGATCTTGCCTTTCGCCGACGCTGATTGGCTCGATTTAAACTAAAGCTGATAATAAAATCAATCGCTTGTCTATTTTTAAAATTACGCAACGAGAGGCAGTCAGGGTATGAATTAGCTGCAACAATTCCTAGTCGGACTTACAGTTAGTCGAAACGGCGTAATTCGTAGTCGAGGATCATTTTGGAATTTGCGAGAAGAAGGACCATGGCCTACACCGCGGACGAGACCGCGCTCCTCGCGCAGAAGCCGCGCATGGGTGCTCTCTCGGTGGCCGAGAAGATCGAGCAGGCGAACCTCCTCAAGACGCAGGGCAACACGCTCTTCAAGGGGGGCGAATACAAGAAGGCGATCCACAAGTACTCGGCCGTCTTCTTGTACGTCAACGGTCTCAGCGTCGCCGGCGATGGCATGTCTACGTACTCGCAAGGCAATGCGGCTATGTCGGCGACCGCGGCTGAGGGCGACGAGATCAAGCAGCTCAAGATCGTCGCATACACGAACACGGCCATGTCGCACTTGAAGCTTGAAGCCTTCGACAAGGCGCTCGACGTGTGTGAGAAGGTGCTGGCAATCGAACCCGAGCATGTCAAGGCGCTCTTCCGTCAAGGCCAAGCGTACGTTCTCTGGTAGCAGTGGTGTATAAGGCTTACCGAACTACATGACTAGCTACGCGGGCAAGGGCAAGTACTCGATGGCCAAGGAGATCCTCAAGAAGGCGCTGGCGCTCGAGCCCAAGAACGCGGCCGTGCGCAACGAGCTCAAGCGCGTGATTGACGAAAGCAAGCTCCACCCGGAAGAAGACGATCTCAAGAACAAGTTCTCAAACATGTTCAACAAGTCGGGGGGTATTTACAAGTAGTCGGTCTGGTCATTCAATTTTCACACGAATGCGATGCGTCCGATGCCTAGTACTTGCTACTGCTACTTGCATTGGGCAGATCCCAAATGCCATCGAGACGGTCGCACACGTGCTCCATGATCAACTCGTAGCTGTGTCCAAACGCCGTGTGTGTCTCGGGCGCCAGCAGCGCCGAGACGTCGACGTCGACGACGTAGTGCGACTGGATTGGTGTGCAGCCGGCTGCCGGGCGGTGCGTCTGGAGAATCGTCGCGACGCGGAAGAGGTGGTTCAAGACGCAGTCCTGCGTCGAGTACACGTTGAGAATCCGGTCTTGGCGTACGTCGGGAAAGGCATTGGCCGCCACAGCGCCAAAGTTGTGCGCAGGCACGAATGCACCGGCAAAGACACCTATGGGACGTCACGAATTGGAGCCAACGACCGAGCAGGACATACGACGCGATGGAGATCAAAGCGGGTACGAGGTGACAACGCATTCTGCGCTGCGAGGCGATCGAGGAGGCTATAGAGCACCGCGCCGCCGAGCGAGTGACCGAGGAGCGTCACCTTGCGGCCGCGCGTAATGGTCGGGTGCGTGCGGAGCACATCGGCGAGGATATGACCAACTTGGTGGGCCTTGTTCTTGGCACGGTTCCACGGATTGCCTACGGGTGTCTCAATTGCATCGTGACTCGTCGTATCATGTTACCTGTAAAGTGGGTCGCAATCACGTCTTCGCGGCCCGTCTCGAAATGGCCTTGGAACTTGTCGACAAAGTCGTCCCACTCGGCGCCGTTCCCAGCTTCCCACAAAACGACGTAACATGCCACTATGCCAGCTCTGTAACTATGCCAGAGGTAAGAGCGGTTTACCGTTCTTGCGCTGGCAGTAGGTAGCCCAGTTGGTTGATGGGTCCATGCCATGCGTCATAAAGCCATTGACGGCGATCACAACGTGCTCGCAGGTTGAAATGTCTCCACTGTGGTGCTCCAGCTTGAGGTAGTCGACGGCGCGAATTCTCTGGTTGGTTTCCATCGACTTGAGCGCTGCTTCTTTCGCTGTCTCCCACAGAAACGACGACTTGGACGCGGGCGCGTCGCGCTATACTCACCAACGAGTGTGAGTACGTTGTCTTCTCCATTATCGACTTGCTACCGTCGCGACGGGTGTCTTGAAGAACGCACTCGCAGCGCCCCAGAGCCCGCCAGCGATGGCGGCCGCCACGTCCGTGTCGAGGACTTGGTCCGTCGGCTGGCTTGCAATGGCCGTGCTGAGCTCGCGGTCGAGCTGCGCCAGCATCCGATTGTGCAGGTTTGCCTTGACCGACTTGGCGTCCTGTTGCATCATGTGCCACTCACCCTCGGTCAATTGGCCCTTCGCAATGAGGTCCCGGGCATCGCCCTGGAGAAATCGGCCGTCGTCGACCATGCTGCGAAATCGCTTATCCGGATAGGAGGCAGTTGCGGTCGGGTAACGAAAGACGCTCAAGCGCAGCATGATGGATTTAGAAGCAGGAAATAGATAAAGCTAGGCTTCGTAACCCGTGAGGTCAAGGGTGAGGCACTTGGAGCGCTGAGAGCCAATGTCCTTGCAGACGCCAATGAGCGCATCAGCCTTTTCGTAGAACGAGTCTTTGAGCGAGATGACGATGCACTGGAAGTCGCACTTTTGGATGTACGTCGACACCTTGTTGACGTTGATGTTGTCCAGCGCCGCGTCAACCTCGTCGAGTACAAAGAAGGGCGACGGCCGGTAGCTGTGGATCGCAAAAAGGAGTGCGAGCGCAGCCACCGTCTTCTCGCCGCCGCTGAGCTGCTCCATCTCGCGGAACCGCTTCATGGGCGGCATCGCGTTGTACTTCATGCCATGCAAGTACGGCTCCTCGGGGTTGTCAATGTTGAGGTACGCGGTACCGCCCAGTGGGTGCTTGGAGCTCTTGGTCAGGTTCTTGTACACGCTGTCGATGCACCCCGAGACGTGGTTGTACGCCTCCATAAATCGCTCGTAGCGCGCCTCGCGCACCTCATCAAAGCGCGTCGCGGCCTCTGCTGCGCCAGCCTACGCGTCTCGATAAGCTCTAACGATCAAATGGATAACACGTACCTTGATGCGCTCGAGCTCGGCTTCTTCGTGGCTGATGCGAGATTGGATCTCGTCGTACTTTTCGAGGGCCTTCATGTTGGGCTGCATGCGCTCGAGCTCGGCCGCGAGCGTCGCAATCTGCTGCTCGTACTTGGTCGCGAGGTCTTCTCGCTCCTTGTCGTTTGCAAATGAGATGCGGTCCAGCCCGGAAAAGTCGATGGTTTCGTCCACATAGCGCTTGTCGGCCTGCGCCGTCAGCGTCACGCTGCTATCGCCCATCGACGATTGCTGACTCTCGACCATGTCGACGTCGCCATCGCTGTCGTCGTCGGAGGTATGACCCACAAGTGGAAGCTTCACTTGGTCCATCGTCGCACGCTTGAGAATTTCGTGCTTCTTGTCCTTCAAGCGATCCAGCGCCGCCTCTTGGGCCGCGATTTTCTTGTGGATGTCCGCAACGTCCGTGTCGAGCGACTCGCGTTGCTTGGCCATAGCCTTCAGCTCGGTCTCGATCGCCTTGAGTGCGACGTGGGCCGCCGCCGCCGCGTCTGTCTTGGCCTTGTTGTCAGCTTCGAGCTTTGACGTCTGCGCGACGAGCGACTTCTTCTCGTGCTGAATGTCTTCAAGCGTCTTGGTCTCTTTTGCGATCGACGCTTTGCAATAGTCCCAGCGACGCCGGTTGTCGTGCCCTTCCAAGTATTGCAGCTAGACAAGTGCGTCACGATGACCATCATGATGTCTCAACATACCTGCGCCTGGATTTTGGCCATGTGACTGTGAAGCTTGCGACGGCGGTCGATGCGCTCCTGCTGCTGTTTTACGACCTTCTCTTCGTATTCGCGGATGTTTTCAATGCCGAACGACTCGCTGAAGTCCTTGAACATGTCGTCTTCGACCTAGTAGTCCATTTATAAGCGTCATTCTTGGGTATTGAGAGCAGAAGGGCACATACCGAATGGATGTCGTGCTCAAGCGCACGCATGTCGGTCGCGCGCGCTGCAATCGACTTTTTGACCTTTTTGATCTCAGGAAGAAGGGCAGCGAGACGCTTCTTGCAGTCTTGCATACGGGCCTTGATCTTCGGGATCTTGGCTTCGGTCGTCGCAATGTCGGCCGTCGCGTAACGCAGACGGTTGCGGAGCGACCCGAGCTTCGTTTCGAGAGTTTGACGGCGCACGGCACCGGTGCTTTCCTTCTCGAGAGCCATAAGCTCCTACACACCGATAGCAGTGCATAATGCTACGCGATCCTCGTCATAAGACGCACCGACTGCAGCGCATCCCGCTTGTCTTTGAGGAGCTGCGTTTCCTTTTCGTCCCAGCGGCCAGCGCGCGCGGCGTCCTTCTGGGTGCGACCACCCGTCATGCTGCCGTTCTTGCTCACGACCATGCCGTTGAGCGTCACAGCCTTGACCTTTTCGTTGCGCTGGAAGCAAATCTCACTAGACACGACCATTGAGCGATACGAGGCGAGAAAAAGAGATGGCATTTGTACCGCGCTTCGTCAATGTTGTCGCACACGATCGTGTCCGAGACAGCGTAGAGCACGGCGGGTTGGATGTCGTGGTCGCAGTCAATGACGTCCACAACAAGCTTAACGCCGAGGTCGCGAAGGCGCTCGTTGATGGGCTTGATGCGAATCTTGTCGAGCGGAATAAACGAGATGCTGTCGAGTCGGTTGTCACGAAGGTACTACTCTTGGCGTCAAAGTATATATCATGGAAACCAACGCGTACATACCTGAATGCACTCTTGGCCCGTCTTGTAGTCGTTCACAACGAGCGAGTCCATATGCTTGCCGGTCGCGACCGTCACAGCCATGTTGTACTTGCGTTGGATCGGCTTGCACAAGTCCACGAGGCGACCGCGGACGCCGGGAAAGAGACGCTGGAGCGTATCAAATGTTTGGGACTTCTTCAGCTCGGCCTGGCTTTGGCGCCAGTCGTCCTTGACATTGCGCAGTTGCTACAACAGCGCGCTTTAGTATGAGACGTCGTCATGCAGGATAAAGCGCGTACCAGCTGGAGCTTGTCCAACTCGGTCTTGAGCGACTGTTTTTGTTGGAAACGTCGATTTCCTATGATCCATTCGATATGCAAAGGTGCCACGGACAGGCATTGCATACGTGCTGCTCCGTGTTCTGGAGGTCGCTCTCAGCTTGCGCAATCTCTTCCTTACTCTTCGTGATCACGCGTTTGATCTAACATGGCCTTAAGTGATGACGAATGACCCACAAGGACGTACGTCGACAAGTCGGTCCTCGGCTGATTTACGATCTTCCTTCAGCCGGTTCATTTCCTCCGTGTGCTCTTTTTCTTCTTGGGACAAGGTTGCGAGTCGGCTTTCGTCGGCCGTCTCTTGTCGCGCCAACTACAAGCACTTTACATCCATGCAGTTGGTCATGGGCGCACGAACCGACGCCAAGTCGTTGCGCAACTTTGTGGTTTCAATCAAGGCCGCCTCTTTGATGCGATGGTACTCTTCGAGTTGGTTGCCCTCGAGCACAAGTTCTTCGTCGTCTTTGGTCTCTGCGAGCACAGCTTCGGCCTGCGCACACACATAAGACACATGCAACGTAGCGCGCAAAGTGCATACCTTCTTGAGCTCCGCAAGGTCGGCATGCAATCCGTCCATCTCGTCGTTTTGCTCTTCGACCTTCTTGGCCATGACCTTTTCTTGTGCGATCGCGGCGTCGAGCTTTTCTTCGAGTGCTTGATGTGCTCGTTCAGCTGGATGAGCCGCGGCGCGACGTTGTCGACCTGCTGCTGCACATTCATAGCGTTCATATCGCGCTGCCGGCACTCCTTGAGCTGCAACGCATGCTGCTTCTTCTTGTCCTTGAACGCATCCAAAATTGTCTACGCATTTCGTATCAGATACCACACAACGAAACAAAGTCAAACCTTGTTGTCACCGAGGATTTCGTCGAGCTGCGTTTGGGCGTCGTCCATCACGCGCTTGCGACCTGTCGCTTCTTCCGCGACGTGGAAGAGTTGCCATAAATAGTTGTGCTGCTTCACGCGCGTGAGCTCCTTGCGCTTCTGCTTGAAGCGCTCGGCCTCTTCCTTTTGCTCGCGCACGATCTTGCGCTCGGCCGCGAGACCCTTCTTCTTTTGGTACGCAAAGATCGTGTTTTCCTCGGCCGCGTTCTTGGCTTCCATGCACTTTTCGTACTCGTCCTTGAGCTCGTCCGACGACGAAATCATCTCAAAGAGGCGAGTGAGTTGCTCTGGGCTCTTGGACGCGATCGACTCGACGTCGCCTACCAACACAGCTTAGCGCCGCGATGTTGCAGTCGTGCTCACCTTGAAAGACGAGAAAGTTGCGCGCCTTCACGAGAATGCCAAGGTCCTTGAGAATATTTTCGTACTCGTCATGGGCCACGTCGCTGCCGTTGACACTGTAGGACCCAACGCCCTTGTCCGAGATGCGACGCGTGAAGTTCAACTCGTCGGACGGGAGCTCGCCGAGGTGCGCCGTGATCTTCTCCTTCTCGGCGTCATCGAGTCCATAGATGAGCGAGACATACGCTCCATCGGGGCTCACGTCGTTCGTCCCGTCCTTATGGAGGAGGTCCTTGAGCTGGTTCGAGCGCAGCTGCCGGCTGTGGACGCCGAGGACGAAGCTGATGGCGTCCATGAGGTTGGACTTGCCGGCGCCGTTGGGCCCGATCACGGCCGTGAAGCGGTAGAAGGGACCGATCTCTTGCTTCCCTCCATACGACTTGAAGTTGCTCACGTCGAGGCGAAGGATGCGGCCCATCTTCGTGCTGGTTCCGCGGGCCCCAAATGGAAATTCCCGACCTCGGCACAGCGCGGGAATCCGCGTTAGAAGCACAAATCCGGATCACGCTGTTGTATCCGAAACGTGTTTTTGATATAAGATCATGTTTTACGGGACATATACGATATGATTAACCGTGGCTTGCATTGGCTAAGATCACGCCGCTTGCGTCGCATCCTCTGCTATTATGGTGCATTCTACCTCAGTATCAAGCAAAAGCAGACCGACGCAAGTATGTTAAATGGTGATGAAATACACGGATACCATGCTTAAGGCTGCTGCCGTCGTTAGGTTGTGCTGATGTGAGCGGACATCGGTCGCAGTTGCGTTGATCTAGACTTAGTAATTCTACGACATACAAACAACAAGCTTGGCGAAAAGCAAGCCCAAAAGTACGTTCAGCATGCGTGTTCGAAGCACGAGTTGCGGAATTTCGAGACCAGTCGCACGAAGCAGCGGACAGAATGGGCGAGCGCAAGGTCTTGAACAAGTACTTCCCGCCGGACTTCGATCCGGCGCTTATGCCTCGGCGCAAGCAGCCGAAGAACATGCAGATCGAGGTGCGTATGATGCTGCCCTTCTCGATCCAGTGCAGCACGTGCGGCGAGTACATGTACCGCGGCAAGAAGTTCAACTCGCGCAAGGAAGACGTGCTCGAGGAAGACTACCACGGCATCAAGATCTTCCGCTTCTACATCCGATGCATCACGTGCGCGAGCGAGATCACGTTCAAGACGGATCCGCAGCATGGCGACTATGCTGCCGAGCATGGCTGCCAACGCAACTTTGAGCCATGGCGTGAGACCGACGCTGACGAAGCTGCGGTGCTAAAGGAGCGCGAAGAAGAAGAAAAGGGCGACTCGATGAAGGCGCTGGAAAACCGAACGCTCGACTCGAAACGAGAGATGGACATTCTCGATGCGCTCGACGAAATTAAGGCCATCAACCAGCGCCACGCCAAGGTCGACACGGACGCGCTACTTGCCAAGGTCGCCAGCAGCGGCGAGCAGCCCGTGGAAACCAAGATCATGACCGAAGAAGAGATCCAAGCCGAGATGGAAAACTTCCGGAAGCGCAAGCTCGAGCAGCTCGCGTCGGGGCCACCTGCCAAGGCGGCCAAGACCGTGCCGGTAACGCTGGCTGCCCCTGAGCAAGTGAAGCCGGCGCCAGCGCCCATTGTGATCAAGAAAAGAAGTCAGTGGTGGCGTCCAAGCCGAAAGCCAAGGCCGCGCCGGCTAAGGCGGTTGCGTTGGTCGGCAATTACGATAGCAATAGTGACTAGGTTGCGTGAAATGAAGAACTTTGCTGCTTGCGACATTACTCGATCCATCTACGGGTTGTAGGGCGTGATCATGTTCTTCGCAAACGACTTGAGCGCGGGCACACCACGCACTTCTTCGTTGAGGAGCGGCATCTCGAGAACGTGAAAGTCCTACGTGCGATGTGCTAGCCTCGTGCTGAGAGAGCAAGCGTTTTGCGTACCTCGTACAAGTCGTAGATCTGGTCCAGGTACTTTTGCTGCATCTTTTGGCGCGCGCAGCAGTTGTTGCACGTCGAGTCTAGGTGTCTCGCTTGAATGTGTTGAGGCTGCGGAATCACACTAATACCTTCTTCCGGGTACAACACCTGGTTCACGACGACGTTGTGGACGTCAATGTCGTACTTGGTGAGCTCCTACATCATGGATCGAGCTTGAAATGGTCTAATAGGCAGACGCAGAAGCATCGCTGTCATGTACCTGCACCAGACGCTCGGTTTCGTAGAGCGAGAGAAACTCGGGGATGCAGACGCACACAAAGGTCGTGCGGTCGGCGTCCTTGAACTGCTCGTTGACCTACAAGCATTGCTTCGCATCAAGACACAGTTGTTGATGTTAGGGTGGGCTACCTTTTGGATGACTTCGCGCGTCTGCTCGAGCTTGCCGACGAGCATTTCCTCGGAAGGCAAGGCGCCGCCAAAGAGCGCCGACATCTATGCATGCATTGATCGATATGGATGTTGTTGCAGGTAAACACACCTGACCAAACATGCCAGAAAATTGGTTCTTGAGCGCCATCAGCTTGCCAAAAGCCTTGTCGAGCGCAGTCGGGAAGCTGAGGAGGCGGAGCGTGTGGCCCGTCGGCGCCGTGTCGAAAACAATGACCGAGTAGTCCATGTTCTGCACTTGCTTCATGAGCTCGGCAAAGCTCATGGCTTCGTCGATGCCAGGAATCGAGTTGGTCAAGTCCTTCATGAACGACTGCATGCCCGACGCATCCGAGACGCCGTCTACGCTGTCGTCCATCTGCACCGCAAAACTTCGTCATGGTAAAGCAGACACCAAGATGTCTTACCTCAATGGTTGGGTCGATCTCCATGACGAAGAGGTTGTCAAAGCCATTGACAGCGGTCGGCTCACGCGTAAAGCGCTGACCAAAGGCGTCGCTAAGGTTGTGCGCCGGGTCCGTCGAGACGATGAGGACCTTCTCGCGGTGGCTGGCGAGGGTCACGCCGAGGCAGCACGACGTCGTCGTCTTGCCAACGCCGCCCTTGCCACCGACGAAGATCCACTTGAGCGACGTCTGGTCCACGAGGTTCTGGAGCGTGCCTTCCGGGACGTCAGCCATGTTGCGAATTTTTCGATTTGGCCACAAATGGGAAAATACCCCTCGACAACCAATAACCTTTCAGACCGTATTAAATCATGAGCCCCACCTCCTTGACCCGGAGCTCAAGACGCATACGTGTACAATGCAGATTGTGCACGATCCAGGAGAAAATACAGAAAGCTACGCAAGACAAGACACGCGTGAACGACAACAACATCATTTCCAGCATGATCACATAGTATTGGTTGTCGGCCGCGTTCGACGAGTCCGCAATGGCCACGGATCTACTGTATGGCCACCACCTTCAACACGTTCCTCCATACCTCACCATGAGTAGTCGTAATAAGGACTGGCAGTTCGCATGTACATAACCGCTGCTGTGCTGGAGCAAATATAGCCTCTTCTCTTCGAATTGGGCCTCTGCTCATCTCAGGATAAAATTAGCTCACTATAAGATCATACGTGATCCAAACTGAGCGATGAACGTGAGCTGGTACCCCAAGGCAGCTCTGACTGAGCAGCCGAGCTGTGTCGTGCCATTTGAGCCCCTGTCACCGTCAGGTCAGTCTGGACCCGTGGTTCCTCCGCACTTGGGCCGCCGCCGCCTCGTTTACTACACCACTTTGGCCGTTTGGGTTTTCCTCTCGCTTAACTCGTTTCTGGATCCATTCAAGACGCTGTATGGGTACTACCTGACCACGGACAGCCACGAACACGCCAGCGTGTGGGCCCTCCAAGTCACCAACGCCTTCAACAACATCTCGTCGACTGTTTGCGATCAGGGCGGGCCTTTTCTCAACTGCTACTTTGAGCTGCCCGTGTTTGGCGTTGGGTCATTGGCTGGCGCTGTGTGTCGGTCGTACTACCCTGTTGACATGCGCGACACACAGCACATTGGTATCTTCTTTGGTAATTGCACGCTGCCAAGCGGTGTCCGTCTCGATTTGCCAAACGAAGAAGTAGCGACGAGTCAATGGTCGGTGCTCACAAGCTCAACTCAAAAGGACTGTCTGGACAAGCTCGGTGAAGGGGATGCATTTCCGTGCGACACGTACACAACCGCAAACGGCCGAGTGATTCACCACCGACTCAGCAGAACCGAGACGGATCGCTGGTGCAAAGAGTTTGGCGGCTACTACATCTTGAACAAGACGTCCAACAAACGAGAAATACTGGTCGCGAATGCGTCCGTGGCGAGTGCCCCTGTCTTTACCAGCCTCGTGCTGGATGTGGAGACACCAGTCTTCAGCCTCCACGACATTCTGGGGTGTCCGGCCACTTTTTTCGTCGGTGGAACAGCTGACCACATTTCAACGACATCGTGGTACGGCGACACGATTGGGGCATGGACTGCGCGGACGACGAGGTCCCCGTACACGACGACGCTCACGCGACGCAATAAACTCGTCAGTGTGGCCGCCTTCACATGGCACGATGGCGGTATAACGCAGATCCGTTCCATCTCGAAAGATCTCTTGCGCTGCTGCCTACTCCTCCTCGTGGCCTACTTTCGGGTCTCGTCTATCTACTACCCGATATGGCTTGTCTTCAGACGACAAGGTCAGCCGTTCTGGACGTGGGCCGGCGGCCGCCACATGGGCTTGGTGCTCCACAAACGCGAGCGTCGGTGCCTTGCCGTGCTCTTTCTGCTCTCGTTCGAGGCGCTCCTAAGCACGGAAGACATTGTCATGTTTTGTCAGCACGCGGTCTACACGGTCCCGACCTCGTATACGACGATCGCTTTGACGTACATGTCGATTACGCGCATCATTTGGCCCTCTGCGTTCTTGCTTCTTGCATTGTCTCGACTCCTCGAGTGGCTCTTTGGGCCGAAATATGCGTTCGCTCTCTCGGAAGACCTCTTTCTCCTTGGCGCGCCCGTTGTGTGGTTCTACTTGCCTTCGTATGTCACCACCCAGGGCATGAAACTCTTCCAGGGGTACCGCTGGACCGGCGTCGTCGTCCACCACTACGTCAACACGATCCACAACGCGTATTCGCACCAAAAAGACTCGTGGGCGCTGTACGTGGAGCTTTTCGGCTACTTTACACTGCTCTCATCGCTGCTTACGATCGTACTCGGCTTTGTTTGGCAGTCGGTGACGCACATGACGAGCATCCTCGCGTTTCTATTATCGCGCCAGCGCTATCGCCGTGTACGTGAGCTCAAGGGTACGACTGGGACGCTCGAGGCCGTGCTCCTTGGTGCTGCCGACGGGCTATCGCCAGAAATCGCGTTTCAAGTTACAAAAGCAAAGTGGCCGCGGTCGCAGCGATGTGAAGGCATGAACCTCGCGTCCGAAGGCCTCCTCTGCCTCGTGTACGGGTCGACCCATGTCCTCGCCACTGTCGAGTGGGGCATTGTTGGTCCGGTGCTCAACCCCCAAGGCCACGCCGCCGTTATCGAAGGCCACTCGGTCTCATTTCGACCCGATGTGACGCGCGACACGCTCTCAAGTATCACGCCCGCTCCCGCTCGCGTCGGCATTCCAGATCTGATTTAGAGAACCGCGTTGAACAGTCGATTGCACTCAGGTAGCACTGTGGATTGCACTAACCTTTATTATATATTCAAGAAATCAAGACCTTCCATACCCGAGAGTTTTGTCGTGGTGTACTTCTGTGTGTCTGGAAGTGTGCGTGGAGTTTCAAACCAAAACTACTTGTGCTAATATGCTGATGAACGCGCACGTCCATGAAATTGGGCTTCGAGAATGTAGCAGCCAATCCTTCTCGAAGATGAGTGACCTAAGCTTATCACGGGTGTACATCACACACCAGCCAGTCGTTGCCCGACGGATTCGATTACATGTACACGACAATCGACGGCACGGTCCCATGAAAGTCCTCGTCGTCTCGTCGCAGGCGCACGGAACCGCCATCTCAGACAGCACGCTCGACAAGAATGCCAAGCCTGCGCACCAGTGCAGAAGACCGCCATGCCTACTGTACGACTCTCCCCACCAGCGACGGCGTTTTTCTCGACCGTTATGGCAGCTGGGGCTGCGGAGGGGCTTTGCACCCAAGCGCGGCCACGCTCCAACTCGCAGCTTCTCGAACTTCAAGATCCCACGTTGCAGTATCTTGCGTCAACCTGTGAGAATTGATATTGGCCACTTTGCACTTGGCAGCAAGTCTTGCTGATGTTGGGGCTGTACCCTTCAAAGAGCACGAAGCATACCGGTACATTGGTGCTATGAGATGCACCGAGGTGTTGTCGGCAGTGCGTGCTGTACTTACAGTCAGTGTACAAGTCTACGATCAAGGTTTGCATCTTGAAGAACCGCGATTACGCAATAGCCAGCAATTGTGCCGTGGTCAACGTCAACGCTCTTTTAGGGCCCCTACCTAATAAATTCGTTTTCGATCCCACCCATTTCCATACAAAATATTCATAAATATAGTCGACGTACCCATGGTGGGGGCACGCAAAACGAAAAAACACGGTGACGCTCGAAGTGACACGAGTGTGACGTCATGTGATTGGCTAGGCGCTCAAAGTGCTTTTTTGGCGAGATCGCACAAGTCCTCTACCACCGCCGTGACTCGGATGGACCTGCTTCGGCGCCTCATCGTGGCGCACATGGCCAAGATGGAGAGCTACCTCCAGTTCGTCGGTGTCTATTTGCCGACGCAGATCTACGCGTATCTCTCGTTTCTGCCGCCCGTCGTGACCTACTCGTTCGTCTACATCATGCTTCAGGTATAGCACTTGCATCCTCGTTCACTGCTTATGGTATGCATCAGGCCTTGGCGATCCTCTGGGGCTTCCTCTTCAATGTCGGATCGCTTCTTGGCGAGAACGTCATTGCGATCGCGACCATGCCGTGGTCCCAAGCGCTCTCGGTGCTCTTTGTACATTACTCGGTCATTGGCATTATCCTCAGCATTGGCCGTACGACGTGGATTCTCACGTGGCAATCGGTCGAGAACTTTCCGTACATCCGCCGCGTCATGCGCCACGAAGCGTCGCCGCAACTCGTCGTCTTTCTCTGCGCGCTGCCCATTCTGCTGCTACTCAGCAGCCTCATCGTCGTGCCGTCCGTGTGCACCAACCTCGACACATCGCTGCCGATCGAGTCGACGATCTGCAAAACGAGCTATCTTCGGTTCCTCACGCCCGCGTACCCCGTCTTCCAGCGGTCGCTGCGCCTCACCACGATCATTGCCTCGTGGCAGTTTGTCCAGGTCGTGCTCGAGATCATTCCGCGCTGGCGCGTCATCCTGCAGCGTACGCTCATCGACATGATGACTAACGGTACTGACTTATGCTGCTGGTATATAGACATGTCGCTTCTCAACGTTTGTGTCCTCGGGCTCTCACTCATGGGACTCAACGGCCTTACGGTGCTCTGGACAATCGAGTGGCTCTTGCGTCACTTTCACGTCAAGTTCACGTCGTTTAGCGACCTCTCGCCACTGCGTTGGGAGACGACGGGCCTTGTCCTTCTCTGCCTCTGGATCCTCTGGTTCCTCACGCTCGTGTGCCACAGCTTCCCGCTCTCATTCCCCTCGACAGACGATGCGTACCTCGCCGCATTCTTTGGGCGCATCAAGCTCTCGTTCATTCTCGGCCAAGTCATCGTTTTTGTTCGCGCGTGCGTGCACCCGCAGATGGGCTTTGTGCACGCGCAGCTCGAGCTCACCATCATCAACCTCCTCCTTCCGCTCATTTACGTCTTCTCGCTCATTTGTCTCCGGGGTCTCTGTCTCTCGTCGCCGCGCTCCGTCTTCATTAGCGTTCCGATCTCGGCCGGCACCGCGTACCTCTTGTACCGCGTCTCAGGCATCGACCACCCGCACATATTTGTCGTCATGGCGCTTTTCCTCTACGGCAGCCTCCTCCGGTGGCTCCAGCACACGGCGCACAGCAGTACGCCCGGTCGCCGCGTCTCTTTCTCGTCCGAAGATCAGGTCAAGCACATTCGACCGCGCACGTACCAACGCGTCGCCTTCCGCTTCCTCCTCGCCGGCTCGAGCATCCTCGCGCTCTACATCCTCTTTCTCTCCGGCTTTGGCGCCCTCACGTTTCTCCAGCGTCAATCCGAGTGGTTCCCCGACGCCGCGTCGCTCGTCATGACGCCAACCGAAATCAACGTCCAGCACGCGCGCGTATGCATTCCCTTATTTGCGCATCTGGGCATGACACAGATGGACTATAGGTCGTAAACCTCAAGCTTAAGCTCACGCACGACGAAGCGCCGCCGATAGTGCCGCAGCCACCGTTCTACGCAAGCTGCGGCAACCGGTGGCATGATCTTAGCCTCGTCGACTACGCACTCATGTCCCAAGCCGCGTACTTTAACCCAACGGGCAGCGATCTGCCCGACTTTCTCGCCACCGTCTTTCCTCACACGGCCGACGGCGTCCCGATGTTTGACATTCGGATTCCTGATAATTACACGGCAAAAGGGTCCAAAGTCGAGTTCTTCGAGGTTTGGATTTGACCATGTGATATGACTTTCTCATTTTTAGTGTGGTAGGCGTACTCGGCGGCGCTCAACCTCTCGGTGATTTCGGTGCGCGGGACGGACGTCGGCCGGTTCCGAGACCTCATTGAAGACGTCAAGATGTTTGCCGAGCCGGTCATTTTTGCCATTCTTTCGAGCATTTTCCCCACGATTCGTATGTGGCCCGATGGTACGACAGTCACAATCGTCTTCGTTGCATCTCATTACTGTTTAGTGACGTTTTCGACGCTCATTGAGCTCTACCACGAAATGATGTCACTTTTCGGGCTCAGCCACGAGTATTGGTACTACCACGAGCTCATGCACTACGTGCAATCCATTACGGATCGCGACGTCATCTTGACAGGCCACTCGCTCGGTGGCGGCATCGCTCGGTACTACTTTTGATCTAACGCTATCGCTCGGGTCTGACACTTGTCGTTTGTGTTAGCGTCGTGGGCTCGATCTTGGGGAAGCCATCCGTCTCGTTCTCGCCACCAGGTAAACCCTCGTCCTGTGGTCGATGCATCCAGACTCTTACCATGTACTTGGCAGGCTCGGTGCAGACGTACAGCAAGCTCGTGCACGACATTGCGGGCGAAAACTCGATCGTGGACCGCAGGCGCCTGCACCATTTGTCAACGTGTGTGATTCCAGGTACACTGCCTCCTAATCTACCGTTCCCACGGATTGACGTGGTCTGCAGAATATGATCCGATCACGATGATCGACACGCAGTCCGGTTTGATCCAGCGGTATGCGCGTGTGTTGCTGGAAGAGCTCATGTTGTTCGTAGCATTACGTGTGACTCGTCGCACCTTTCGATGCAGCTCAGCTGCCACATGAACGAAGGCACGCTATGCAACTTGATGTCGCATTGTGGCGACCACCGCGGCCGGTTCGCGGCGTGTACGTTCGAGCACCGCGTGTCGACGATCTCGGAGGATATCTTTGAGATGGTGTTTGTCGATTTGGTCGCGCCCACGACGCTTAGTGGCCTCATGATTGCTGTCGCGATTCTCTTTTCGCTCATTCGGTACAAGTACATTCGCCGCTACCAGCGCCAGATCCTCCGTCTAAAACGCTAAGTGGACTTGAGTTAACTTAAAATCGGAGCATCGAGCGATCCATCATCCTACGTTCAATAGAGTTGTTGAAGCATCAACGATATTTGGGCCCTTGGTCGAATCAAGGGAAACAACGAGCACTAGTAGCACTTGTTGACCATCGAATAGACAACATACATCCTACGCTGTATGAACATGCTCTTGATTGCTCGTGTACAAGGAGTCAATTGCACGATTCATTACGCAATAGAATGGGAATACAGCGCTTAGATGTCTTGCATCATGGGCGAGAGGTCCGGACGGCGCGCGCCGACGACAAAGAAGTCGGACTCACGCCACGCCACGTCAATATCCTCAAAACCGACGCTCTCGAGCCACTTCATTTGGACAAAGACGCTTGCCATGCCCACGTGATCGCCCATGATGACGTGGCCGCCAGGCACGAGCGAGTCGAAGAGGAGCTGGAAAATGCGCATGTGCGCGTCCGTGATCGATTCGAACTCCTTTTGGTCTGGCGCGTAGTGGTCCGGCTTCTCCACGAGCACGTGCACGGCGAGCGAAGCCGTAATGGCGTCAAAAGGCCCTTTCTCGAGCACCGCGACCTCGTTCAAGTTGACGGTGCAGTAGCTGTGCCGGTGGTACTGGCTCAAGCGCCTCGCCGCCAACTGCTGGCGCTCGACCGACTGGTCAAAGAGCACAACTTGCGCGTCCGGGTACGCGTCAAGCACCTTCTCAGCGCAGAGGCCGCTGCCGGCGCAGAGGTCGGCAACCTTGGAGTTTTCGCCCAGCGGCGGGAGCGCATAGACCATCTGCTCGAGCATCTTGGGCACAAGGGGCAGCCGCCGCACGAGCTGGAGGTCGTACCAGCGCGCATCGCCCCAGAAGCCTGCCTGTGGCTGGTGCGCGCGGTAGAGGTTACGCAGCCACGAGGTCGGCGCGACGGACGCGTCCGGCTCGATCGCTGCGCCGGGGACCATGGCTCTGGCCTTCGTCCGCGGATGTTTGGCCGGGCGCGGCGTCGGCGTGAGATAGTCCTTTGGGACGTTCTCGACGTACGGGCACTTGCCGAGGTGGTTGCGCATGAGCTGGAGGCGGGACACGATGGCCTTGGGCTCTGGCGCGCCGAGCGCGCCATGGACGCCGGTCTCGATCTGGGTCTGGTGGGCGGCCCGACAGGCCTTGCACTCGACGTACCAGTAGCTGTGGTACTTCTCGCGGTTCACGAGCTTGGTGAAGAAGCGCCAGATGTCATCGTTCTTGTGGGCGCCGCCTTCGCGTACGTACGCCATCGCTTCTTCCCCCGTCACCGCCATGGATTGGGCAAAATGCAACGAGACTCGGATCGCGATTGGATTGCGCAACGATTATTGCACCAAAATTCCGCCAATCACAACTCGTCTAGAACCAACGACGCCCTTCTCCTCCCGCGGCCACAACGAGGCACCCTTCGACCAGAAGACCAAATCCTGTGCGTGCCCGTCATGTGCATTACATGGAACGGCTGACGCAACCACAGAGCTCGCTCGATCGGAGAGCACTATCAAGGCCCGAGTTGTCGCCCATTGGCTAAAATGTCCGATGAGTACACTTCAACGATTGGCTTCTTTAGCCCAATGAAAGCGGACACCGTTCGCGATCGGCTTGTTCTTGTCGGCGGAATTTGGCAAGCTCATGCTTGCGCTCGCGCTCGGCCTTAACTTTGATCTGCTTCTCGAGTGTGGCTTGGGCGACGCGCTCTTGGCGGCTCGTCTCGTCAATGGTTGTCGCTTGCGGCCCAACCTGCAATGGCAGCAGCGATGACGGACCTGGTGCGTGCTGCTGCTTGCGCTCAACCAGCGCGATCTTTTGCCGTCGCTTGCGATCCTGGGATTGCGCCCGGTTCAAGTCTCGTGTAACTTGTGCTTGGGCGAGACGCGTTGCGGTGGGTGAGAGTGACGGTTCCTTTGATCCTAGTGCAGGCAAGCGGAGGCGCGAGGAGGACGCGTCATCCTCGACACGGTTGTCGCTGGTGACGATCGATCCTTGAAAGGCGCCGGGCATGTGGGGTAGTACACGCGTCGACTTTCTCAGTCCATGGCCAGGCGGCGTTCCGGGTCGTGCGGGTGCTTGACACGCGCTTGCCGTCACGATGCCCGCAAGGTCGTTCTCTTGTTGGTTGCTGGTCGAAAGTGGCTTGAGCGCATGGGCTTTGTGCCTGCGTGCGGGGTCGGTGGTCTGAGGCTCCGATGGCCTTCGTATCTAAAAAGTATCAACGCTATAAGGGGTTGCTGCTACTTGCAGCATTCTACTCCAGTGAGCGGCTCGATCGTGCCATTGGGCTTTTTCATCAGTGACACGACCGACATGAGTCCAATCGGTGGCAACGCAGTCTACACGCTTGTGAAAAAAGATTCGAACGTGAGGGGTACCGATGATGCCGCAGGCTCGATTTTGCGCTCTTTCTTTGCCAAAGCACCTCCTTCGTTGGCAAGGCCTGGGAACAGCACGTGGGGGCAGTGCTCGATCGGACAGTGGTATTTCTGAGCAAGGACATGCTGTAGCAAGCAGCTCTCATGGAACGTGTGCTACAGAGCTTTATAATGCCGTATTTCTAAATATGAAGAAAGATACATGGCACGGTAGTTGGCGTATGTCCATTGACATGCGCAGGCCTTGCGTACACAGTGTACACCAGATGCTCACATCGGGATTCGCTGGTGCCCACTCTTTCGCTTGTGCAGCACCCAACTAACTCGATTGAGGTGAGAGAACACTCGAGCGGAGCTCACCTTGTCGCCGACGAGATTGGCCATGAGATAGTCTTGCAGTGGGTACTTTTCGGCTGCATCGAGCTACGAGACGCCATATATATATAGACGACAAGACGAGAGTGTCACAAAGAGACCTCGCAGAGAAGGTCATAGTCGGCGTGAGAAAGCTCTCGGCCTTCAAGGTCGTTTATCGCTTGAGGACTTAGCAGTGCGTCCCGGAGAGACCGCAGCGCTGGAAACCACGTGCCTTTGTGTGCCTTGCGTAGCACAAACGAGTGCTTGGCGTGGGCGTTGCTCTCTACAGGTGTAGCAGTCGTGTCTTGTACTTCAAACAAGTTTTGGATCGTACTAAAGCAGCGCTCGCATAGGTCCGTGTGCTTGCACTGGAGACAACGATATCGGTTGCAGCGAATTGGCTTGGTCTGGCACTGTTTGCATGTCGTGCCAGTGTGCACGAGTGGGTTGCGGTTCGAGATGTCGGCTTCCTTCTTCAACTCCGTGAGTGCCGAGTCCCCCCAGTCGTGGCGGCATAGTGGGCAGCTGATCGGTTCTTTCGATTGTTTACGGCTCTCCCCAAACACCTTCACTGGAGGAATGTGAGTCTATCAATGTTGCCTCGCACTAAAGGGCTCGTACTGCAGTCGATGTGGAAGTTGTTGCCGCAGCCGTGCTTGCAGTACGTGAGGTTTTTCTCGCTCTCGACCATTTCTTCTTGGCAAATCGCGCATACTTCACCCTCGACAAGCGCATGTCGGGTCGCAACTTGTTTTTTTGTCGTCTCGTCGACCTCGGGTGTCTCGGGGGCTAACTTTCGGCGCAAGAAAGCAGGTTTTGCGCGCGCACTCGTTTCTTCGCTGTACCCACCGCTGAGGAGCGTTGTAATCTACACTTCGCCTTATGGACACCTAAGAGCGGTTGCGCACGGTACCTCTGAATCAATGAGCGACTTTTGCCACACGACAGGATTGGTCCGCGGCACGCGCAGTATCTTCAACATAACAAAGAGGAGGTGGCAGCACACATCTTTGTCGCCGCACGTGCACGATTGAACTGCGCCGATGAGCACGCGGAACTTGACCGAGCTATTTTGCTCTTGAATCTACGAGATGATCGAGAATATGACAGCGCGATTTCTATCGGGGGCGACGCACGACATAGTTGGTCGGACCCGTTGTTTGTACGAGGTACATTGTGCGCCCGATCGTGTCGTCAATCTTGGTACGAATCGCGTCGGGCACCTTTCCGCGGTACGGAACGAGTCTTGCTGCCATGTTTCGGCTGTCGGCTTCGGGAAACGCCAGTGAAACTACTCTTTGAATGCATCCTTTTTCACTTTCGTGCGCTGGAATCGGAAAGCGATCAGGCGGCCCCGAGCGTCACTTAACAATCGAACTGCTGATTGGAAACATATGAGAGGATTTTGATAGCATGATGCTCGTTGCATGAAGTCTCTCGCATACAATTCGACGACGTCATGTATGATGCTTCTCTCGCTTTAGACCGCAGACACTGACTTGGCGTAGCATTTTGTTCTCTTTAGCGTGTCCAGTATCGACACGAACTACCGGCCTCGTGAGTTTGACCGTATCCGTTTGTGATTTGGGTGAATGCGCTGCAAAGCTGGCAGTAGACATGTAGTACGACACATTTTGCGCCGCCCAACACAGATACGACGGCATCTTCTCGAACGCGAGGACAATGGCCGTGAAGTGAATATACTACGCAGTAATTGGCTCTCACCCCATGTGCAAAATCTGCTTTTGGCGCGCGACGACCGGCTTTCGGCGCTTACGACGCTTGGACTTGGCGCCGTAGCTAGCATCGAAGTCGGCAGGGACAACAACAGGCGCGGTGTCAACGAGAGTGGCGGTCTCGCTTCCGATGGGCGCGAAGACAATTCGATTGCCTCGCGAGTCTTCGTTGATTGCGCGGACAGTTGCAGGCGTCGGTTCGACGCCCATGGGCGCTTCAACAACAGGCGGCAGTTCGGGAGTGGCTTCGGTGCTTGCCAACAACGGGTTCCGCAAGAGGAAGAGACGGTGGTTTTCGGCTTCTATCCATTGCACGAGCGCATCGTAGCCGTCCAACGGTACGCCCGTGATGAAGTCCCACGGACGCCATGCGTCCTGTTCAAATTCGGACGGCCACCACGACGGAAAATCGCCGTCGCCGTAGTCGATGCGACGGCGGTAGTAGTTGTACAGCAAACGAATTGTGTGAGTGTGGCGTTTCCCATGGCCATGGATCCGGTCCGAGCACTAGGAACGAATGGATGAAGGGTCACAAGGCTCGGCGACATGCAGTACCGGCAGGCAAAAGTACTCGCCGCAGTGGGCGCACTCAACCTCGGCACTCGATGGGTTCTCTATATATCAAAGAATCATCGTCATATGTGTTGAACAAGAGCACACGCCGTACCGCATTGATCACACTTGGGCTGTGGCAGCTCGGTCAAAAGTTCGCCCGGCATGCGCCACCGCACATCGTAGTTGAGCTGGTTCTACGACATACGTGGTTCCCAATCGCATCCATCCCATGAGCTATTTCTCTAGTGTGCGTACGTAGTAGTATGGGGCCCCGATGCCTTTCTCGAGCGAGTTGTCGATATCAATCATGTGCTTCCACGCGGTCCGGCGCGCTTCCTTCAGCGCTTCAAGAGTCTTGCGCGCTTGGTGGCGCCGGTAGTGACACTGCACAACCTGCGCCGCCCAAAAAAGCATGGCTTCGTCACGTTGCTTCAGAGCGAGAAGCGCATTGAGCTGCACACGCGCTACCCGCCGCTCGAGCACGTGGGTCCACCACAAGCAAAGGTGCTTCGCCGCCGCGACTTGACGCACATGAAGCTGGCGGCGAAGCTCGAGCTCCCAAACGCGCTGCAAAAAGGTCTTGCGGTCTCGCCAATGTCGTTGAATGTACGTAGCGGCGACGTCTTCGTCTCGACGGCGCTGGGCCTATTCATCAATTTTTGTGTGAAGCCGACATGCAACGAAGGGCTGTATTCGCACCATGCGAAGAACGCCTAGAAAGTTACGTCCTTGACGAGCACGCCACACCGATTGCATCTTCATTGCGCTGTAGTGCAATAACGCCAGATGCTCTCGGCGCGTGGCAAGCTGACGCCGAGCAAGGCGCTGGCGGTACATGGACTGCAGTGTGATCGCAGCAGCCTGCTCTTCAGCCGAGCGCATCAGATCGTACTGCCGCCGCCTCGCCGCCTCCTGACGGGCGCGTCGGCCCCGCAGCAGTGCCTGTTTTACGTCGTAAGACTCTGCCTCGTATTGTACTAAATAAGCGAGAGATTACCTGCAGCTGAGTGGCCGACTCTTCCTGAGCGGCGTCCTGCGCCTTCTTGGCCGCATGGGCAAGCATGTAGCGTCGACGGCCGGTGATACCCCGCCATCGGCGCTGCATGACCACGGCAGCGCGGTGCTGCTTTTTGCTCGACCGAATATGGGCGGCAAGAGCGATTTTTGCAATACGCGAACGCCGCGTCGCTCGAAATCTAGCAAAATCATCGACCTCGAAAACGATGGGAAACGCGAGCATACTGGCGCTGCACGAAGATGGCCGCTTCAGTACGGCGCTTCTCCAGCAGTGCATCATACTCGTCTTGCGCGTGCTTCTTATTGCGACAGGCTCGGAAACATCGCTATTCATTTTCATATACGACGTCGTCATTTCATAACAGATCAACCTGAATTTTCGTAGCCATGCGGTGATCGCCGCTCTGAAGAAGCTTCTCCAAGAGCGCCTTGCGACGCCCACGCCGACCGCGAAATGACTTTGAAGACGGCACACAACCACGTGCTGCTTGTGCGCCTCTTGGGCCGCCGCAAACGCAATGCGCGACTGCCGCTGTCGAAATGTGTTCTACACAAAAATGTCAAAAAGGGAAATATAGACGCGGCATTGGTACTTGGATTTTGATAGCTGCCAATATAAGCTGGCCCGCGACATCAATCTCTCGGCGCTCTTTGGCACGGTGTGCGGGAAAGACTCCAAGCTCGGACGGTGTCGACCGAAACACGGTATATGGCCACGACGTCTTGAGTGCAAAAAGCGCGCGCGACGACATACCGCAACCCTATTGATTGACAATGAACATTGGCAATGAGAAACTGGCAACCTCGTACGTGTAAACTCAGTGTGAGTAGGGTGGGGCAGGCAAACGCCAATTGGTTCACGAACTCATCGGTGACGAGTGAACACCCGTTGAGAATCAAATGTGAAAGAGCAGGCGTGGGGCTCCGAAAGGACTGAATAAACGCAAGCAAGCCGACGTCCGTAACATGTGAGCATCCTGCACGCGCCAAGATTATCAACGATTGGATCATTTTGGAGGAACAATACCACTGAGGTTGAGCAGCACGAGCTTATCCGAGAGGCGGGCGAGATGTCGGACACCGATGTCTGTGATGCGGTCGCAGTAAGCTAGCGTGAGCTCTTTTAGATGCGACGACGACGTGGCAATGTCTTGAAGCACAAGGTTGCTTGTCAGCGTGACGTTTGAAAGGTCGAGGGTCTCGAGCTTCGGGCAGCCGTGGAGCAAGTGGCTAATGCCAGCCGGTGTTGTGTTGTAGCAGCCTTTTAAGCTGACTTTCACAAGCGCGCGGCACCCAGCGCCTAGGCTCTTGAGTGCTCGCTAATAGCACAATTTTTCGCTGCAAAGATTGCAGCATGTATGCTTGTAGCCTACCTCGACGACTTGAAAGCATCCAGCAAGATCGAGCTCTGACAATTCTACAAAGGTGTAGGCAAAAAATAGGGTGGTGATGAAGGTTTGTGCAGTACATACGCGGGCAGGTGGCGGCGACGGCCTGAAGACCCTCAAGGCCAAAATTGCGCTTGACACCGTCCGAAATCAAGTACAACTGGTGCAGACTCAAGACTTTCAAATGTGGACACCCTTCTGAGACGAAGCGAAGACCAACGTCCGAGAGGTTCTTTGCATGACCGATGCGGAGCGTGTGCAGACTGGGTGTGTTGGCTCCAACGCTTCGAAGACCTTCGTCCGTGAGCTTGAAGCAGTGCGTAAGGTCGAGTGACTCTAGCTGTGAGCATCCTTGTACGAGCCACGCAATACCAACGTCTGACACAAACGTGCATCCTGAGATGTTGAACACCTAGAGTACGTGAGATGTAGTTCGTAGATGTAAGGGTAGACCCGCAGCTTGGGGCAGTGCTCGCCGAGCGAGAGACATGTAATGTCGGTAACGCGCTCGTTGACGCGTCCTTTTAGCGTCGCAATGAGCAGCGTTTCAAGGCGTGTACAATACTGAGCAACGCTAACGACGCCCGTGTCGGATACCTAAACAAAGATGTAAGCACTCGACCATGAGAGGGCTTTTGCAGTCGTACCTTGGGGCAGAACGAAATGTTTAGGTACGTTAGTTGTCGGCACTGAAAGCCAAGTGTTTTAAGTGTCGTGTCAGCAACCTAATCCCATTGAAGATTGACGACATCATATCTCGTGCCCGTTCGTACTTGTGTGCAACCTGCCACGTCCAAGTGCTCCAGGTGCTGAAAGTTGTAGAACAGCCGCACGAGAACCCACTCATCAAGGTGGCTGCAGTTTGCGATTGACAAGCCTAATGTTACGTGAGAAGAACACTCCCGGGTAGCATGTGTGCTGTGTACGGCGCATGTGGGTGCAGTGATCGCTGATGGCACCGAGACCAGCTCCGGCAATGCCCGTGCAGCCAGAGACGTTGAGTGTTCTCAGCGTAGAGCAGTGTAGCGCGAGCGTGCGCATGCCTGCGTCCGACACCTACACATCTCCAGTGAGCGAACCATATCCGTGTCGCGGGTACTGTATAACCTTGGTCGCATTCGCAATCTCCAGGCACTCGAGGTGGTGCACAGCCTTTGCCATGGCGATGATGCCAATGTCCGTCAAGGCTTCCATGCCGTTAGCAATTATGCTTGTGGTACTCTCGTTGTGTGCTCCGTGAAAAGCTTCAGAGCGAAGTACACATCCTAAGTGACGTGAGGTTATATCGTCCATTGGTTGTACTGGTACTCACTAGCGTGCAAATTTTGGATGCGAGTATTGTGTGCTGCAATCTTGACAAAAGTGTCGTCCGTTGCTAAGAGTGTCCACTTCGAAATGTGGATCTGAGGTCGCTGCAATAATTGCAGCGGGAAAAAGTCAGGCGTCGCAATGAGGCTTCGACCTTGTACGCTTGACTTTTTTGAGGCTGAGGTTGGCGCTGGGACCATAGATCGAGCGTCGAGCGTCCCCAATACCTCTCTACGACTACATCAATAACACAACCATGTACGACTGCACACCTCCACGCCACTTTGAACTGGACAGCTCGGTCATCGTCTTGATTGCCTCGTGCTTTTGGAATTGCGGTAAGAAGACGAGTGCGACTGGGCTTTCCATGAGGTTCTTGACTTCGTGTCTGCGGTCGAGGCAAGTTGTCGCCCAATGCTGCGAGCTTGACTTGAGGGCGCTTGCAGAGTCGCTTCGGCACGCACTTCTGACTAAGAGTAGCATCCGAAGAATGAGCACACCATGACTTGATAGCACCCACGAGCCCACCCTTTGCGATCTGCATTCGTGATGTCGTGGTAAAAGTCTTCGAGTAGGCCCATCGCTCTCTGCTCTGCTCAGGCAACTTTATACAATGAAACTGTCGGAACGTGCCCAGACTCCGGCAAATCTTGTAACTGATGTCACACCGCCGGTGGAAGCACTAGACCTACTGGCAAAAAAACTTCAAACACGGCGTTCGTAGTGATATCGAAGCAACAAGGAAGGTGAGGCCGTGAAGGGCGGACTCGTCGAAAAATTATTTTCGCTCATACTTGGCACATCAATAAACGACAGTTTTGGCTTTGTCAAAATAAGATTGTGGTGGTCGATGGAGGCCTATAGCTCGAGATATTTTATGTTTTCATTATTGAATTGGGGATCAATTGGTGTAAATTAATTTGGAGCTTGAGGTCGATCGGAGATGGTATGCAATGGAGATTAGATAGTGTGTGCGGTTGGTATCTACGAGAATGGTGTGCAGAAGTTGATATTTCCTCTAAATATATTGAAAATATAGACGCAAGTATATGGAGCAAAAAAGATGTGACCGCTGTGGGATTCGAACCCACGCCCTTTCAGACCAGTGCCTTAAACTGGCGCCTTAGACCGCTCGGCCAAGCGATCACCGCTTGGCTTTCTTCCCTCTACTACTCATAGAACACCGCAATGTCATTATCTATCACTTTCTACACCATACCATTACGAAACACAGCATTATGCACTCTTACCACATCCCACACAAGCACACAGACCATTTACCATGACTCCCAGTCGTTTTTCTACGCTCCTTCTATTTCTTTTGATTTTACCTTCTTTTCTATTTCGCACATACCCTAGCCTAGCGGCGCCACTCCTTCTCTCGCATGCTTTTTAATTTTTCAATTTAGGACCCAAATACATCACAGAGCCCTGGCATGAGTGTCTCTTGGTCATCTTGCGGCTGCTTCAAGTGCTCAAATGAGGCCGAATTCGCAAACTAGAAAAGTCAAGAACGCGACATGCAGAGCTGTTTTGGTCATGACAACTTGGGTGTAGTCTTTTTATGCCTTTGTTCAGCACCCCTAAAATTTTCAAAGCGATTGGAGAAGGTTTCATAAATTCAAGAATTTTGGCCGGCCGTGGCCACGGTCGGTGAAGCCGTGACGGGCGGACTCGTCGAAAAATTATTTTCGCTCATACTTGGCACATCAATAAACGACAGTTTTGGCTTTGTCAAAATAAGATTGTGGTGGTCGATGGAGGCCTATAGCTCGAGATATTTATGTTTCATTATTGAATTGGGGATCAATTGGTGTAAATTAATTTGGAGCTTGAGGTCGATCGGAGATGGTATGCAATGGAGATTAGATAGTGTGTGCGGTTGGTATCTACGAGAATGGTGTGCAGAAGTTGATATTTCCTCTAAATATATTGAAAATATAGACGCAAGTATATGGAGCAAAAAAGATGTGACCGCTGTGGGATTCGAACCCACGCCCTTTCAGACCAGTGCCTTAAACTGGCGCCTTAGACCGCTCGGCCAAGCGATCACCGCTTGGCTTTCTTCCCTCTACTACTCATAGAACACCGCAATGTCATTATCTATCACTTTCTACACCATACCATTACGAAACACAGCATTATGCACTCTTACCACATCCCACACAAGCACACAGACCATTTACCATGACTCCCAGTCGTTTTTCTACGCTCCTTCTATTTCTTTTGATTTTACCTTCTTTTCTATTTCGCACATACCCTAGCCTAGCGGCGCCACTCCTTCTCTCGCATGCTTTTTAATTTTTCAATTTAGGACCCAAATACATCACAGAGCCCTGGCATGAGTGTCTCTTGGTCATCTTGCGGCTGCTTCAAGTGCTCAAATGAGGCCGAATTCGCAAACTAGAAAAGTCAAGAACGCGACATGCAGAGCTGTTTTGGTCATGACAACTTGGGTGTAGTCTTTTTATGCCTTTGTTCAGCACCCCTAAAATTTTCAAAGCGATTGGAGAAGGTTTCATAAATTCAAGAATTTTGGCCGGCCGCGGCCACGGTCGGTGAAGCCGTGACGGGCGGACTCGTCGAAAAATTATTTTCGCTCATACTTGGCACATCAATAAACGACAGTTTTGGCTTTGTCAAAATAAGATTGTGGTGGTCGATGGAGGCCTATAGCTCGAGATATTTATGTTTCATTATTGAATTGGGGATCAATTGGTGTAAATTAATTTGGAGCTTGAGGTCGATCGGAGATGGTATGCAATGGAGATTAGATAGTGTGTGCGGTTGGTATCTACGAGAATGGTGTGCAGAAGTTGATATTTCCTCTAAATATATTGAAAATATAGACGCAAGTATATGGAGCAAAAAAAGATGTGACCGCTGTGGGATTCGAACCCACGCCCTTTCAGACCAGTGCCTTAAACTGGCGCCTTAGACCGCTCGGCCAAGCGATCACCGCTTGGCCTTCTTCCCTCTACTACTCATAGAACACCGCAATGTCATTATCTATCACTTTCTACACCATACCATTACGAAACACAGCATTATGCACTCTTACCACATCCCACACAAGCACACAGACCATTTACCATGACTCCCAGTCGTTTTTCTACGCTCCTTCTATTTCTTTTGATTTTACCTTCTTTTCCATGACTCCCAGTCGTTTTTCTACGCTCCTTCTATTTCTTTTGATTTTACCTTCTTTTCTATTTCGCACATACCCTAGCCTAGCGGCGCCACTCCTTCTCTCGCATGCTTTTTAATTTTTCAATTTAGGACCCAAATACATCACAGAGCCCTGGCATGAGTGTCTCTTGGTCATCTTGCGGCTGCTTCAAGTGCTCAAATGAGGCCGAATTCGCAAACTAGAAAAGTCAAGAACGCGACATGCAGAGCTGTTTTGGTCATGACAACTTGGGTGTAGTCTTTTTATGCCTTTGTTCAGCACCCCTAAAATTTTCAAAGCGATTGGAGAAGGGTTTCATAAATTCAAGAATTTTGGCCGGCCGTGGCCACGGTCGGTGAAGCCGTGACGGGCGGACTCGTCGAAAAATTATTTTCGCTCATACTTGGCACTCATACTTGGCACATCAATAAACGACAGTTTTGGCTTTGTCAAAATAAGATTGTGGTGGTCGATGGAGGCCTATAGCTCGAGATATTTATGTTTCATTATTGAATTGGGGATCAATTGGTGTAAATTAATTTGGAGCTTTGAGGTCGATCGGAGATGGTATGCAATGGAGATTAGATAGTGTGTGCGGTTGGTATCTACGAGAATGGTGTGCAGAAGTTGATATTTCCTCTAAATATATTGAAAATATAGACGCAAGTATATGGAGCAAAAAAGATGTGACCGCTGTGGGATTCGAACCCACGCCCTTTCAGACCAGTGCCTTAAACTGGCGCCTTAGACCGCTCGGCCAAGCGATCACCGCTTGGCTTTCTTCCCTCTACTACTCATAGAACACCGCAATGTCATTATCTATCACTTTCTACACCATACCATTACGAAACACAGCATTATGCACTCTTACCACATCCCACACAAGCACACAGACCATTTACCATGACTCCCAGTCGTTTTTCTACGCTCCTTCTATTTCTTTTGATTTTACCTTCTTTTCTATTTCGCACATACCCTAGCCTAGCGGCGCCACTCCTTCTCGCATGCTTTTTAATTTTTCAATTTAGGACCCAAATACATCACAGAGCCCTGGCATGAGTGTCTCTTGGTCATCTTGCGGCTGCTTCAAGTGCTCAAATGAGGCCGAATTCGCAAACTAGAAAAGTCAAGAACGCGACATGCAGAGCTGTTTTGGTCATGACAACTTGGGTGTAGTCTTTTTATGCCTTTGTTCAGCACCCCTAAAATTTTCAAAGCGATTGGAGAAGGTTTCATAAATTCAAGAATTTTGGCCGGCCGCGGCCACGGTCGGTGAAGCCGTGACGGGCGGACTCGTCGAAAAATTATTTTCGCTCATACTTGGCACATCAATAAACGACAGTTTTGGCTTTGTCAAAATAAGATTGGGGTGGTCGATGGAGGCCTGTAGCTCGAGATATTTGTGTTTCATTATTGAATTGGGTATCAATTGGTGTAAATTAATTTGGAGCTTGAGGTCGATCGGAGATGGTATGCAATGGAGATTAGATAGTGTGTGCGGTTGGTATCTACGAGAATGGTGTGCAGAAGTTGATATTTCCTCTAAATATATTGAAAATATAGACGCAAGTATATGGAGCAAAAAGATGTGACCGCTGTGGGATTCGAACCCACGCCCTTTCAGACCAGTGCCTTAAACTGGCGCCTTAGACCGCTCGGCCAAGCGATCACCGCTTGGCTTTCTTCCCTCTACTACTCATAGAACACCGCAATGTCATTATCTATCACTTTCTACACCATACCATTACGAAACACAGCATTATGCACTCTTACCACATCCCACACAAGCACACAGACCATTTACCATGACTCCCAGTCGTTTTTCTACGCTCCTTCTATTCTTTTGATTTTACCTTCTTTTCTATTTCGCACATACCCTAGCCTAGCGGCGCCACTCCTTCTCTCGCATGCTTTTAATTTTCAATTTAGGACCCAAATACATCACAGAGCCCTGGCATGAGTGTCTCTTGGTCATCTTGCGGCTGCTTCAAGTGCTCAAATGAGGCCGAATTCGCAAACTAGAAAAGTCAAGAACGCGACATGCAGAGCTGTTTTGGTCATGACAACTTGGGTGTAGTCTTTTTATGCCTTTGTTCAGCACCCCTAAAATTTTCAAAGCGATTGGAGAAGGTTTCATAAATTCAAGAATTTTGGCCGGCCGTGGCCACGGTCGGTGAAGCCGTGACGGGCGGACTCGTCGAAAATTATTTTCGCTCATACTTGGCACATCAATAAACGACAGTTTTGGCTTTGTCAAAATAAGATTGTGGTGGTCGATGGAGGCCTGTAGCTCGAGATATTTGTGTTTCATTATTGAATTGGGTATCAATTGGTGTAAATTAATTTGGAGCTTGAGGTCGATCGGAGATGGTATGCAATGGAGATTAGATAGTGTGTGCGGTTGGTATCTACGAGAATGGTGTGCAGAAGTTGATATTTCCTCTAAATATATTGGACTAATGCTTTTTTAGTCTACTTTTAAAGAGTAGTGCTAGTTGGCAGGGTTATAGGCATGGCCAGCGTAGCTGCTATGCGAAGCACACACCCCGCACGAGATAAAACCAGAGTCTTTTGTCGCACCCTAGGTGCTCCTGTTTATTTTAGACTACATTGAACAGTTCAACGAGGTATACTAGTAATTGAAAGTGAGGGTAACGTTAACGAGAAATCGATGCTGATTTGACGGACATACTTGCCAGCTGATAATGCGCAGTGCTCGCCAGAATGACGAGCACATACACGCCGCCAGTCCTATGCATCAGCATACTGTAGATCTAAAGAATCACCAGCAGCGCTTTTTAGGCCCGGTGCCACCGACATGGTTTCCCACGCGTCGCTGCATACCGCCGTCGAGCTGGTATCGTCCGTGCGGCCAAGATCGGCCGCCGCGCGCGCTGATTGGGTGCGTCGGATGCAGAGCCAATGGCGTACCGAGGGAGATGCTGACCAGTCAAATCGTTTCATTATCCGGACAGATCGGTTCCGATTTGAATTACTGAAATAGCGGCGCGATGTCCAACACGATCTTCGTCCGGAACCTCGCGTATGGGGTCTCCCAGGAAGAGCTCGAGAACCTCTTCGGGGACATTGGTCCCGTGAAGAAGGTCTCTGTCATCAAGGACAAGGGCAAGCGCAAGACCGACATGCTCACGCGCGGCTTCGCCTTCGTCAAGTTGTACGTGCCATGGATGCTATGACCATGGAGACTCATGGCGACTAGTGCGATGGAGTCGGACGCCAAGGCCGCGATGGACGCGCTCAACAACACAGAATACCAAGGCCGCAAGCTCTGTATCGGTACGTCCCGTCGTTCTCTTCCTACGACAGCATCCTCATCGTCGCACGCAGATCTCGCCAAAGAGAAGGCCGGTATCCACCCGGCGCACAAGAAGCAGAACCAAAACTCGGCGTTTGCGACGCCAGCCGCCGTTGCCGAAGCGCCCAAGGTCGAAGCCGCGCCCGTCGAGGCCGCGCCGGTCCAGGATGCGCCGCTCGAGGCCGAGGCCGACGACGCCAAGCCCAAGAAGGAGAAGAAGGCGAAGAAGGAGAAGAAGGCGAAGCGCGAAGAAGCGTCCGACGACGTCGACGAGAAGCCTGCGAAGAAGGACAAGAAGCAGAAGAAGCAGCGCGACGAAGCGGCCGAGGTCGAGGAGGAAGTCGCTCAAATCGAAGAGGCTGCGCCGAAGGAAAAGAAGGCCAAGAAGGCCAAGAAGACCGTCGAGGACGAGACCGTCGTTGAAACGAAGAAGCCGGAGGCCAAGAAGCCAGAGGTCAAGAAGCCGGAAGCCAAGAAGCCGGAAGCCAAGAAGCCGGAAGCCAAGAAGCCGGAAGCGGTGGCCGAGGCGGAGCATGTGCAAAGCGAGCGCAACGCCCGTCGGCGTGAGCACCGTGAGCTCTGGCGCAAGGCAAGCGAGCGCAAGGAGCAGCTCGCGACGGCCGAGGAAAAGTCGATTGTGATCTACGGCCTCGGCAGCGCCATCACAGAGAAGCACCTCAAGATCAAGTACGTCTCGTCCATTGTGCGATATGTAGCATGCTCATGCGTCCATTGCAGGATGAAGAAGATTGGCGAGGCCAAGTCGATCGAACTCAAGCAAGAGCCCAACTCGCAGGGCGTCGACGAGCCCGTGGCGTACGTCGAGTGGGCGACGACGGTCTTGAAGGAGAAGGCGATCGAGAAGCTCAACGACCACGTCTTCAAGGGCTTCACGATGCTCGTGCGCGGGTACACGCGTTTGATTGTACGTCAATGGGTTCTGACATTACGTACATTAGTCTGGACACGACGTCGCTCTCGGACAAGGAAGGCGTCCGTCTCATTGTGCGCAACCTGCAGTTCGACGTCAAGGACGCCGACTTGGACAAGCTCTTCAAGAAGTTTGGTCCGCTCGCGGAAGCGCGTGTCGTGCGCCTCCCGGTCGAGGCCGACAGCAAGATGCCACTGGGCCGCAGCCGCGGTTTTGGCTTTGTCCAGTTCAAGAACCGTGTGGACGCCCAAAAGGCCATCGAGGTCTATCATTCCATGCCTTGCAGTACACTCACGCCTTGATCGCGCCTAGGAAATCAACGGGACCAAGTTCAAGGGCCGCGACATCGTCGTGGATTACGCCGTTGCCAAGTCCGAGTACCTGAAGACGCAAGCGGCGGCGGCGGTGCCTGAGGCTGACGAAGCCGACGAAGAGGCCGTCGGCGACGACGACGAAAATGTCTTGGTCGATGACGACGAGATGGTCGAGTCGGACATTGAGGGTCATGGGGACGAGGACGACGCGGAAGAGAACGAAGCTGCCGACGACAACGCCGAAGAAGAAGACGACGACGAGGAAGACGAAGAGCCCGCGAGCAAGCGCCCCAAGGGCGATTCGGAAGCGCAGATGCTCCGCACGGTGTTTATCCGCAACCTCTCGTTCCAAACGACCGAGCTCTTCCTCAAGGAGAGCATGGAATCCGAGTTTGGGCCCGTCGAGTACGCGCGTGTCGTCATGGACCACAGCGCGGGCCTCTCCAAGGGCGTTGCGTTCGTGCGCTTCCGCAGCCAAGACGCGGCGGACGCGGCGATTGCGCGCGGCACGGTCAAGGACGACAGCAAGGACAAGAAGAAGAACAAGTCGAGCGTGTCGGGCGGCCTCTTTTACGACAATGCGCTCCTCGACGGTGACGGCGTCTACGTCGACAACCGTTTGCTCTCGATCACGCGCGCTGTCAACAAGGACGACGCGACGCGCCTCGCGGACGAGAACAGCGCGACGCGCAAGGCCAAGGACAAGCGCAACATGTACCTCGCGTACGAAGGCACGATCAGCGTCAACAAGGTAATGAGTCTATCCATGGTTGTATATGCTCATGTAAAGTGATTAGACGGCCGACGAAGACCTCGAGTTGCCCAAGATGGACATCGAGAAGCGCCGCCGCGCGATCAAGGAGAAGAAGGAAAAGCTCAAGAACCCGCTCTTCTTCATCTCGCCTGTCCGTCTCTCGGTGCGCAACCTTGCGCTTGGCGTCGGTACGCATTGGAAACACAAGATATGTCGATGACAGAGGACTCATCATCTTCATCGTGTGTAGACGAAAAGATCCTCAAGACCATCTTCCGCGAAGGCGCGATCGCGGGTCTGCGTGCCAACCTCGTCGACATGAAGGAGGTCAAGCCCGAGTATGTGCTCAAGTCGGGCGCGCCCGTCAAGATTGAACTGTGCAAGATCGTCCGCGACATGGACAACATCAAGCCGGGCCAGGAGCCGCGCTCGCGCGGGTATGGTTTTGTGCAATTTTCGCACCACGTGCACGCGCTTGCGGCATTGCGCCAGCTCAACAACAACCCCACGTACACCGAGTACTCTGGGCGCGGTGTCAAGCTCGGCAAGTCGACGCCCGATGCCGAAAAGACGCGTCTCATCATTGAGTTTGCGCTCGAAAACCACGGCAAGCTCAAGCTTCGCGAGGTTGGGCTCGTTTTGTTTGCCTTGTTTTTCTATGCTCACACCGTGTTGGTGCCGCGTAGAAAAAGATGAACGACGCCAAGAAGCGCCGCACCGAAGACAACATGCTCCGCAAGGCGCAGGGCGAGGTCGTCGAGAAGGTCGAGCGCAAGAGCCGCGGCAAGCGCCAGCGCGAAGCCAAGGCGATCAAGAAGGCGACACCCGAAGAAGAGGCGGCGCCGGCGGCCAAGAAGGCCAAGACGGACAAGCCCAAGCCCAAGGTGGAGAAGGTGGCCCCGAAGCGCAAGCGCGAGACGCCGGTCGCCGCCCCCGCGGGCCCGTCGCGCAAGGAGCGGAAGCACGCCAAGTCGATCAAGGCGGACAAGTCGTTTGAAGACATGGTCGATTCGTACAAGGCGCAGCTCTTCCGGACCGTCGATGACGCCGAGAACCGCGGCCGTTGGTTTGAAGAGTAGACTCCCCTTTTTGCATTAACACTCTACCTTCGTTTAATTAACCTGTTTAGAATCAATCATTCATACTTTGTGGTGTGTTGTTGTCTCGCCTATAAAGTGAGTGCAGTTTCAACCTATCGGCTATTTTTCGATGGACGCGAGCATCAAGCGCGCCCTCTCGACACGCGGGTCCAAGGTTGAGCTCGAGTTGCTCCATGACTTGAACCGCCGGCTCGTGTCGGCCCCGACGCTGACCCACGTCGCGGCCAACGCGGTTGCCGTCTTTTCATCAACGAGTCTTGTCGTCGTCGAGGGCGGGTCGTCGTGCTTTTACTCGGTGCACTTGACGTTCCAGCGACCGCCGACGCAGCCGGTCGTGCTCACGCCGTGGAACGCGTCGCCCCGCATCAAAGTGTACCCGTCCGTGCTCCTCTTCACGCCCGAGACGGCACACAAGCCCCAGTTTTTCGCGTGACGGCCATGGAGAACTGTGACCCGGTTCGTAATCCGGACTCTACCACCGCAGGGGCATCAAGTGACTGTGCTCTTAGAACATTCTCACCGAGTCGATTCAGCACGTCACCAATAGCGTCGATGCTGGCTTTTCAGGTACCCGCGTCCGGTACGAGCCTCGAACGGTCTCGGTTCGCATCGTGCGCAACGACGGCAAGCACATCTTTAGCACGGGCGACGGTACCTCTCACTCGAAGCGGCAAAGTGGTGTATTCTGATGGACATATATGCAGCAACGTACGGCGCGCTCGGCCACGGCTCGTTCGACTCGTCGTTTGCGTTTACGGAAATCCCGGTCTCGAATTTCGATGTGCGGTCGACGGCCGACGAGCCAAGCGCGCGTCGCAGCGTCTTGCTGACAAAAGTCGCCTCGGGCCATCAGCACACGCTCGTGCTCGACGCCAACGACCGTCTCTTCGTCTTTGGGTCGCACCATTCTACCTCGTATGGAGCACCACTCATCCGTGTCGATATAGCAACTCGAACCAAGGCCAGCTCGGTACATGGCTGGGTTGGCGCGCTTGTTGACAATATTTATGGTGCAGGAATTGCCGGCCTCAAATGCAGCACGAAGCCGCGAGTGTGGGACGGACGTGACGTGGATGGGGGCATGCACATGCATATTATGGATTCTGCGTGTGGCGGCGACCACTCGATGGTTGTTACGGACGACGACGACGTGCTCACATGGGGCAGCAATGAGCATGGGCAGCTTGGTTCCGCCCTCGACGAATCTGGGTCCGGGATGTTTCTAGACACGCCGCGCGTACTTCGACTACCGTCGCGGAGCAAGATTGTGCAGGTAGACCCCACGTCAGAGAGTAAACGTTTCGCCACTTTCGCCACTTAGGTTGCTTGTGGGCTCAAGCACTGCGCCTTGCTCTTGGACGAAGGAACGGTCTTGACGTGGGGGTACGGCAAGTCGGGGGCCTTGGGGCACGGGACGACGGACGCTCCGCGACGAGAGGACGAAGCCTCGCCAAGGCCGGTGCAGTCGCTGTCCAAAACCCACATTTTTCACGTGCGATCCCGTCATCTGTGCATGGATGTTGCTAAGTGGTCGTGTAGATTGCATGTGGCGAGATGCACACGGCCGTCATCTCGAGCGCGGGCGATCTCTACACGGCCGGTTGGGGCGAGAACGGCCGGCTTGGGCGCCTCGAAGCCAAAGACGCCCTCAGCTCCACCTTTGAACGCGTTCGTACGGTTCTTGACGAGGGTAGGGGTTCTATTGGCACGAGGCGTAGGTGGAGCTCAAGCAGCGCAAGTGCACATACGTTGCGTGTGGTGGGGCACACACGATGCTGCTCACCGACACGCGCGACGTCTTGGCGTTTGGCGCCAACCACTATGGTCAGCTGGGTCTCGGAGACTGCCGCGACCGCCACCGGCCGTCGCCCGTCGTTTTCTTTCGCGCTGTGCTCGTGTACGACATCAAGCTCGGGCAAACCCACTCGGTACGACCATCGAGTCAACACGCGCTCATGCAGCGTAGTTGGCCATCTCGGACAAGCACTTGCTCTATGCATGGGGCAATGGCGAGCAAGGGCAGTGCGGCGTCGGGAGCTACCCGCAGCTGTACACGCTGCCCCACCTCGTACGTTCTCTTGTCGGGTGCAACGTCGTGCAGGTAGTGACTAGTAGTACATGAATAATGGTCTGCGACCGCCGTGGATTAGGTGTCGGCGGGAGCGGCGTTCACTGTTGTCTTGACGAGTGTGACGCCCGCCGACGTGGCCGAGCGGCACCAAACGTGCACTGCGTTGGCATCGCATTTTTGGCTGAGCCGCTTGTTGTAGGGACCGCGCGCTTGCACAAGAAGCCGACGACATTGTCACCGACGACGTGCTCCACCGCGAAGCCGTGCGTGACGAACTCCGCTTGCAGCACCAGCGCCGGGTAGCCCAGCGCCACGCCGCCGCCACGACGCCGCTGGCGACCCTCTGGCAACAGCTCGACGCGGCCTCCAAGGCGCACTTGGAACCCGTCAAGCCGGCCATTGGTGCCAGCGTTGGACTCTCGCATCGGTCGCGCGACCTCATAAAATGTCGCTTTTCTAGGCGTCCTCGGCATCCGCCGTGCTGCAGTCCAAAAGTCTCCGGCGCGCGCTGCAGAGCGCCGTCGCCACACAGGTGTTGAATCGTACCTTTTCGTCGCGTGCACGAGCCATGGGCTCACCTGTCTAGCGCCCCCGAAGCTCGCTGGGATGCTGCGTCGGCCGGCCCCGCAGCTCGGCCGCTGTGGCAACTCGGTCGCCGTCCAAACGACCACCGTCGCCTCGACCCAAGACAGCGTGGTTCCTTGCGCAGCTGGCTCGCCGCCCGCAGACCCCGCCGCCGTCCTACGCGGACGCGGTACAAAGAGACTCGCAATAATGTCGTACAGAAAAAAAGTGGTGGGTCTCTATTGGCCTAGTCGTATGGTATAGTTCTACACGGTCACTGGCTGTCTAAAAGCCAAACATGGACGAGAGGTCCGCCTGCTCCTTCGCAAACGCCTCAAAGTACTGGTAGATGATCGTGACCGCGAGGAGGACGCCGGTGCCCGAGCCGATCGCACCGAGGAAGTCCGAGATGATCGAGAGGACGCCAATCGCGACACCGCCAAAGAGGGCCGCGACCGGGATGTAGCGGTTGAGCACATGGACCATGGACGAGTCGCGGTAGCCGCTCATGACCATCTGCTGGTCGCGGAGCTGCTTGGCAATGTCGCGCGAGGACGAGCCCGAGATTTCGACCCACGTAGCCGAGAAGAAGGCGCACGACGCGAGGACAAAGGTGACGTACGCGACGGCGCGGATCGGGTCGTAGAGGATCTCGGTCGCGGACGACGGCGCCGAAATGTAGTAGGCGAGGCCGCTGATCGGGAGCGCGCCGCTCGAGCCTTCGACGTCAGCCCACACGCCGAGGAGACGAATGGCAATGTTGTCGCCAAACTTCTTGAAGAGGAGCTGCGACACAAAGTAAAAGTTGGAGACGAGCGCCGACTGGAGGATGATGGGCATGTTGGACGTGTACAGGACCTTGATCGGGTACGAGCCCTGCTGGCCGCGGTACTTTTGGTACTTGACCGGGAGGTCGATGCGGAAGCCTTGCACGTACGTGATGACGATAAACATGAGCACGGTCGAGAGCACGTTCGTGACGTTCGGGAGGTTCTGGCGGTAAAACGCCTCCTTGAGCGCCGAGAGCTTGTTGGAGCGCGTAAAGAGCACATGGAAGAACGCAATGAGCGCGCCGTGGAACTCGGTACCGCGGCCCGTCGTGATCGAGACAGGGCTGAACGTGTCCCACACGATGTTCTGGCAAATGTTGCTGGCCATGAAGAGCGAGATGCCCGAGCCGAGGCCGTAGCCCTTCTGGAGCATCTCGTCGAGGATGATCAAGATCAAGCCCGCAAACGAGAGCTGGACAATGATAAGGATCGCGTTGGCGGCGCCAATCTCGTTGACATCACCATACATACCCGACATGACGTACGCAACAGCCTGCGCGACCGTGATGAGCATGCCAAAAAGCTTCTGCGCGCCCGAGAAGAGGGCGCGGTCTTCCTTGATGTTCTGGTCGACGTCGAGGACCTTGGAGCCGGCGAGGAGCTGCATGATGAGGCCGGCCGTCACGATCGGGCCGACGCCGAGCTCCATGAGCGTGCCACGGCTGGAGGCCATGATGGCGCGCATCCAGTACAAGGCGTCGCTGGCGCCCGTGTTCTTGACGCCGTAGAGGGGCAGCTGCGAGAGGACGAGGAAGGTGAAGAGCGCGATGACGCTCCACACGACCTTCTCGCGGAACGGAATGCGGCGGTCGGGGCTCGCGACCTCGGGGAGGACGCTGAGCATCGGGCGCACGAGCTGGAGGAGACCCATGGTTGACGGGGCAAATTCGCGAATGGCAACCTGCCCCACAAAAGTCACTAGGCAGTAACATCCGTAATGCCGACAGGCCATTGGCCAAAAGATTTCATTTCCACATTGCACGACGCATGATTGGCCACTGAAATGAACGCCCACCCACGCGGTCCCACGTAGCCGCTGGTGGCGTGTCGACGCACCTGATTGGCTGAAATCCAGAAAAAGACACGATGCAACCTGGTCGGTGCAAGGTTGAAGCGCCAAGTCGCGCCTTTGGCACCAACGGCGACGACGCCTCGCCATGCACCTGGCGTCTCGAAGCACGCACTCTGTGCAAATGAAGATAGCGTAGTGGACGAGCGCAAGCGCATCGCACGCCCAAAGTGTCAAGCGTTGCGATGCGGCGGCCACCAGTTTCTTGAAGGACGAAAACGAGGGGGCTTCCGCGGATTCTCAGGCCACGTCACTGGAAAAAATCGACATCGCAATCCAAGCATTCTCCTGATGTCGAGATCGCCACTAATACGTAGTCGTGAGGACCGGCTTCGTTGTTGTTGGCGCGAGTTGCAAGCCGATTCCGTGGTGCCCTACTACAAGAGTTGCTCGAGGGATTTCTTTTTGGATTTGCGAACTAATATTAGTAGTAGTTCAAGGCACGTGATCTTCGATCGACTTGTGGATCTTTGCGCGACTCCTGTGTTTTCTTCTAAAGTTCGATGGCGACAGAAAGACTTCTGTGCAAAAGCGTACTCGTTGTTTAAGCGGATCGATCGTCGACCATGCTCGTGCTGTGGCTTGCGGTCGTTCTGGCTGCTCTCTTTGAGACTGCTGCTCAGACGACCTCACCGTCCGTCTTTGAGGCGCGACGCCTCAACAAATGCCTGGACGCCGCTTGGGTCGCTGCGACGGCAAAGCGGCTGAACTTGGACCCCAATGCCCTCGATGCCCAGCGCCGCCGAGCAAATCCTTTCTTGCGCCAAGGACTTCAGGAGCCCCGCTTCACAGTACTGTGTTTTTACGACCTTTCCAGACTCAATGGCCCATTTGTAGCTCAACGACCCCCGCCAGCACTCTCCAGATGCGTTTCAACCCAGTTGCTTCAAGTCGCGGCAATCCATCCACGGCGTTGGCGAGCGCGTGTTTCCCAATGGCTCGGTCGCCACGAAGGGCTCCTGGAACGGATCGTTTGTTCTTGAGTACAACACGTGGCAGTCCCAGACGCTAACAGCCTCGATCATTTCGATCTTGGTCTCGGAAGTGGTACGCGCGCTGCGTTGCACGTGTAGACTCCGAGCCATGATTGACAGGTCGGATACCCCGTGTCTTTTTCAAAACGAGCGGCGGGCTCGGCGTCACGGAGCGCATGTCCTCTGTCGGCGCGGGTGCGTGCACTCCGTCACACGTCAGCCCCGAAGTTTGGACGAGCTCCAAGATGGCGCTTCTGAATGTGTATGCCAACGAAACGAGTTCGTCGGCCATCGGCTACAACGGCCAGTACGCTCCACCCACTACGGAGTTTTCGGAGCTTGAACAGATGACTTGTGCGGATAGATCGGGGCTCTACACACTCAAGGCCAATGTCGACGAAGCGCTGAAAGGACCCAATTCCACAGTCGGTACGCAGACTCGTTCTCCATTGAGATGAAATAGCATGGACCCGGTATAGGCAACTTTAGCCGCATTTATTCGGCAGACTGGTGGCGCGACTTCGCTTTGGGCTCGGATTTGATCAACTTTTACTCGATGGCCAACTTCAACCTCAGTCAAGTGGGTCTCGAAAGCGCATGTGCCAACAAGTCGTATGGGTGCTTGAGCGGCTGCTCTCAGACCGCTGCCTGCACTACCGCACTCAATCAAAGTACAAAAGTCCTGCCAAGCTCTTGTTTTCCGAATCAGGTGTGTGTAGACAGGACGTGCATGCTGGTGGCTGGCCAGTATGGCACGGACGATCAAGGATACCTCCAGTCGGCCATGGGCAACAACAACATCCCCGCACGCTTCTGCTACTCTGGCTACACGCCTGTAGGCAACCTCGTGACGAGCACCATGGCCAGCGGCGGCGCCGTCACTTTTTATCACTACGAGCCCGACATCTTCCACTTTGCCAACCCCAACAAGTTTGTGCGCGTGTCGCTGCCGCGGGCAAAGCCCGAGATGGTCGCGCTCGCCACCGGCCAGTTCGGCTCGAACGGGTTCGATCCTATCGTAGTGTACTGTCATGCTGAGCAGCCAACACATTAGGTTTGGTGAGCCGTCGCCAGACCCGGTCAGCGTCGATTTTCCGGAGCAAGCACTCATGAAGTACTACTCCAACTACCTCTTGGACACGACCAACTTGAACAACTTTTTGCGAAAGTTCCAGCTCACCAAGCTCGACATCAACAATTTGCTCTTGGCGTATGCCAGCAACGTGACCAACAATGCCGCCCTTCCCGACGTCGAGTATGCTGTTGCGTGCGACTGGGTCAAGAAGAACTATGAAAAATGGTATCTCTGGGTCGACCGTCTCCCGCTCTGCACGATGGGGACCAACGTGCGCTACAGCTTCTCCAACTGCAATAGCTCGTCGCAACCCCGCATCGTAAACTTCGCATGGACAACGCCGGACCCCGCCAATAGCTCGCAACCGTACGACTGCGACGGCGGATTTAGCACCTTGCCGCCACCGTTCTATACAAGCCGATCGTGCGAGTGGCTCGACGCCAACACGGCGCTCTGGGGGCTCTGGCTTAGCTCTCCACCGACGTGCGACTTGTCTTTTTACAACTACTCGGTCTCCGAGTGCACGGGCAGCTCAATCCGGAACGTCGAGTTCTTTTGGCTGCTCCCGAGCAAGACGAACTACCTCGTGAGCGGCGAATGCATCAACGGCGTCTCGCTCCCGGCCAATACAACCGTCGCCTGCGATTACGTCCCGACATTTTCTGGCGTACGTTGTTGCGTCTTTCTATACAGGTAGCGTCACGGCTTCAACGTGTAGGTCTACACGGGAATTGCCACCATCACGGTGATCATCCTCGTGCTCCTCGTCGTCTTCGTCGCTTTGGTGCTCAAATACCGCGAAAGGCCAGTCATCAAACGATCGCAGTGGCATCTTCTTTTGGTGCTGCTTTTCGGCGGCATCCTCATTTGCGCCTACGTCCTCCTTGGCGGCGGGGCCCCCTCGAGCATTTTATGCGGCGCGCGGCCCTTCGTGGGCTCTCTTGGGTACACGCTCTGCTTTGGATCGCTCCTCGTCAAGTCGCTCCGCGTCTACCTCGTGTTTGAAAACAAAGCGATGAAGAAGCGTGTCGTATCGGTGTGGCGCATGCTGCACATTCTGAGTGCGATTGTCGGTGTCGACATTGGTATTTGTTTGGTCCATGCGGAAAGAGACGGTGGTTGAGGCTTTACTTGTAGGTATCATTGTCGTATGGCTCCTGGCCGAGTTTCCCGGACCGTCCACGTACACGGCGGCCGCGTCCGAGTTTACCGGCACCGTCGTCCACGTCGAGTGCCACTCGTCCAGCTTTATCTTCCCCGTGCTCTCGATCTTTTGGAAGGCCGTGGTGACGTTCGTGGGCCTCTACGTGTCCTTTTTGATTCGACACGTGAGCGGCGACTTTCAAGAGTCGATTTGGATCTTCTCGGCGTCGTGCGTCGTGCTCGTGGGCTCGCTCCTCATGATGACGATGGCGTACCTCGTCGCTCTACCGGCCGCCGCAGCGTACGGCTTCTTGTCGGCCATCACCCTCTTTTGCACGGTACATTTGGCACGCGTCATAGTCCAGCACGTACACAAACATGAGTAGGTTGCTACGATGGCCCTCATGTTCGGGCCAAAGTTCACGCGCCTCAACCGCGAAGACATGACGACCGATACCGGAGCTACCAACGGCACGAAGGGAACAAAGGGCTCCAAAACGTCCAAGACGTCCATGGTTGTCTCGAGCGCTATCAATGCGTCCGTCGTGTCGTCGGCTCGTGGCCACGACGTGCAGTCCCACTGACGTACGATGCAGCTAAAACGAATGCATGTGACTTTACAAACCAACCAACATTGCGTCAAGTCGAGTGCGGAGTGCCATAGATATTCGGCCGAACGTAGCAGCGCGACTAAAAATACCGTAGCAGAATCACCACCATCAACCCAAGGTTTTATCTGTTGTTTCTTGCTGCAGTGCGCACGGAAGACGAATACGACCACGTACGTTAACGCCCAGCCATAACAATGAGTCTCGGGGAACAGCGACCATGTTTTCGTTGTCCGCAATGCTGTCGACACAATCTTCATTTGACGAGATCGTCGAGCACGATTACGTCGCTTGAGTCCGGGGTGCATGAAACCCCTGGCTCGAGTCTGCACCGGTTTGCTAAAATAGAACGCGATATCTGCTCCCGCACTCTACTACTAGCCAGGACGATGCGTTTCGAGGTTGCCCTTGCGCTTTGGAGCCTCGAGGTATGCACGCACGCGTGTACCTCGCCTCTTCATCGAGCGTAGGTCGTCGCAAGCAGCGTGAAGCCGTCCATTCTCGATGCGCAGCGAGGGACATGTCTCGATGCGGCTTGGGTCCAACGCACGGCGGCCACGTACGATCTTGATCCTATCGGTCGCGACAGCCAAACCGCCGAGTGAACCCACTGCTGCAGCCGGCGCTCAAATCGCCCCGCTTCTTTGTGCGCAGTTTCTTCTCGTTCGTAGCGGTCACTGAATCTGAAGTAGGTCAAGGACCCACGCATGGACATTCCAAACGTCTTCGGCAATTGCATGCAGCCAGGCGAAGTGATCCACGGCGTCGGCGAGACCGTGTACGCCAACGGGTCGCAAGCGTACGCAGGCGTCTTCAACGGCACCGTCATTCTCGAGCGCAACTCGTGGGCATCCCACGACGTGAACCGTGCTGTTTTGAGTATCCTCCTCGACGAAGTGGTAGGGCAATTGAAATGATCAAAACGTTACCCATCCAAATGCTGCAGGTCGGATACCGCGTCTCGATCTTGGACACAATAGATGGGATCAACTGCGCCGAGCGCATGTCGTTCCAAGGCCTCGGACGCTGCACGCCAACCCATGGGAACGGGGAGGTCTGGCCCAACGGAAAACTCAAAACAATCGAGGCCTTTGCTAACGCGACCAAGCGTACAACAACGGGCTATGGTGGCTTGTACGTGTCTTCGTCAATCTCCCACGACGCTAAAGGCTAGCTACGTAGAAGCGGGCTCTATACACTGACGGATAACGTCAATGAAATCATCAAGGGACCCGCGTCGACAAAAGGTACAGAAGCAGCTTGCGAATTGGTTTCTCAACACTTTCTGTAGGGTCGTTTTCGGAGCCTTTCTCAGCCGACTATTGGCGCGACTACGCCAGTTCTACCGAGCTCGTCAACTTCTACTCGATAGCACGAGCCAACTTGAGTCAACTCGTTGTCCCAAGTATGTGTCCTAACGGCACGCTTGGCTGCATTGACGGGTGCTCCAAGTCGCCCGCATGCACGGAAGCCGAAAAGAACAGTGCGTAAAGCATCTCATGCGAAGGAGCTCATATGCTCCGCGCATAGGTAAGCAGTGCATTCTCGTGGCCATGATGGACCCTGGGTACGACGTTGGTTTCTTCCAAGCGCTGGTCTCCAACAGCAACATCCCGGCCTACTTTTGCTTTGGGGGCGATGCCAAAATGCGCGACTACGTCACTTCTGTGATGCGCGCTGGCGGCGCAGTCATCTTTTACGCGTTCCAGCCGGACATCATCTTCCATGAATACCCGGGCAAGTTTACGCGAATTGCGTTCCCGCCCTCGGACCCCGCCAACATTGCCAATGCGACCAACTCGTTTGGCGAAAACGGATATGGCAACGTCACATCGAACCCTGTCAAGACGGACTACCCGATGACGCCGCTTCTGCAGTACATCTCGCTCGTGCTCAAAGCTGATACGCGCCTCACATCTTTTGTGACGCAGTTCCAACTGGCCCAGCTTGATCTGGACAATCTCCTCCGCGACTACGTCGACCACGCGAAGGATGCGACGATTCCAGACCCCGCCTTTGCCGCAGCTTGTCATTGGGTTCAAAACAACTACCTCACGTGGAGCAACTGGATCATGCCGCTGCCTCTCTGCACGCTTCAACGCAGCGTCTCGTTCTCATACCAAGGCTGCAACGCGTCCACGCGCCTCATCTCCTTCGTTTGGAACACGCCGAGTCCCGCCAACGCCTCGCTACCGTACGACTGCGACGGCGGCCTCCTCGTCATACCCGCCCCGTACGCGTCCAGCAAGACCTGCGCGTGGCTCGACGCCAATACCAAGACGTGGATGAGCTGGCTCAGTAGTCCGCCCATCTGCGACGCCACCTTTTACAACTACACCGTCACCGACTGCTCGGCGGAGGCGCTTCGGTCGGTCCTCTTCTACTGGCTCTTGCCAGACCCCGCCAAGCATACGCTGAGCCTCGAGTGCAGCGGTGGTGCGAGCCTGCCGGCCAACATCACCATCGACTGCGACTATGTCCCGTTGTCGTCTGGGGTGCGTTGTTTCTCTGCGTAAGCTCCCACCGATGCTCACTGATGTATTCTGGTAGACGTACTCGAGCATGGTGGCGTTTGCCGCGTTCGTGCTGGCTGTCCTGGTGGTCTGCATGATTCTCATAGTGCTGTTCCGCGAGAAGCCCGTGATCAAGCGGTCGCAGTGGCACTTGCTCATTGTCTTGGTGCTCGGCGGCATGTGCATGTGTGTGTACGTCATATTGGGCGGCGGCGCGCCGTCCAATACGGTGTGCGGCGCTCGGCCTGTGTTCGCCTCGATCGGGTACACGCTGGCGTTCGGCTCGCTTTTGCTCAAGTCGCTGCGTGTGTACCTCGTCTTTCACAACAAGGCGCTCAAAAAGAACGTCGTGACCGTCGCACGCATGCTCCACTTTCTCCTTGGGTTCCTCTCGATCGACGTTGGTACGTTCATTGGACTCATTTTAGGACAGCGAGGGCATCGTGGCATGTAGTGATTCTCGGCGTGTGGTACCTCGTGGACTTTCCTGCGCCAACATTAACGGTCGAAGCCGCGACGGCCTTTACGGGGTCGGTCGACCGCGTGTCGTGTCACTCGTCGAGCTTTATCTTTCCCGCGCTTTGCATCTTTTGGAAAGCTGTCATCACCTTCATTGGTCTCTATATCTCGTTCCTCATCCGGCACGACGATGGCGACTTTCAAGAGTCCATGTGGATTTTTTCGGCGGCGTGCGTGGTGCTCATGGGGTCACTGTTTCTGATCCCGCTTGCGTACTTGGTGGCGCTCCCGGCGACGACGAGTTTTGCGTTTTGCTCGGTGATCACGCTCGTGTGCACGGTACGTCGAGTAGAGCACTGTACTGGTCTTGGACTCATAGGCGTGTAGCTGGTCGTGATGGGACTCATGCTTGGACCCAAGTTTGCGCGCCTCAACCTCGCAGACTTGAAGTCGTCCGGCACCACGACAGGCACGAAGACGAGAAAGAGTGTGAAATCGGCAAAAAACGTCAACACCGCACCCAAGTGACAACTGTAAAAGAGCACGATGCATGGAATAACCTTTCATATTTCTTGCAATAGCTAGCCTAATATAGCGCATCGAGAAATGGTATATACTACAATTCCACGAAGCGGGCGTTCAGAGCCTGGGTCCGTTCTCGCCAAGGGCATCGAGTAGCCTCCAACCCTTGGCTCGAACCTACGCCGGGCGGACGGTCGTTGCAGTTTCACTTGAAGTGGACAGTTGGAAGACGTAGCGACTCTTTCGTAACGGTTCGCGCCAAGCGGCACACGGCTCGGGTATAATTACGATCTACCCGAGAGGTGAAGCAGCAACGACAAGCTCCGATGCGAAGCTCCCTACTTCTTGCGCTGTTCGGCCTCGAGGTCCCTCTTGCCTAGTGATTCCGTCGTCAGCTAAGCTTGGTGGTTGTAGATGTTGTTCGCTGAGACGCCAAAGCCGTCGCTTCTCGAGTCGCAGCGAGGCTCCTGCTTGGACGCTGCGTGGGTTCAGCGCACGGCTGATGCGTACAAGCTCGATCCGCACGTGCGGGACGACGAGAACCGTCGAGTAAACCCTTTCTTGCAGCCGGGTATGAAGGTGCCGCGCTTCAGGGTACGACCTTGCTCGGCACGTCGTACATGGCCCACGTTCTTTGTAGGTCCAAGACCCCCGCATGAATCGCCCCAATCTCTTTGGGTCCTGCATGGCTCCCAATGAAATCTTGCACGGCTTGGGCGAGACCGTATACGCCAATAAGTCGCAGGCCTTTCCCGGTGACTACAACGGCACACTGATCATCGAGCGCAACGGTTGGCAGTCGCACGACCTCTCACGCGTCGTCCTCAGCATTTTGCTCACTGAAGTGGTACGAAGTCTCATCCAAGGCAACAGAGCCGTCATGCGGCACGTCTAGGTTGGGTATGGCGTCTCTACAGTCGAAACCGGCGGTGGCCTGCACTGTGCGCAGCGCATGTCGTATCAAGGCTCCAGCCACTGCACGCCAACGCACATCAACCCCGAAGTCTGGACCAGCGGGAAGCTCAAGACGCTGAATGTATACGCCAACTCGACGATGCCGACATCCACTGGTTACAACGGCATGTGCGTGACCCTTGTCTGTGACGATAAGAAGCCCACTTCATTTGGCAGGGGGGGGCTGTACACACTCACCGACAACGTAAACGAAGCGCTGAAAGGAAATGCCTCGACCAAAGGTACGGACGCAAATATCAAGTTGATACGGACGTGATATCCGTGCAAAAGGCAACTTTTCCAAGCCGTATGCGCTCGACTTTTGGCGCGACTACAACTGGAGCGACCAAGTGATCCAGTATTTTGGCTACAACCAACCAAAATGGCGCCGCTGGCTCAGCAAAGTTCATGTCCCGACGGCTCGTTTGGGTGCCGCAACGGCTGCTCCAAGTCCCACGCGTGCACGCTCAACGAGGAAAAGAGTGCGATGCGGTTTCACCAGATGATATCTATCACGTCACCCACTGAGTAGACAAAACGTGCATGGTCGTGGCCATGATGGACCAGGGATATGACCCCGGCTTTGTCCAGGCCATGATGAGCAACAACCACATTCCGGCCTACTTTTGCTTCCTCGGATACGACGGCATGCTTGCCTATGTCGCGAATACCTTGAAAACGGGTGGCGCCGTCGCGTTCTATGACTTCGAGCCCGATGTCCTCTTTTACGAGTACCCGGGCGCCTTTACCCATGTGACCTTTCCGCAGTCAGACCCGGCCAATATCGCAGCAGCCACTGGCAGCTTTGGCGAGAACGGCTACGGCGAGCCAACCACGAATCCGCTCAGAACCGACTATCCGCTCACGCCGCTTGTGCGCTACATGTCCAAGATCATCTTGCGCGACACTTTCCTCGTCGACTTTCTCATGAATATGCAAATCGCCCCGCTTGATATGGACATCCTCTTCTCCGACTACGTCGCGTTCATGAAGAACCAATCCATACCGGATCCCGTCTTTGCGTCTGCCTGCAAGTGGGTCCAAAACAACTACCTCACGTGGAGCGCTTGGGTCTCTCCACTGCCTCTCTGCACGCTTCAAGGCAGCGTCTCGTTCGCGTACCAAGGTTGCAACGCGTCCACGCGCCTCATCTCCTTCGTTTGGAACACGCCTAATCCCGCCAACGCCTCGCTACCGTACGACTGCGACGGCGGCCTCCTTGTCGTACCCGCCCCGTATGCATCCAGCAAGACCTGCGCGTGGCTCGACTCCAACACCAAGACGTGGATGAGCTGGCTCAGTAGTCCGCCCATCTGCGACGCCACCTTTTACAACTACACCGTCACCGACTGCTCGGCGGAAGCGCTTCGGTCGGTCCTCTTCTACTGGCTCTTGCCCGACCCCGCCAAGTATACGCTGAGCCTCGAGTGCAGCGGTGGCGTGAGCCTGCCGGCCAACATCACCATCGACTGCGACTATGTCCCGTTGTCGTCCGGGGTATGTTGTTTCTCTACGTAAGCTCCAACCGATGCTCATTGATGTATTCTGGTAGACATACTCGAGCATGGTGGCGTTTGCCGCGTTCGTGCTGGCTGTCCTGGTGGTCTGCATGATTCTCATCGTGCTGTTCCGCGAGAAGCCCGTGATCAAGCGGTCGCAGTGGCACTTGCTCATTGTCTTGGTGCTCGGCGGCATGTGCATGTGTGTGTACGTCATATTGGGCGGCGGCGCGCCGTCCAATACGGTGTGCGGCGCTCGGCCCGTGTTCGCCTCGATCGGGTACACGCTGGCGTTCGGCTCGCTTTTGCTCAAGTCGCTGCGTGTGTACCTCGTCTTTCACAGCAAGGCAGTGAAGAAGAACGTCGTGACCATGGCGCGCATGATGCATTATCTATGCGGCTTTCTGACCATCGACATTGGTAGGTCGATGTGGGCTTGATCTCTTGCCACTCATCGGACTCATGGCTGTAAACGTAGTGATTCTCGGCGTGTGGTACCTCGTGGACTTTCCTGCGCCAACATTAACGGTCGAAGCCGCGACGGCCTTTACGGGGTCGGTCGACCACGTGTCGTGTCACTCGTCGAGCTTTATCTTTCCCGCGCTTTGCATCTTTTGGAAAGCTGTCATCACCTTCATTGGCCTCTACGTCTCGTTCCTCATCCGGCACGACGGCGACGATTTCCAAGAGTCGATTTGGATTTTCTCGGCGGCGTGCGTGGTGCTCATGGGGTCAATGTTTCTGATCCCGCTCTCGTACTTGGTGGCGTTGCCGGCGACGACGAGTTTTGCGTTTTGCTCGGTGATCACGCTCGTGTGCACGGTACGTCGAGTAGAACACGGTATTGGACTCAAAGGTGTGTAGCTGGTCGTGATGGGACTCATGCTCGGACCCAAGTTTGCGCGCCTCAATCGTCCGGACTATACGTCGTCCGGCACGACCTCTGGCACCAAAGGCGTGTCCACATCGAGCGCTGGACCGGTCAAACCTATTCATGTAGCAGCAGCGCCGCCAAGGGTCGTCCAGTAAGTCGCAGTTAACAGTAAATTGCATTCGAATGACAATACCGGTACATACCGTTTGCTTGCACAGAGCGTGGCGCCATGCTGCTCCCCAGACCGTAGCGAGCAACTAGGGTTGAGCGCTGCCACAATCGTCGATTTAGTCGGCGGGACCTTGATATGCTACAGATCCCATCGACCTCGCGCGCAACGATGATCAAGATGGCTGCAGGAGGCGTCGACACCGTAAAATAGCCATACCGTCTTGACGGTTGTCTTGCACAGATTTCAAAGGCACGGGCCTCTTAATCCCAAGAGCAATGTTCTGGTTCTCAAGTCGTCGTACTGGTACCTTCATCACTACTATTAATAGTAGTGTATTAATAACCACAAGGCTAAGATCTGAGTGATATGTACTACATACACGCAAAACATTCATTGCTAGACTTGCAGAGCTGATCCCGGCGATTACAGCGTAGGCGCTGCCACGTCATGACTCGCATCAATGCCGTATGCCATGCCAGCTACGTGTATCGCGTGCGATCCGTGGTGCATAATACCTCTTCTGATGTGGCGCACAACTCGCTTCGCTCGTCCATGACCAGTCCCAGCCCAAGCATCTGATAGCGGCGGCGCAGGTGAATTCTGCATGGGTTCACGATGATATTTCGTCTCCACGGTCTCCATACAAATTCCAAGTCCACCCTGTCCTGGCGCCTGGCTTTTTCCCAGCAATTCGCTTCTCTAGTCATGAACCCACCGGCGATTGGTCCATCGCCCCGTGGCATCCGCAACCATGTACTTTATATGCGAACTCGTGGCCAACCTTGCATCCATCAAAGGCAGCGCGGCTGGTCCTTCATTTCTTGATTCGCCATGGTTGGTCGTCTTCTGGTGACGTTGGCATCGATGGCGTCCGCCGCGGCCCTGGCGTCGCCCGGCGTCGCAACGGGCGACGGCTGGCACGTGACGCCGGTGCGTGGCATCCAAGCGCGCGTCCAGGCCGGCATCCCAGTCTACGACGAGCAGATGAAGACGTGGGTGGCGCCGTTCGGCAACACGTTCGAGGAGCGCCACCGCGCCGTGATGGACACGGTCAACACGGCAAGCGTCGAGGGCGCGCTCATGTACGTGCAAGCCGAGGGCATCAACGCCAAGACCAACCCGCTCTGTCGGCGCAAGAACAACATGGCGTACGTCTGGTTCATGGAGGTGCACGTCGCCAACTCCAAGGCGACGATCGCCGAGTTTGAAAACAACTGGGGCATCTCGCCCGAGTTTTGCTCCTTCGCGGCGCTCGACGGCGGCATGTGCACGCCGTACAACCGCGCCGGGTCGCTGCCGCAGATCTGCTACGAATACAACGGTGCGCATGGCCAGCCCCACCTCGGGCCGTGCGTCGGCGGCGAGCCGCGCACGTCGGACCCGCGCGCGCCGTACCGCGACAACATTTGGTTCTCGTTCCCCAACTCGTGCTTCACCAAGCGGTTCCCGCAAAAGACCAACGACTGCCGCAAGCAGATCCCGGGCGGCCTCTGCCCGTATGGCACGCTCCCGGACGGCGTCACGTGCACGTACTCGCACCGCGTGCTGGGGTACCTCAGCCTCGACGACCTCGTTGGCATCACGTCCATGGTCAGCAACAAGACGGGCAAGCCGTACGCCAACAAGCGCGAGTTCTGCCTCGACGGCAACGTCGAGCAGCTCGACAACTTTACCATTCCGTTCTGGAACAACCCGACCGACCCGGACGCCAACGCGGCGCGCGCCCAGCAGCTCATCGACTTTTACCAAAACAACGTGACGATGACCGACGAGCGCATGGAGCCCTTCCCGGCACTCGACGACCTCTCGGCGCAGAACCCGCCTTGCTACATGAACCTACCGCAGTGCTCGGAAGGGTGCCGCCGCAAGCTCTACGCTCAGGTCTGCGAGCCGTGCACGCCCGACGTCCCGGGCTGCCAGGTCAAGCCGCCGGGGTATAGCATCCCGCAGCTGCTCAAAGCGTGCCGTGGGGACGAATGCAAGACGTCGCCGTGGGAAACACTGCCGCCGACGCAGGCGCCCACGGAGGCCCCGACGCACGCGCCCACGACGCCGGCGCCGACAGAGACGGCCGTCGAGATCATGACGCAGGAGAAGCCCGTGAGTGCTGCTGTGTCCGCAGCGCTTGGCGCGTCAGTCGCGCTGGCTGCTGTCGCGCAGGCATTCCTCTAACCTCTAAATACGAGTCGTATAAAGTCCTAGTCTGTTACGCGTTATAGGTCGTACGCTAGTCGTACAAGAGGCAGCGGTTGTTACGGTTTGTTCGGGTGGAAGACGTAGGCCCAGTCGCCCGAGTCTGCATTGCGGCACAGCTCGACCGTTGGCCAGTAGTGGTAGTCGGTCTTGAGCGTGAGCACTTTGGGCTTGGTGTTGAGCGCGACAGTCTTCATGCGCACAGACGCGCCATTCTGAAGGTTCTCAACCACCTTGATGAACGCATCGAGTGTCGGCGTCGGCTCGTTGTTGACCTGCACGATCCACATGGTGGCGCGGAGACCGTACTTGTGCGCGGGGCTGCCGTAGCACCACCGGGAGCAGTAGACGCCACCGCCCTCCTCCGGAACGTAGCCGAGGTTTACGACGGCGTAGTGGGGCTCCTGGATGACGAGGCCACACCACGTAATGACGCGGCTTGTGCCCCACCCGCTGAGCTCCATCGTCTGCACCGGTAGCGTCATCTCCTGCTGCTCGCGCAGCACGACAAGCTGCACTTGCGACTTGCCCATGCAGAGGCGCTCGACGTCAAAGTCTTTGGCCACGACCGTGCCATCAATCGAAAGGAGCAGATCGCCGCTCTGAAGTTGTGCGTACGCGTCCGTGCCCGCGGCGCATCGCTTGATGGCGAGGACTTGGCGCTTGTCGTCGTAGCACTGTTCGAGCTCCCGAATCCAGTGCGGCGAGAGCCCGAGGCCGGCGCGGGCCTTGGAGAGGGGGTATGTGTACAGCTGAATCGGCAACACAGTAACCGCGCGGGGCGACGCGCCAGTATGAAACAAGTCAACGACTTCGCGGATGATGTCGACCGACATGCCACGAAACACCTCGCGCCGACCGCCTTCGTCTTGGTAGCTGAACGAGAGCCAGAGCGCCGTCACAAGGCCACGACTGTCAACGAAGATGCCACCGACCGACTTGGTGATGCGGTCAAAGTGGATGACCTCGACGTTGCTCGCCTTGTAGCGCGGCGGTTGAAAGTCGCGGAGGACGAGCCGATCGATCTTGGTGACGAGCGATTTCATCGCGACGACCGTCCACGTACTCGTGAGCCCGACAAAGTCGACTTGGTCGCCGACTTGAAGCACTTCGCTCGAGAGCTCGGCCGACTCGAGGCGCGTGTCGCCGAGGAGCGCGGGGTCGTACTGGATGATTGAAAAGTTGTGGACCGGGTGCACGAAGAGCACCTTGGCGGGTGTCTCGATCGACGCGGCGACCGTCACCACCACGTCGCCAAGTGCGATGGGCACTGTGTTCTGGTCCACGAGCACGAGGCCTTTGACGGCGTCAATGACAATACCAACGCCGTTGTAGCTTGAGCTCGAAATGCCGTCAATCATGCACGGGATGTCGAACGCAACCATGACAAGGGACGAGAGGAGCTTGGTGAATGTCGCCTTGTCCAAGTCCGAGTTGAGCCCCGGGACGCTCAGTGGAGCGGCGGGATACGCGGGCAACTGCAGCGCAAGCGGCGTCGGCGGTGTCTCGTACTTGTGTCGGTGCCAGAGTCCGTCCGCGTCGTTGCGTGTGTACAGCTGCATCGGAAAACCACTGGCGGTCGATGCTCAGAACAGCATTGCGGATGCGGTGCCGGTCGCGGGTCAAGAAGTAGCGCATGACAGTGCGATAGCCATTTGGGAGGTCCTTGATCGCGTCGATGAAGGCTTCCAGCGTCGGGGTTGGCTTGCCGTCGAGCGAGACGACGATGCACGGCTGCGCAATGTGGGCTTTCATGAGCATGTGACCCGCCTGGGCCAAGTAAACGTGACCCACGGGCAGCGATGCGTTCCGCGCTTGCTGGTACGAGAGCGAATGGAAGATGCAGCCCCCGACTTCGAGGAACTGGTTCGGTGTGATAGCATGGAGGTCCTATGGTGACTTGAGAAATGCAATATCAAAACACAGTCTAGCGTACCTGTACTGTCAAGTGTACGACGATGGACCGCCCGCCGCGCTGAATCTCGACGGGGATGACGTTGCCGACGTTCGAGTCGACGAGCGCTTCCATGGCCAAGAACGTCGTCTCGAGCTGTCCTTGGATGCGAATGACAATGTCGCCAGGCTCAAGAAGACCAAAGGCAGGGCCCTTCGGGAGGACTTGGTCGACGACGAGCAGTCCAGTCTCGTCTGGCAGCGTCTTGCGCACGTCGGCTTCGACGTCGGCGGTCAAGCCCAGCTTCCGGACCTCGTCGTACGCTGCGTGGCGAAAGATCGTTTGCCACGTGCCACGCGGAATGTCCAAAATGTTCTGTTGAATGAGCTTGAGGGCCCGAACCGCGCGGTCCAGCGGCAAGTAGAACGACGACGCGGCTTTTTTAGACCCACCGGCGTTGAGCGCAATGGCTTCGCCGTCAATGTTGAGCACGGGGGACCCACTCGAGCCGCCGCTCGTCGAGGAAGCGGCTGCGTAGTAGAACGTGTTGAAGTCGTTGTAGCCGCTTGTACCGTAATTTGGTGCTTCGCGGTCCAGCTTGGCGAGGATGCCGGGGAGGATCGAGAGCTTCTCACCCGCGTCATTGCCGACGACGCGGATCTCGACGCCGACTTTCGCACCACCCGGGTTGAGCGGAATTTCGTGGAGCTTGAGGAACTTGACGCGCGACGGGTCAAAGCGGTAGAAGCCAAAGTCGTGGACCGGGTCGCGGTAGATGGGCACGAGGTCGACCTCTTCCTTGTTGACGAAGATGGCATCGGCGACGACCGGTCCCGGCGTCACGACGTGGCGGTTGGTCAAGATGAGGCCGCGCGTCTTGTCGACGACGAAGCCCGTCGCGACCGAGAAGGACGCGCCGTCGCCATCAAAGGCGCGGACCGACATCAAGCGGATGATGACGATGGCAGGAATCGCTTCCTGCAGCGAGGCCAGCCATCTTCCCGCTTCCGGCGCCGGCGACGCGATCTCCATGTCCTCCTCCATCGTCGCGTCTTCCTGCATCGGGTCGAGTTCGGCGTCGTCCATCTTCACCCAGGGACGAAATCAAAACCGATTGTACCGTCCTATCATTGCCCGCACAGGATTTTGACCAGGATATCTGGGCCCCAGAATAATAATATTCATGATATCACCGTCGCTTTACAAAACGAAAGACATCTTCTGCTGGATTTGATGTTCATATTATAAATTGCTGCCAATCCAGTCGAAAATACTGGCCCCTGATTTTATTAGGTACACGTCCCTCAGCGACAACGACGAACATGGCGGCGATAAGTCCGCTTGGCGCGACGAGACGGGTGGGCGCCGTGAAGCGACGAGGTACTCGCGCCGGGCGGTGGGCCATGGCGATATGCATAACACTGATGGAGTGGTCCGACGGACTGGCGATGGCTAGCCCTGCCAGGATGCCGGACTGCAGCCTGCCAGCAGGCCAGGGTTCCGTCAAGTTTGCCGTGTGCGATCTCCGTCGTATCACTGAAAGTGGAGAGCTGTAGACGATGTAGTGAAGTTCTGAGTAGGGTTGGCAGCAGGCACGGCAGGTTGACTAGACTTGGGATCGAAGGGTGAACGCAGCGTTGCGGTGCACGGTGCTCCAAGTAGCCCATCGCCTCGCGCGCGTCAGAGACACTTGTTCAGAACGAACGAGAGGCGGCACGGGCCATCGTAACGCAGCGACGAAGTGTTTTGCGCCACAAGAAGATGGTGGCGTCTGGGACTGTGCGCGGGCCTCGTTTCTGGGGCGCCTCACCACAAACACCAGCAAGCCGCCACAAGCATCGAGCCACGTGGCAGCTCGAATGAGCAAACACCGACGCTCTCGGTGGTTGAAGTGCCGAAGCCGAGAAGGCGCTGGCACGGACGCTGCATTACGCCGAGTGATTCCTCAATCGACTCAGATCATCCGGGTAAGATCTTGCGCAGTCAAGGTCCGCCACCCAAGAAAGTTTCCACGGCGGGGCGCCGCCGCAGCTGGTGCAGTGCCCCGGCTCGGCTCCACGTGCACGTTCAGTAGGTCCCGGGGCGGCCACGTCGACCAATCGGAATGCGTGCTGCTCTCTTGCTGGTGCGGGCTGCCGGATACAATATCCGGCGCGTCCACGGAACGTTCCCAAGGCATGCGACGGTCCCTTTTCTCGAACTGGGTCGACGTGCAGCAGTGCGCTTGGCCATGCATTCTTCAAGTCAAGCGCCACCGGCAAATAAAATATGAGGCGCGTCTGTTAAAAAAATGAGACGGTGGGGACCGTCCACATACAAAACGCAAGTCAAAGTAGTTCAAGTAGCCGTGTCGAGGTTCAACCCTAGTCCGCGTGTACCCAGAGCACTCGAAACGTGAACGTTCCTTGTGGCAAAAAATGCAAGAGGCATTTTATTTTATGACGCGACACACCATATTGAAAGCAAATGAAAGAACAGTGAACGGCGCACTGTAGAAAAAAAGGTTCGCGAACGTTTAATTAAGCGCGACGCCTGCGTCTGATTGGCCCAAAGTCGGGGCGCGCGGCGTGAATACTGCACTTTTCATTTTTGCAAGTCGTGGGCGTTTTCTCGTGGGTTTGGTGGTGTGGCTCCTTCAGTATCAAGGACCGACAACAACAACAGCAACAGGAAGCAGCACTACTACTCACCAAGAACTTACTCCTCCTCCCGCCCGCCGCTGCCACCACCCCGAGCAGCACGCCCGTCGACGCCCGCCCCACCGACCGCCTCGACGACCCCACCAAGCTAAATGTGCTACGCGCATATGTCCATCAAGCCCCTCCCGCTCTCCAACGATGGCATGACCAGTGCAACGAACAATCCGATCGCGATCGCCATGGAGCGCCACCGCGCGCAGCTCGCAAACGACCTCAAGAAGCGCGAAATGATGAAGAAGGTGCTCTCGGTCCGTAAGGGCCTAGTCCATGTTCAGGACTGCACCTCGTCCGACTGCGACAAGGCGCTCTGCAAGTCCACGAAGCGCCTCATTGCGCAGTACCGCGGCCACGGCTGCATCAACCACGTTAGCGATAGTACCACCACCACCACCACTAGTAACTTAGGACCCGGGAAGGCCAAGTGCCAGGTCTGCTCGCTGTGGGCCCTCGTCGCGGGCTCCACGGCGTTGGCCGCCCATTAATTTAAGCTGATCAAATAGCGCATCGTATAAGTAGAAGAAGACCATGAACGAAATGAACGAAACCAAATTTTTTGCCACTTATATCATGATGTTGTCCTCTGCACCGTGCCCCAAGTGACCGTAGTCCAGTAATCAGGCCATTACAAGCCGAGCGCCACAAACCTAGCACGAAGGACATGGTTGGTGACGACGACATGTTTGAAAGCGTACCGCTCGTGCTGCGCATCCGTGAGCGTCTGCATCGTCGCCTAGCAGGATACTCCATCGCGACTCTTGGATGACACGTTCGAATCTCGCACCTGAAACGTCGCGTCGTCGTGAAAGTACGCCAGGGCGACCTGGAAGTCGTCGACCGAGACGTTAAAGTTGGCAGCGATCGTGTCGGTCACGAGCTTGGAGGCGTCCATGTAGGCCGTCGCGATCTCTTGGCGGACGGCGCCGTCCTTGAGGTTGGTGTGACGCGTCTTGATGTCGGCAAGGATCGCTTCCATTTCCTTGGTGAGCGCGCCGATGAGTGCGCGCATCATGGCCTCGAGCACGTCGCGAGGGATCGGCGTCGTGAGCGGCTTGGGCGCCATATCGCGTTGGCGCCGACGAATCGGCTCGCGCGATCCCGTGCACTCCCAACGCATGCGGCCAAGCTTACGGATGTACTCGTGGATGAGCTCGGCGTCGGCGGCCTGGATGGGCAAGTCCTATACCCGTAGTAGTTGCATAAGGTCGCAATCAACGACGTGGCGACAACGCCATACCCCACGCTCCATACGGCGCATTGCGTCTGCGACTTGCTCCTTGGTTACATAGTGGTTGCGAAAGACCGAATCTTGGACTTGGGCGAGAAGTTGCTCAAAGGTTTCGCTCATTTGGAGCGCGCGGTCCTCGACGCTCATGGCCGGCCCCGTCCCTTTCTCTTCCTCGGCCGCGATCTCGTACGCAAGAGCTTCCATCATTTGTCGCGACAAGATGCGCATGTTCGTGTCCACTTGCTCGTAGAGCGTGATGACCTCTTGGACAGACAGCGCGCGGGGCGCTTCGTCGCAGAGCGCTACCGGGGCGACGCAGGCGAGGGCAAGACCAGCGAGCCAGAGAGGCGAGGTCTGCGGCGCCACCGTCGCGATGCGCACGGGAGCGTGCATGGACGGCGTCACATGCATAGCGCTGGACGCGCGGAGGCTACCGCGGGCGGCGGCCCGGAGCGGCGCCGTCGCGATCTTCAAGCGCTGCATCATTCGTCACGTGCGAGGAATTTAAATTGAAGCATACAATTTGTTCAATAAAGAATAAAAATACGCCATAATGGAATTTGCACTGCCGAACGCAAGTGATGTCGAGCTTGCAGACCACTCTGGTGAGACAGCGACGGGCACGGTCTAGTCGACAAAGCAGATAACCGGTACAACTACACAGTGTGCATTGAGCCAAGCTCTATTATAGTACTACCGTATTATGAGAGGGAGATGTTGTACAACGAACGCAGGAGATTCGTGGCACCGCTGCGGAGCCGGGGAATGGAGACCGGATGTCCGATTCGAGGTCCCAAGCTCACCGGTCCCGCAACTTCAACCGCCTCTTGGCTCTGTATGTAGACTCTGAAGCAGACTGGATTCGATTCGTGCCCAGTGGAGGTTAGCAAAGGCGCTACTGTGTGATGTGTACAGAATGTCAGCACTCCTATGCCTGTGGTAACCAACTTCGAGCGTTGATTGAATCTGAATGCAGTTTAAGTATCGTACAGGATGCACTCTACTACGAGTACCTTTTTGGCTATGGTATGGTTCCGTGATTAAATAAAGGGTTGTGTCGGCCGCTCAGTGCAAGCCGACGAACTGGCGCACAGCCGGGAGGTCGGCAAGCTTGGGGTTGGAAGCCACTTGGTGCAAGAAAAGCTGAAGACCCAAGCGGCGCTTCTCAAGAAACGACGGGTTGAGCTGCCGCAGGAGCGACTTGGACGGCAGTACAGGCACGACAGGGCGGTCCTCCATCTCCTTGATCTCGCTCTTGATTGCCGCGATAAGCTGGGCAAACTCCGAGTAGCGCTTCCGGAGCAACTTTGTGTGCGACGCCTCAAGCTTGGCGCCCCACGTCAAGGTAATTGTGTAGCTGGCATGCGTGCAGCTTTCGTCGTCGTTGTCAAGGAGCTGGACTTGGGTCACGAGCACCTGCGCGTTGTGGAGGTTGAGCTGGTTGCCCTTGACGAGAGGCGCAAATGTAGTGTCCTCGATGATCGAATCGAGGTGCTTGCTGCTGTGGATGCACCGCGTCGCGAGCAGACACCACGAGAGGAAGCCCGAGACGATCGAGAACGAGAGGCCGGCAGCAAGATACAAGGCGATGTCCGCTTCAAAGAGGAGCCACTGCTGGAGCGTAATGATGTTCATGTTGGTGCTGCTAATCCAGGTCAAAATTGAAACTGCAATCGCACCAAGACACTTCAAACTCTGCGAACGAACACTTGGTGACGGGTAATCGTTGGATTATGGAAATGGGCCGTTCCCGTATCACGTATGCTGTCGCACCGGAGGGTATCTCCCATACAAATTTCCAGCTATGGGACGCTGGATCTCCATGATTTAGTGTGCGCCTGGACCAGCTTGGTGGACAGGATACCACCCATCGATGTAAAAATCGCGGCAAGCCAACACAAACATGACCACGCTGGATAGATTAACCATGTCCACTATGACTGGAATGGTGTGCGAGTGTCCGCTTTCTGGGAGCATCATGTTGCCACGTGACGTTGGCGTCTCTGATGCACACTATTTCATTACAACACTATTTCGCGGCATTCATGATTACCAAACGATGGCGCCAAATTAGGTCGTGTGCGGTTGTAATATGCCACCTCAAGAAGGCGTAATCGTGATTATTTAGCCAACGACTTTGATAACACGACGTCACGGAAGCCTGCGACGCGGTGTTTAGGATCGCGAGTCGGCTTGGATCTGCGCGTTCACGTCCAGGAGGCTCTTCAGAATCATCTTTTCGCCCAATCGCACGTGGACGCACGAGGCGCGCCACGTCTCGAGCGGGGCCTCTTCGTTCCGAAGCAAGTCGTAATCCTCCTGATACAAGATTCCGTCGAGAATTCTCGGTCGCAGCGACAGCATGTTATACCTCGGCGGTTGTCCGGTACTTGGCCAAACGAGATTGACAGTAGGCGGCGACCCACGCCCACACACGTCGCTGGTTGGACGGCTGCCACTGGCCGTGTCGCTGACGGTGCGCAAGCTCGTCAGCGCTTGCTACATATACGCGCAGCCACTCCCATTCCATTGGGTGTTTGTCCAGGTGCTCGATATGGATCGTGAGCGGCTACATGGAGATGCGACGTGGAGGATTGCACATTTTCAAACTCCGTCATCAGTAAGAAATGACATACCACCGACTTGGCAGTTGGCATTTCCTTGGATTGGAGCCACGAGATCTTGGCTTGCGTCAAATCCGGGTTCGACACTAGAACGCAGGTGGGTTCCTCGCCATTCGAGAAGAATGCACACACCGTCGTCCGTGATCGCCACATCTTGCTTGATCTGGAGCGGATCCAGAACTGTCGCCTGTGCCATGGACGCAAAGCCTACACCCACATGAAACCAAGCGCTATTGCGACGGTGAGCTCACCGTAGTGGCGCAAAAACGTCGACTGCGTATGGTTGCCATAGTTGATGAAGAGCTGGTCACCAGGCGCGTGGTCGGCCGTCGCAGTGACCACGAACGCATCGTCGTTAGCCACGTACTCATGGTGGCAGGCCGATCTACGCTGGTCGTATCGCAAGAGCGTCCTCGACATTATCGACGTACGCCGACGCAGAGTGGTTGAACCACTCGAAATACGGGATAAGCGTGAAAGGCTGGTTGGCGCCCGACGTCGCGCGCGACATGAGCAGCGTGAGCGCCCACTGAAACTCGGCCGGACTCACGATGGGCTGCGCGCCAAAGAGGTGCGAGTACATGTTGCGGTAGAACGCGCGCCTGCCAGTCCGTCAGCGATACAAGGGGGGCATAGCATGGACGCACCCGTCTTGGATCGTGTCGAGGACGTCGCAATGGCGCAGCTCATCGAGGCGCCGCTCCGACCAGTACATGGGCACGTCGATCTGCGGCGGGAGCGTGCTCACGTAGAGGTCGTTCGGGTCCTTCATGACGACGTGCGTTGCAAGAAGCACGGCGTCGGCCATGCGGCGGTTCTTCTGGCAGTACGTGTCGACGCGCTCGAGAAAGGCTGGGGCTTCCGCCATGGCGCTGGCGCGGGCGCCGGCCGCAGAGACATCGCGCCACAGGTCGCTGGACGCGACGAACAGAGTCTCGCCGGCAGGAATCGGAGCGACCGCTTGAACGCCCAAGCCCATGGACGGAAAGCGAGTCACGCGGATCTTGGGCGACACGAAGCACCCGCGCGTGCCCTGAACAAGCTGCACGAGCGCTTGCTCGAGACGTCCGACAACCATTGCTCGACGCGCGCGATTGGTGCCAACTAAACCTTGCGACTGAAATGCAGGTTTAGTTGATTAGTATCCGGATACAGTTGGCTGCTTGAAGTCCATAGCCATCGTCCGAGGCTCGGTTCCAGTGACCGAGGATCGAGGACCAGGTGCTGTTGTCGGCCAGGCAGCGTCGCGACCGGACGCTGAAACAGTACGATCAAGACCATAATGGCCTCCTAACCCTGCACGGGTGGGACCTGTTAATGGCACACCTCTATCGTTGAGTTTATTACTCGAAATCTAATGCATCGGGAGCAGCTCGGCTTGCTCTTCAAACAAGACGGACCGGACCATCTCGTACGTGAAGAAGCCCGCAGCGTTGGCGGGGAAGGCTCTGATGAGGCACGGGGAGTAGCCCTTCCAGAGCGCACGCGGACCTTCCTCTTTGACGATCGTGCGGAAGCAGTTCCACCAGCCGCCGTCCGGGAGCCAGCGCGAGGCCGCGTACAGCGGAGGGTGGCCCAGCGGCTGCAGCTGAAGGCGAGACTTGACCACATCCTGGGGGTAGCTCACGGTCCAGCACACACAACCTGCAAAGCCGCCGGCCAAGAGCGTCGTCGTTGCACTCGGCTTGCCGTCGATCCCCTCCATCTGGCTCGTAAAGACTTGTTGCAGCAGCTCGTCTACACAAGACTGTTAGCTCGCGCCGGGGCTCAAGGTAGCCAATGCATACAGGTGCCAAACTGCCCAATGTAGCTGGGCACTTCGCGGTACATCGTCGCGACCTGGCCGCGCCAGAGGCCTCGGATACCGTCGATCTCGACGATCTTCTTGACGCAGTCCATCGTGCCGTTGAACTTGATTTCGTTTGCGTGGGTCGCAATGGCCTCACCCTGCGCCTGCAAGTGGCACTTGACGAGCTCGACAGGGGTGACGACCACCGAGTTCATCAAACCCGCCCACGCACCTTTATCGTTGACGTTAGATGGCATCGTCCTCAATAGAGTGTACCGGCAAGCATCGCTTCGTTGTTGGTGAGCACGCCATTGTGGTTCTCGCGGCGGTTGAGCAAGAACGACTTGGCGCTCTCGTACGTGCTAAAGACGACGGCGTTGACGAGCGGCACCGTCGTCATGGGCGAGACCATGCCGCGATAGAGCCCGAGAAAGCCCTCCTTGTTGACCGTCTGCATGACGCAGTCGAGCGGGCCTTTGAAGGACGACGAGAGCGGGCAGTGCATTTGCAGCCGCACCTTGACCGTGTCAAACTATCGACGCGATGAGCCACATGTCATGATGGCACTCTCGAGCGTACCGGGTGGCCCACGACGGTGGACGAGACGCCGGCGAACGACCCAGCGACAAAGTCGCGAATGCCCGACAAATCGCCCGGGCTCTCGACTGCGAGCTTGGTGCGGTCGTCGTAGTAGTGGTTGTGGCGCGGGCACCACACGTGGTGCACGTGGTCCGTGTGCATGGCAAAGTGCGGGTGGTCGTCGACGATCTCGTCCGGCGGCATGTGCGTGTGGCGGCGCACAATGAAGCGCTTCGTCGGGCGGGTCTCTTCCATCGTCAGTGTAAAAAGCCAAGATGGGGATTCGGAGCTTGGATTTCCAATGCACTTGGGCTTCGTATGGCCCCAACTTCAAGCGCCACAGTGGGAGGTATTTTCGGCAAAGTCAAGATTCGCCGTCGCTGATTGGCTACAATCGTGGACCCCGGGGCACACCACGTGGCACGCCAATGGCGCGGGTGCGCTTTCGAAAGGGGCACATCTGGGCGCGTGCAGACAGAAGAGGCATGTGAGCCTTGGAGATGCTTCCTAGGAAGGTACCATCCCTCTGCTACAACGAAGACAGACATGGCGATATTGGACCAGCAGTTTGAGTCGTCTGGATGCACCACGAGATGGGCAAAGCCGCCCGAGCGTCAAACGCGTGGTCGGAACAGTGGGTTCCGTCTTGACCAATGCACCCATATGGATGGATGGCGTCCAAGGCGCGAAGAAGGGAAAACGACCCACCATGGCAAGATCGACGTGCGTCCTTCATCATTATGTCTTGGCTGCGAGAACACCACCAGTACGCTCACACGCGCAGGTGGCCCACTGTTCCGATTCGCTCGAGTAGCTTGCTGTCGCAACATCACCTAGCACTAGTATCAGCCCACCCCGCACGTCTGTTTCTACACCAGCAATCACGGCGCTAGTTCAAAGGCAAGGTCGTCCGTTCCTCCAACTCATTCAGCATATCACGCGGTTCTTCTCTTCTAACATTAAATTGATCAACAAATAGGTTTTACTAGGCCACGGGTGGGGCCGTCACCGACTCGCGCACGCCGGCGAGGTGCGTCGTTTCGTTGATACCGCGCAGGTACAGCGCATGATCGTTCCCGACGTCGATCTGCGTCACGCTGCAGTAGCCCATGACGATTGTGTGGTTCATCTCTCCAGGCGAGAGCACAAAGCCCACGTTGTACGCGGCCTGGTGCGTGCAATACCGGATGAAGCTGGACGAGCACACGACGATTGTGATTGGGTACATGTCGTCCGGCGCGCAGAGCAGCTGCAGCGCAAGTGCCATCTTGGCCGACCGACTCAAGTAGCGCTGCGACGCTGAGAGACCGTGGGGCGCGCTCTCTCGCAAGAGAGCAAACTCGTGCCGGGCGACGCGTTGCTGGCGCGACGATGTCTCGTACGGGTTGTACGTTTCGTAGATGCCCGCGGACGCGTCAATCTCCTTGGCGATGAAGTCCATGGTTTGGATCGACCGCGTGACGTTCGCATAGACGATGCGCACGTCTTGGTACGTCAAGCCCGCGTCGTCGATGAGCGACGAGAGGTACTTGGCCGTCGCGCGCGACTGCTCTTCGCCGAGCGGCGTCAAGCATTTCTCTGGGTCCATCGTCTTGAAGTGGTGGTTCTCGTACTCGCCGTGGCGCACAAATAGGATGCGGTGGCGCATCGCCGCAGGTTTGCTATTCGACGGCGTGTGAGGCCCCAGCGGGTGCACCGGCGGCGGGTTGCGCAGCGTCACGGGCAGCTGGACGTCCGGTTGCGCATCGGACTTGCGCGCGCCAAATCCGAGCGACTGCCCGAGCTGCTCCACAAAGCTCACGGACGCCTCGGGTGTCGACCGCATGAGCCTTCGTAGCCGCTTGGTGAAGTGGTCGGGGTCCATGAACGAGGCCGATGCGGACGCCATTTGGATGGACCAGAACCACATGTGCAGCGTGGCTGCGTTGGCAAACTTAAGGAAGAGTTCGTCGACGTCGCGCAGCCCCGCGACCTCGTACATGCGCATCTCCGTGGTGCTGAGCACCTGGACGCGGCACTTGTGGATCGGGCACTGGAAGATCTGATCGACGTCGTCGAGGCCGGCAAAGCACATGATACCGGAGGCCAAGCCGGCCCAGTACGACTTCCACGAGATGCCCATGCACGACACGTGGTGGATCTTGACGGGCCCAACGAGCAGAAAGTCCATGTTGCGCGAGTGCATCTGCAGAACGGCGGCGCCAAAGTCAACGCTGCTGTACGGCAGCGCGTTATCCCAAGAGAGCGTCAGAAGCTGTTCTTCTTCCTCGTAGCTAATGACGCGGCGCGTGCGAAAGATGTTGTACGGCATGGACGACAAAGGGCATGGGTACTGGAGGTCGTCCACGTAGTGCGTCGTGCACAGCTCCTCGGCGAACGCTACGCGCTTTGCCTTGCGGGACGCTGCGACGGCCTCGAGCCGGTGGTTGAAGGTCTTAAGGTCAAGCAGGTCCACGACGAGGTCGTCGCCCGAGCCCATGCGGCTAAGCCGCTGCTCGTCGAACGAGCCGGCTCGGCTCTTGTGCACACCGGCCTTGAGCTTATCGAACAGCGTCTTCTCTTGGTTAAAGGACGAGCGAAGCGCCTCGCCTTCCTTAGCGAAGCTGTCGCTCTTGGGGCGGCCCATCGCTGGTTGTCTGGGTTGTGCGCGATCGCTGTTGCCGCAACAGCGACGACCACCATGCTGTGGTGACGCGCCTCCGGATACCGCTGAAGCTCAATTGAGGTGTGACACAGTCGCCTCGTCTAAGCGCACGCCATTTAGGGACGGTAGGGACACCCCAAGCCCGCGTTGCGTCCAGTACAGACCGGTACAGTACACGTTTCAGTGTGGATATCAGGATGTGAGGCGATACGATTATTTTCAAGCGTAGCTCTGCGTGGACACGAGGGGTCCTGTTGGCCATGAGGACCGGCATCATTGCGTGGATTTATCCAACACAGGCCACAGCGTTCAAGCTTGCGTTGCGCTCAATTTCCCCAATTTGAGTTTCGCGTTCGGATAACGTCGTGTATCAGCACCCATTACGCAATCGTGTCTTTTTAAAATGCGCTGTAATATTATTCGCGACTCTACCGCCGGATACTTAAAACAAGTTCTTCTCCATGCAACGACACGAGAAGCGGATTATTACTGATGTCATTGGGTTTTAAAACCAGCTCTCTGTGGGGCCCCCTACATACCTTGGATTCGTAGCTTGAACATTGTATGAGGTTCTTTCATGGGGCCCGCTTCTAAGAATAGGCCTGTCGTACCTGGTCGTTCTACACAGGGTGGGAATCATTCTTCACGTGCCATTTTCACCGAATCCTCCACGCGAAAGAGAGGGGATTCCAGTGGTAAATACGTGAGCAATGCGGTGTGTGCGTGTGAAATCAGCTAGTCCGCCCTGGATGTTCATGCCAATATTTCAGCTCTGAGTTCGGCCAGTTTGCGACTTGCCCGAATGCTTCAGCCCCGCGCCGTCGTCGCTGCCCTCGCCCTCTGCGGCCTCGCGCATGGCCAGTCGGGCGATACCGGCCAGCTCGAGACAGCCGTCGTCACAACGGCTTCCGACGCCTTCTATGGCACGTACTCTTATGACCCGCTCGGCCCGGGTCAATGGGGCGGCGACCTCCCCGCCGAGGACGCTGCCATCAAGGCGACCGTGGTTTCGTTGTCGGCTGTGGCTGGCGTGCCAGACGTCTTTGGCTGCAACACCAGCGTTCTGCTCGACTCGTCGGTGCTGAAGGCTCACCTCGTACGTGCGATGTGCTACACCCCGAAGCTAAAGATAACACCACGTAGGCGACGTTCACCGCAAGCAGCCAGCCGTTTGCGCTCATGATCCAGCGCGGTTTGTGCACATTCACCGACAAGGCGGTCACGGCGCAGAAGCTCGGCGCCACCGCATTGCTCGTCGCAGACACGGTCGAGTCGATCTACAACACAACCGTGCGCGAGAACGCCACGGTATGGGACAAGGCCGACGCCTACGACTGCTCGCAGGGCCAAGCAACGCTCGCAACGCTAGCGAGTCCGCCGTGGAGCGACGCCAACAACGACGCGTCGTGCACCAGTGGCTGTCCGTCCGGCCGTTGCATTCCGACGGGCAGCGGCAATCAAGTGTGCTGCATGTGGGACGTCGCCGACTACATGGGCGCCGGCGTCAACTACAAACAAGTTACGATCCCCGTCGTGCGTGTGCGCGCCATGGACGCGGCCAAGCTCAAGGACGGCTCTTCCATCGGCATTTACAAGCGCTTCATTCCCAAGGTCGACCTCGCGCAGGGTCTTGTGTGGGCGATGGCAGTCGCGACAATCATCATGGCTGGGTACCTTGCGTCGTCGCTCGAGCGCAAGAAGGCGGTCGTGCGCGCGGCGCCCGTCGGCCACGTCACGGCGACCGTCGTCGCCCAGCTGCGCCAGGAGCAAGAAGAAGAGCCTACGATGGACATCAACTGGACGCACGCAGTAGGGTTTCTCGTCTTTGGCTCTGCGTTCCTCCTCTTGCTCTTCTACGTCAACGTGGTCATGATCGTCATCGTCATGTACTGCTTTGGCGCCAACTCGGCCATCAGCACGATTCTCTTCTCGCCACTTTTTGAGCGCGTGAAGGCGCTGCGCAAGCCGCTGTGGATTTTTGAAACCAAGGCGCTCGGCGACATTTGCATCTCGGCCGCGGACTTGCTCTCGTTTGCGTGCTCGCTGAGCCTCGTGCTTCTCTGGGTGCTCTCTCGCCACGCGTCGTGGGCGTGGGTGCTCCAAGACGTCTTTGGCATTTGCGTCTGCACCCTCTTTCTGCAGACGATCCGCCTTCCCAACATCAAGGTCGCGGTCGTGCTGCTCGTGCTCGTCTTCCTCTACGACATCTTCTTCGTCTTCATCTCGCCCTACATTTTCGGCAAGAGCGTCATGATCGTCGCGGCGCAGGGCGGGAAGCAAGACGCGAAGACCGCGCCGGGCGCCTTCTGCCTGCGGTACCCCCGGGACACGACGTACGGCTGCGTGAAGGAGGAGATTCCGATCTTGCTGCGGCTCCCCAAGGTGACCAACTGGCTCGGTGGCCAGGCGATGCTCGGCCTCGGAGACATTGTGCTGCCCGGCCTCCTCCTCGTCTTTACGGCCCGGTACGACTATGCGACGCGCGGCAACGTGCTCGGCCACCCGACAAAGAAGGCGACGCCCGCCGCGTACCCCGGCCGCATCGGCCTCTTTGGTGTCATGTGCATTGGGTATGCGATCGGCCTCCTCCTCGCCAACGTCGGCGTCATCCTCATGCAGTCGGGACAGCCCGCGCTCTTGTACCTCGTGCCGTGCACGCTCGGTGTGCTCTGCCTCATTACGTGGCGCCGCGGCCTCCTCCGAAACCTCTGGGTCGGCCCACGAGAATTTTTCGCCATGCCCGAGGCCGAGCCGGAACATCCCGTCACGGACTACGCCAAGCAGGACCCGACGCCGACGGTTGTATGATTGATTGAGTTGCTAACCGTTAGCACGGGACGAAATCAAAAATTCAACAATGGACACACAATAACGATTACGTAACGTCTCGAAACCTACCCCCGAGACCCGATCTTCTATCTTGGCCGATCCATATTGCGGCAAGTGGCATCGCCTGTTGTAGCTCACACCAGACAACAAGATCATCACAATGGCTCGAGGAAGCGCCGATGCGCAAGGCTCGAACCTGAGGGCCGGACCAGGAGACTTGGATCTTGATGCTGGATAGAGTTCCAGCTTGTTTGAATTGCTTTACGTGCCGCGCAACGAGCAATTCGTGCACCTTTTCCAAGGACGTTCTTATCTACATCTCTATCTACCGGGAACAACTAGTCGGACCGAAGCGGTTGTTCGTGGGCCAGCGACCCCGCGCGAATGTCGAGCCATTAGTTGAGCGTGAGCCTGAACCGGTCGGGCACTGCCTTCGACTTGAGCAGGCGCCGTATCCGGGGGAGCGACGGGTTGACGAAGGCGAGGTCGGTAAAATTGGCAATGACAGCCATGCTTGGAGACGACGAGGCCGGGTCCGGGTCTGGCCTGCATGTATCGGGGCGAGGGACCTCGGTGGAACCAGGTCTCAAGCGTGGGCTTAAGGCGCGCGAAGACGATGCTCTGGTAGAGAAGCCGGTGGCTCACCGTGGATGCACGGAAGGTATTAGGACGTCGCTCAAGGCTCTAGCATGCAGAAAACGAAAGAAGACGGTGCGATTAAAATACTCCAACGATCTACGCAGTGTCGAGGGCGGCCGAGACCGCGAGGATGTCCTTGCGCACGTCGACGTCCTTCTCGAGAAGAATCGCGTCAACGACGGCTGCTCGGAGCGCGTCGGCATGCGAGGCCACGACAAGGAGCAGCACTTGCCACGCCTTGCCGCGAACGTTCACGGTCGTTGAGACGCGGGTCATTTCGAGGACGCGACCAATGCACGCATCCACCTGGTCGCGCGAGAGCAGGTTCTCACGCAGCAGCAGCGAGAGCGTGTAGAGACCCGTGAGCTGCTGCTGGGTCGTGCCTGCCTCCAGGAGTTGCCGCAGTGTCACAAGCGCCGACGTCGCGATCCAGTCGGGCCCGCAGAGCTTGGCGACGCAGCTCAACGCCGAGGCCGCGGCCAAGCGCACGTCGCAGACCGGGTCCGTCAGGAGCGAGAGGCAGATGCCGGGAATGTACTGCAGCATGGCTTGCGACGGCGACCCGCCGCGCGCCCACGCGTCGATGCTCTCGACGGCCAAGAGCCGCGT